CATCCTCTATGTAAACCAGAAGATAAAACAAATTGTAATTTGCATGTGGTACCTTCAGAAACAGGAACGAGAAAATGTCACATTCCATTTTTAATATTTATGAAATATAAAAGTAGACAACAAACATATTATGTAAACAAAACGTGTAATATGTTTTCACAACAATGACTTCCTGAAACAATTTTCTTAATTGTTATTGTTTTCAAGGAACAAGGGGTATAGAGTTGACACAATCAACGTGGCATACGTGATACTGCTGACATTGATATACAGTAAACTACGGTTATAACGAACTCAAATGGACCACTAAGTTTAGTTCGTTATAACCGTAGTTCGTTATGAGAATATATACATCTATACAGCAAATAACCGGGACCACAAATTAAGTTCGTAATATCCGTCAGTTCGTTATAAGCGTGTTCGTTATAAACGTATTTTACTGCATGATACATATTGACATAGGTAAAGTTATTAGTTTTTCCTAATTGATCTTTTCAAAGTAATATCTACAATGTTGTAATATCATTATATAATGAAGTAGATCAGTGCATGGGGACATGCAGATGTTGTTTAAATTTGAAACCCACAACATTGTGGGTGCGTTTGTTATTTTTAACTATGAACAATACTTCTCTTTGGGAATTAGAACTGCCACCTTAATGGAGGATATGTTACTCCTGTAGCCTGACACGCCAATTATTCACACCGTCCAAAAGAACAAATATCTCGCTACACGGAAATGGGTCAACGTTTAACCCTAGGGAAATACTGTATGGGGAAATAGGTCCGAAAAAGCTAGACTATGGTACCCTTCCCTTCGCCTCCCAGCGGCTGCAGGCGAGGAGCGCAAGCGCTCTAGGACAGGTAAACCAGTCTAGGACAGAGCGTGTCTCCCTTTTATGAGTGTTGCCGAATAACACAAACATGTTTAGTGTAACGATTTACAGTTAGGAATGTTTTAAAACTTATTTCCATCATTATTTATGTATTTCGTATGTACACAGATCATTATATATATGTGAGACAAAGATTAAGTTTCTGTTACAAGTTTGGTTACGTCTGTCCAATGCATTGATTATTTACGCACATTATAGGGGCTGCTGTTGATTTAGAGAGTTTAGTAGAATATCGTGTCGTTAAAACTGTGAGGGAGAAAGCGAAGATGTTGAAGCTCCACCCAGAAGTGGATGGTGGACTAGGTGATGTTCTAGATTATTTACAGGTCCTCGTGTATCGGCAATGTTGACGAATGGAGCTTTAAAGACACGCAAACAACCAAATCACCAGTTCTTGACATCCAAAGGGACACATTCCGTTCCCTAACCAAAAGAGATCTCATAATAATAGCTGAGTCCAGTTTACGATACCGATCATATCATAAGCATGTTTAAGACTATACTTGACCACCGGTCCATTAAGTCCTGGAACCCCCATAGGAACTGACCCATAATCAAACTCTGAAAAAGTTCCACTGAGTGAGCAGAGTGACACACAGTTGGGAAACCCTCGGACCTGCAGACGGAGGTGGAAACAGAGCTGGAGTTCCACTCGGACTTGCAGAGGGAGGTGGAAACAGAGCTGGAGTTCCACTCGGACCTGCAGAGGGAGGTGGAAACAGAGCTGGAGTTCCACTCGGACTTGCAGAGGGAGGTGGAAACAGAGCTGGAGTTCCACTCGGACTTGCAGAGGGAGGTGGAAACAGAGCTGGAGTTCCACTCGGACTTGCAGAGGGAGGTGGAAACAGAGCTGGAGTTCCACTCGGACTTGCAGAGGGAGGTGGAAACAGAGCTGGAGTTCCACTCGGACTTGCCAGACTTGGAGGAGTGATCTGGAGCTCGAGGTCATCGAGGAGCAGGAGGATGAGGTGCCACATGACCGACTCTTAAATACATCCTTGTAAAAGTGCAAATAAAAACTTGCGAATGTGTAAATCTGTAAGTAAAGGAAAAACTGTTTGATACTTTTTGCAAATAAGATTTTCTGAGGTTTGTCGATAAAGGACGAGATATCTAGTGAAACTTATACCGATACTGTCTGTTGTATTCATGTATTATTGCAAAGCACACTGGGATATTCTGTGCGAGTGAGTGTTTGAGTTGATGAATGTTGTTTTGTTACCCTAGCTATATCACGGCAATATATCTAACAATTCGGCAAACACATGCCGTTGTGATAATCTTATCTATTTGATGAAGACAGTAAATTGCCTCTGGGTGGCAGGTGGTGTATAATAACCAAGCAATCGCCTATCACTGAATGTCACCTCTCAAACAGATGGAAGGCTCTATTAGATGTACCTGTCAAATTGACCACACTCAACCTACCAACCAACCAACTGCTTGTCGTAAGAGGCCACTAACGGGATCGGGTGGTCAGGCTTGCTGACTTGGTTGATGCATGTCATTGTATCCCAATTGTGTGGATCGATGATCATGATGTCAGTCACTGGATTGTCTGGTCCCGACTCATTATTTACAGACCACCCTATTTGTGAGTGCGGCATTAAACAAACAAACAAACAAACAAACAAACAAACAAACAAACTGGGTAGTCCGTCTCACAATCCCTGAACCACTGCGGCTTCTTTTCAATTTAAATAGAGTTGTTTGCTTCTATCAAATATATGATTTTTCAGAGACTACGAGTTAGTTAGTCTAGGGCACTGTGGGATTATTTTTAATATTTATCGCTGAGCATTATAATTTCTGCTTCATGCTGATTGGCTAATTTATGCCAATTGTTTTCATTGTTAGCGAAGTGGCCCATTGCCACGTGACGTCATATGATCGCATTGTCGCAAATGATTAAAGTTGGCGTCATTCATTGTTCTTGACGTCACAGTCGGTTTTATGTGACGTTTCAACAATAGACTGACCGAGCTGAGCTAGACACATGTGGTCCAAAAACCCACTTTTTAAAATTAATTTCTCAGTTAAACAAAAGAAGTAAGGATACGATTTATGGATAAACAACTTCTTTATTACAATTAAGAGCGACATTTCGGTGTAGGTTCTAACACCGTTATCAAACTAAAAAAAATAACGGTGATAAAAATTACGACCCCAAATAACGATGTACATCGAAACGTCGCTCTTAAATGCAATAAAGAAGTTGTTTATCAATAAATCGTATCCTTACTTAGTACTTCTAAAAGCATTTCAAAGAAGTTAAACAAAAGAGGTGAGGTGAGGTGAAATGGGGTTTAACGTCGCATCCAAGATTATTGCACTTATATAGCGACGTGCATGTATGTGTGTGTGTGGCTGCTTGTACTAGTCTGGACTGATGCCGATTTATAGTGCTAGCTCACTAAGATACCATGCCGCAGTTTAACATGAATACCCCACTCAGACACAGTATACTGACTCCGAGCCGACCAGTCCTTGTTTTAGCCCCTTAATGCGCAGCGCCAGACAGGGTATCGACAAGTTCCATCTTTTAACGTCTTTTGGTATGACGCGGTCGGGGATCGAACCCCGGACCTTCCGCTCTCCGGGCGGACGCTCTACCACTAGACCACGGAGGCGGTCTTCAACAAAAGAATATGGGTAAGATATGGAATAACCTACTCGGGATTATGGGTTTTCTGTCCTTTGTCCACACACCCCACCCCACCACTCAAAATAAGTTAACTACGGCCTTGCATTCCTTGGGCCAATTTAGACGTTTGATTTCGTGCATTAGAATTTAAGAATTTCAAAACTTCTCACGTAATCATGTTTGTTTTCTCAGTGTAATTACATACTTATACTACTCAAATGAAGTTAAATACCCGATTCTTTCAGAGTAAATCTGCTTTGATAAGCTATATAGGAAGAATTCGGGCATCGTAACTTTTTTAGTGTAGTATAATATACTACTGAACGTTTGACAGGGACAGTCCTATTGCGCCTTGATGTCCCAAAAGGACATCACGTGAAATGAGTATCAGGTGAGAACATAATTTTGAAAAAGGGGGTGATGACTTCAGGGGTCACAAAGTGAACAATAAAAATACATGTCATGGGACCCACTCATATGTATGCGGAACTTGTTAGATATAGAGACTATTATACACGCATGTGTGTTCTACTGATTTTATGAAATGAGTGTCTGAATTCTCGTATTTCCGAGGGTAATACTTTCTTTCTTTCCCATTATTTCTTAACCCTTTAGGACCCGTAAAGATTCTGCTTGTCGTAAAAGGCGACTAACGGGATCGGGTGGTCAGGCTCGCTGACTTGGTTGATGCATGTCATCGATCCCAAATGCGTGGATCGATGCTCGTGATATCAATCACTGGATTGTCTGGTCCAGACTCGATTATTTACAGACCGCCGTCATATAGGTGGAATATTGCTGAGTGCGGCGTTAAACAACAAACCAACCAACAATCTTAACCCTTTAGAGCCTCCCTTTAGAAATTGCACTGATCAAAACCGTCGTCTTAAAAAACTACAATTTACAAATGTCAACAATGTTCAGCTATGACGTCGTTCCTTCATTCTGACCTTACGTCACAATAAGATTCGAATGACGAGGATTTGAAACCACGATCAGATGGACACAACTCTGCAGAGCAAATTGCCATGACTTGGCCACTCTACCCCTTATTTGTTAAGGACTTACCGTATTCGACGTAATAAGCGCCCCGCTCTAATAAGCGCCCACGGCGATATCTGCTGATATATTGGATAGTAAACAATCCTAATTAGCACCCCTTCCGATTGATCAATGTACACAAGACTTTTTTATTCGCGCATATGCACACTCGTGTGTTATATGCACCTTTAATTAAGGGCAATTAAATTCTGGAAAAATATATCTGTCGTACATAAACATTTCAGGCTGTCACCATAAACCACGAAATTTATCTTTCAACTCTTTTTTTTCCACCAAAATAATATTCTAATAAGAGCCCCCTATTTCTAATTTTGAGAGCGCCCTGGGCGCTTATTACGTCGAATATGGTATGTCATATTAAACATATCCATGTTAATCAAAATACAGACAACTAAAAGTGTTAGAAAAATGTTTATTTGTCAACAGCTTAACCCTGTTTATTATCCATGAATTCTAAATAAGCAGGTTTATAAAACCCTACTTAATACTGATTTTGCAATGTGGCAAATTTGACCCTCCATGACCCTGACTAACACATAATTATTTATTTCTTAACATTAACAAGAACGTGTTCTGCATCATTAATCAGTGACACCCAAATATTAACACAAGTAGAATTTCAAAATATATGATGAAACCATGCTTGGCACTCTTTGAACATATATCAAACTTTAACATTTTGAATTGCGAAACCAGGAGGAAAGGTCACAGGCTGTAATTATAGCACAGGGTTGTTCCTCCTGTCATAAGCATTTTGTGAAGCTGCAAATGTACACAGGCTCCTGCAGTAATGGTGATACTATTAGGATGACATCTGTTCAACAACAATGTTGTATTTCCTCTATTAGACACTGGGCCTTCAATCACAACCACTCGTTATTGGTCAGTAAATAAAAATATATACCCCCTATATGTAAGAAGAGTATAGGGGGTATATATTTTTATTTACTGACCAATAACGAGTTCCTGTTCCTCAAATACAGGTTTGCCTCTAATACGCTCTGTCCAAAAAACAGAGGCCGTGTCTCTCTATAAGAGATGAATAATTTGATGAAATTAATGATCTCCATCACATTAACATGTAATGATTACTCCCTTAACTTAAAAATGACTGTTTGCTGCAAATGTACCTGTTGCATGACTGTAGAATTTGGTATTCAGGGCCACGTTCCACAAAGCGATCGTAAGAGATACAAGTGCTGTAGGTCTATGTTAAAGTATGGGAGTTACGATCCTCTTAGCGCTACAATCGCTTTGTGGAACGGGCCCAGTAAGATCATGAATTGCCCCAGCATTACACAAAATAGACTCCAGGTGAATGGCTTGTGCAACATTAAAAGATGCCAGGACGTCTAATAGAGGAAATAAGATATGTTCCGTATAAAACAACCCCACAATACCTATACTGAACTAAAAAAATGAGGGACAATGAAGATTTTGGGGGATATTATTATGAAATTGTGTGCTTACTACCAAAAAAATATCCCCAAAAATATTCTTGATCCCTAATGATTTTTTGTTCAGTATATATTGAAAACATTGTCAGTTTTAAGATATTCAATTTCCACTGATGATCAACATGTTCAGAAGTATCAATGTCTGTTTTACTGGTATAGCTTTAAAACTAGCACAATTTGTCATGTAGGTCGCTTATGAGATATGGATAATAAACATATTTAATATTACACTTATGTGTATCATATTAATTTTACGAAATTTCAATCAGATTTCCCACATTTTCCTTATATCACGCTTTCATAACATCCGGATGACCTCCACAGTCAGGTAACATATATTTACACATGGAATGACATATGTACACAGTCCTATAAACATCTCACCAGTCTGTGTACATAAATGGACTTGCACTGACTAACAGTTACAACAGTAGCTGACCTCCTTTGCCACAGTAAATACGACTAAAGATATGTCTCATCAATTATCGCCAAGACGTTTCTCTTATCAGCCACAATACAATGGGATGAAAGAACAAACAAATATCAAGTAACATAGGCTCAAATTTATGTTCCAAATTCGTCAGACAATGTACATTGCGGTAATTATATATCAGCTGCAAAAATGAAATTTAAGAAAACATATTGTCTTTGTTTTGAACACAAGGTTACTTTTTTGCCAAGGAATGTCTGGTAGTATTTTAATCATGCCAACTTATTTTCTTGCTGTAATAGTGAAAAAAGAACTTTTTCTGTTACCGTAAATGACCAAATAAGCTCCCTGCTTCTTATATGAATGCTGTACTTGTCATATATAACACTTGATCAATATCTACTTTTAGAAAAGGTTCGAAATGAATGTTTCAACAAGTTCAATCACATTCAAATCCTATCTTTTACTCAGATACCTCTCTGCATTAAAATATGCGTACATCTCCATAGAAGTTTGAGTCTGGGGAACTGAGTGACATTTGACTGTGCAATAGAAATTCAGGATGTGAAGGGTTTTGAGCCAATCAGATGTCATCTTTCTAAAAAGATTTGGCGTTAGTTCTTTACCACATCAAATCGAAATATAGAGATTTTAACAAAACTAAACCCACGTAGGACACAAATATACCATCGAGGGTACGCCCTATTGGGTGGAGATGCCAGGGAGGTCAGACACGACAGGGTGGAGCAAATATCCACAACAGTATAATGGCACAGCCTTTAAAAGGTACATTTAGGTAAGGTGGTTTTCAAGTGCTTTGCGTAGCAAACATTTAGAAGCCTTGATGCTGATTGGAGTAAAACATTTTTTTCTAATCAGATTAACAAGTTATTTCATAAGTTTGACTGGAAACATAACTGATGCAAATATCAATGAGTGAGCGTGTGAGTTGGGATTAATACCACTTTGAACAGTAATCCAGTTATATCATGGTACTCGTCAGACCTGTTCCACTATAGTCGTGACATGCAGTCTAAAGGTTAACACAAAAATAATAAAAGGCTGAAATCTTGAAATCCATGTCACCTGTGTCTTCATTGATACATCTAAATTTGCCACTTAAAGGAAAAGAAATATCCAAACACATTATGTATTCCTGTGATGTTTAATATCTCATAAGCACCACATCCCCCTGCCTTATAAGGAGATTACTAAGTCAAATATGGTATCTCCATTTGAAAGCATCAAAGTTATTAATCGGACTACAGAACACAATGATCAGACACCTTAGCATTACATATGCTGTTATAATGACTCGTAAGCTCTTTAACATGTTAAAAGCAGGATCAACTAGGTGATATATGCTACGACTGCCTACTTGAGTTTAGGTTTCCAAACATTACATTACCGGTACTTGTCTGCTAGACTATGATCATGATATTCTAGTTCAATCAGGCAATAACAAATTAGCAAAAAATACCTAGATAATTAATAAATTAAAAGACAGTTCAACTTATCATGCTCATAAGACTGAGAAACAACATATAAAATAAATTTGTCCTCTGGCAAGTTTTTCTTCAATTGTTGTGGACTGACTATGTTTGTGTCTGACAAAAGTACTACACTGGCGACCCAATTTTCCATGTTGGTCTTTAAGTAAAAGCTGTTATAACATGATGTCATAATGTTTGCTGACAGGATTCAGTGCCTGTGGGACCAAGTTTGTTGAGCATTTAACACCAAAACAAACAAATTAACACACTGTGTATTTTAGTATGGGATACAATTTCTAATACACTTACGAACATAATTGTTGGTCAGTTACATGGAGTATCATACATGGCGAAACTGGGATTTGGAATATTTAACAAGTCCTTCTGATTTTGAAATGACAAAAATCATAAAATCAGACATGCTTGTTATAACATACATAATCTTCAACAGAAATGGAGTTCAAACACATGTAATACTGTTCCACATATGTATTCATTCTGTTCCACTAAATAAGCCAATACTTAAACACTTTTGTTTTTCTTACACAACAATCATCAACAAGCACTTCCACTGTGTCAGTAGTACTGATTGTACGAGTCCCCTTGTGGTCTCTGAGGAGGGGGGTGCATGGGGCCACCTGTGGGGCGAGGTGGGGGGACTCGTGGGGGTGGACTAGTCCATTGCATTCTGGGGCTACCCGGCTGATTAAATGGCGATGGGCCATGCCCATCATCATAGTGTCCATGAGGGCTTGGGAAGCGGGGTGGGGGCTGCCCCTGCTGTCTCTGTTGCTGGGGGGGCCCCATCCTGGGTGGAGGCCCAGAGAGGTGAGGCTGAGGGCCCCCTGGATTAGGGCCTTGTGGATGGGGGTGAGGGATAGGCCCTGGGGGTGGACCTCCATGAGGGAGGGACACAGGAACAGTATGAGGTCTCAATGTCTGTGCCATGGGGGCAGTAGAGTAGGGGACAGGCCCTGTGTGACTGATGGGAGCGAAGGACGCAGGTGGAGCCATGGTTGATGGCGGGAATGGCTGCCTGGGGGGAGGCACCCCTGTAGCCAGGTGGGCAGGGAGGGGAGGCATGCCCGTCCCAGCCAGAGTCTGATACATTAAAGCATGTTCTGGACGACGGTATTCCGACTCATCCTGTATGGGAACAGTGATGAGGTTGGTCCTGCCAGTTGACATCATCGGTATTGAGGAGGTCTGATAGCTCTCTATAGTGGACACCGGTGTGAGCTGAGGCTGTGACAGGGCTGGAGCGGTCACGACAGGGTGCATCTGAGGCATGGACACGTGGTGGGTCTGCACCATGGCTGGCATGGGCTGAGGTACGGGTGGACCTTCTATAGGTCTGTACACTGACTGCTCTATCATCGGTCTCGGGGGAGGGTTCAGATCTTGAGGCGGAGCGTGGGCGACTGTGCTGCTACTGAACGCCTCAGGTTGTGAGGAATGATGAGGAGGAGGAGGCTTTGAGGGCGCCAGTGGCGGAGGATCTGGGCGGGAACCGGTACTGAGATGGCGGTGGTTGGCATGAGCCTGAAGGTCCCTCTGGGAGAGATATGTCCGTCTACAACCACCGCTGCTATGTTTGGCACCTCCGTATGTACAGATGAAAACAGTGCCAAGGGCAGACTGCTCAATTCTCTGGACAGGATCTTCACATCTGTAGGGAAATATAAAAGGATGAAATACAGAAATCATGTTTGTTGTTTTACGCCTGCCAACAATAATCCAGCTAAATCACAGCAGCCTGTACATGATCAAGTCTGGGCCAGTGGTTGATATTGTGAGCATTATGATGTTATGACGACAGTCTATCAACCAAGTCACCAAGACTGACCACCCAATCCCAAAAAGTCTCCACAAATTATAGAGCTCTGGGGGCATTTTCAAACCTTGGTCCTGACAAGCATTGTGTCCTGAGATTTTGTAAATCAATTTACCTGTTGGACTCCATTACTGTTTACATTGAAGGCATTGTTTCAAATTAGAACAGTATGGAAAAATGTAGGTTTGAGGATACATTCTATACTTTCGAACAAGAACCATTCACGCAAGAATTTATGGTTTTAGAAATCATATATTCAACAAATATCACAGTTAACATAATTCTCCTTAAATGTCATGTGATGGCAGTACCTGGGACATTTCTTCTCCGTCTTCCTCGCACAGTCAAAACAAAACACATGCTTACAGGGTATCTGTAATAGATATAAAACGAAGCTTCAGATACATGTAAAATTATGCAAATTAATCCACCATGACTCAGTTAATTTTGAGTTGCTTGTGTGCAAATATGTATGAAAATTTTCAAAAGACCAATAGTATAACAACACTGTGTGCATACCCAATGTAGCGTACCGAAATACCTTTACTTATCTTCATTTACTGATCAAATGCAAGCATCACATATCCGTGCAGTCTACTGCAGTGAAAAATGTACAAAGGTGCTACGTTTTGCTTATTGCAATAGAAGAAGAGGTTATCTGAACAGCATTTTTCAGCAGAATTAATTGAAAAAATGTCTACTTATTAGACTAAAAATAACCAGTGCACTGTTTGTTTGTTTGTTTGTTTGTTTAACACCACACTCAGCAATATTCCAGCTATATGATGGCAGTCTGTGAATAATCGAGTCTGGACCAGACAATCCAGTGATTGACATCATGAGCATCGATCTACACAATTGGGATACGATGACATACATCAACCAAGTCAGTGAGCCTGACCACCTGATCCCGTTGTCGTCTTTTATGACAAGCATAGTTGCCTGTCACGATAAGCATGGGTTGCTGAAGACCTATTATACCCCGGATCTTCACCCCTATGGACTCGATCTAAGGGAGTAACACATAATATACAACCAAAGAAACCAATCCAATACCAATGTGAATGATAACATATGAGCAAATACTCAATGGCTCAATAAAAGAAGCCCTCATAATATGAAACTGTAAGAGCTAATACACCAACATCAACACAATAGTTAATCTGAAAACATAATTATTTTTTCTTCCCTGCTTTAGCCTCACCATGGCTAAGAACTTTTTCATTCACCATCAGATTCCAATATTCATGCTACTCACGGACAAAATTCATCATTTTAAATAAGCTTAACAAAACATAAACTGGATACATGCTTGTTCAGCATTAAATGTCCTCTATTTGTGCCAAGGGTTCATATGAAAAAATGCCTTCATAATATATTTACCACTTTGGTTCACTGTTTTGTGATGACAAACCAAGGATCATAACATGAACACAGAACTCTACACAGAAGTGGACAAATGCATCAACTATGTCCACTGCAACACACAGCCCTGGTTGTACAACTAGCGGCCACGTCGACTCTTACCATTCTCCCATATATGAGTATAGGCAGGGTACACTTCTCACAGCAGTGTATCAGTGGATCCACCACCTTCTCACCAATCAGCTTCACCTGCAACAAGACAATCACTCTCTAAACACTACTTTTTCGAAAACTATCAGGATTGTTTTATAGGCATTACTTAGAACTTGACGGATGACAAGATAGGCACAATTTTATGGATAACAACTTCTTTAATACTGTAAAAAGTGACGTTTCGGTATAGATCCTTATACCGTTGTCAAGCAAGACTGAATGAGGGACATAGTACAGAATATATATATTAGGTGGAGGATTAACATTAACAACAATACATGAGTGGGATAACATTGGTAGGTGTTGACAACAAAGGGATGATGCTGTTGCAGCACGATGGACAGAGAACACATAGGTAGAAGCCAATAGGGACATGAAGCCAATAAACAGGATAAGTGATTATTGTTTGATGAGTTCATAGTAGGCGGGTGGGATGAAATAGCCTTGATCTCTGTTGATTGATGGCTTGTGGCGGCGAATGTGGGTCGCTTTTCACAGTATTAAAGAAGTTGTTATCCATAAAATTGTGTCTATCTTCTCAACTATCAGGATGATTTTGTTGATTTTAACAACCCACCCCTACCAAATCTCCGAGGGCTCCCAGAAGTAATGTAGGTATGTTTGTATACTTGTTTGTTGAAAAATGCCACACTCAGCAATATTCCAGCTCCATGGCGACAGTCTGTATATAATTGAGACTGCACCAGACAAATCAATGATTGACATCATGAGCAGCGATACGATGACAGATATCAACCAAGTAGGCAAATCTGACCATATCGTCCTGTTAGTTGCCTCTTACAACAAGCATGGGTTGCTAAGACCACTTCTAGCCTTTCTTGTCTCTGTATTGTAAGCAATGTGACCCTTCGTAATCACTAAGAACATAAAGATGTAGTGTTTGGGGAAACAGACCTAACACATGGGGGATAGTTTCTTTGCCATTTCACCTGCACTTTGAAAACATTCCTATTCTTGGGTTGGGACTAATTTCTAACTCTGAGAAGCCTACCACCTGTATACAGTGATGAATGTGTGAAGACTAGGGTTCAACAGTGTTTCAAACAAAGTCTCAATTATACCACAATGTGACAGGACAATGTGAGAGACAATCTCATACAAATCAGATCTTAGTGCTTGCTACTGCTGCACAAAGATCTGAGGACATCCCATTATAGGTCGCGTCAAAACTTTGACCAACCAATGATATGACTCACAGGAAATCAACATTAGCCAATCAGAAAGCAGCTTTCTGGACCTTTATGGCACTAGTTTCAAAATGGGGACTTCCACTCTAGACTACACTTTGGAAAAAACATTTTGACAAAGTTCTCGATTAAAATTTTTAAAACTGAATAAAAGAAAATTTGGAATGTCTAATGAATGTCCGGGACTGAAAGGCAGTACTCCCCATGGGCTATGGAAAGACTCTTCCGTTTTAAATGTTTATCCCAATGAAGTTAGAATCAGTCGCACAGCCTGAAACTGTCATTCGGAATGCCTCATATTAATCTGCTTGAGGTTGCATGATTAGAAAACACATTCAAACTTTCACTTTTGCAATCTGTCAAACGACGTTCTGATTGGTCGGATGAAAGGTCGTTCAGATGTGACCTGTAATGGGATGTCCTCAGATGTTTGTTGGGTCGTGGCGAGTACTACATTCTGATTTTAATGAGTTTGATGTGGGGGAAAATCTTGAAACACTGCAAGTCACAGACATTGAACACTTTTGTGAATTCGGTGTCTTGACCATGCTGCCCAATGGCTACCTCGTCCTACATATTGACATTCAGCTGACCTTGTGGTCCCAGCGCAGCCTCTGTTTCTGGTGCATCGGCTCAACAGCATAGGCTGACTTGAAGATGACGAGATCCGGGGTGATCAACTCTTCCTCTGAAATAGTCACAATACCCACATCATGTCACGGGATTTGGGCAACAAAATTCATATTTGTAGAAACATTGAAGTCAGTTAAAACAAATTCTAAGGACCTTTGAGATCATTTTAACTTTTCTGCAGTTAATTTGCAATCCACATGAACATGACTATTAATACTAACAAGCAAATATTTTTTTTAAAGTCATGTAAATTAAGAACAGGGTTTGCTTGTAAATTCTAGTAACATTGTAACATAAAAAGTTGATTGAATGCTGGGATTTATCTACCATTTAACAAACTGCCATTGGCAGATTGGTAGGAAAAAATCATTATTTTGAGCTAAATTTGGAAGTTTTTAAATTCCTTATTTTCTTTGGGATTTTTTATTACACTGGAATCTGCCTAGAACTCCTCCCCATTTTCTGCAGCATTAGCGTGTTTAGAATCCAAACTTGTTTTGTGGAGTGTGACACTTACCTTGCATGGCAGCTGGTGGGGGAGGGGGTGGGGGTGGTGACCCTTCAACTTCAGGTTCTGGATCTGGTTCACGTGCTTGGGCTCCTTTACGACCTCTTCCTCTGCCACGACCCCGACCCCTTCCGCGACCTCGACCTTTTCCAGTCGACTTACGGCGTGGGCCACTCCCAGTTTCCAAATCAAGATCTGATGACAGAGAATTATTCTTATTGTCAAATAAAACAAACTCAAATAAAATATCCAAACCATGCAAATGTAAATACTCCCTGGCCAAGCTGAGCTGTTCACTTGTCCTTTTAATTAACAAGCAATGATGTGAACTCTGCAACACGGTACATGCAATGGAAGGGGTTGATTGTCATGATTATAAACATAATAACCACAATATAACATCACAATGAGTTTGATTTTATATCAGAGTCAACAATATTCCAGCAATATCATTGTGTGCGTGACACCAAGGTTTCACACATTTACCCATGTGGGTAATACAGCCTGGGCCTTTGATGTGACGAACGCAGGCTTTAACCTCTAGGCTACCCCACCACCCAATAACATCATAGAAACTGTAATCCTTCTATTATTTTAAACAAAAATATATCAAGCAAAATATATGGGATGCGTTGATTTCTCAAAATTGGAGTGAGTGAGTGAGTGAGTATGGTTTTACGTCGCTTTTAGCAATATTCCAGCAATATCACGGCGGGGGACACCAGAAATGGGCTTCACACATTGTGCCCATGTCGGGAATCGAACCCGGGTCTTCGGCGTGACGAGCGAACGCTTTAACCACTAGGCTACCCGACCGCCCCTCTCTCAAAATTGGAAAAGTCAAATAATCTGTATTAACCCATCAAAGAAGCCTAATACACTTGACTGTCAAACCTCCACTGTACATACGATACCATCATGTTGATAATCAGAGAATACACAGTTTATCAGAAACTAGAAGTGTACAGTGCTCATATAACATGGTGGTCCTGGATTTGTTTATAAGATACAGAAATGAGACATGCTTGTTTGAATGTTTCCCTCACTCATACTAAGAATTTAGAAGCCTTGACCCGGATTCAGAGAATTTAGCATTGGGATGTGTGATGACCGAGAATACTTCATCTGCTATGAATGTGTCTATAAATGTATCAGAAATCCAAGTGAATGCGGTCCGGACTAGTACAAGCAGCCACACAAACACACACACGTACATGCACGTCGCTATATAAGTGCAATAATCTTGGTTGCGACGTTAAACCCAATTACACCTCACCTCACCTTTGAATGCAATAAAAACCAATTGAAATAAGGCAAAAAGGCAGCTACAGTGTTGTTTCAGGTAATCGGCTAAGTGAATTCAAGTGATGGCCTTTCGACAAGGGTACTAGTAATTGTTCAATGACTTGTCTTTGCTGCAGACAGTTTCAATGTTTGTTGTGCAGACACATTAGAATAGGAATGTTTACTTGTCTTATTATTTATTTTCTAAAATAATAGGGCTGGTGGGATAGCCTTGTGGTTAAAGCGTTCGCTTGTCACAAAGAAGACACAGGGTTCGATTCCCTAAATGGGTACAATGTGTGAAGACCATTTTCTGATGTCCCCTACTGTGATATTGCTGGAATATTGCTAAAAGTGGCATAAAACAATTCTCACTCACTTTAAAATAATAAATTTTGCGTAAGCCTAAATCAATGTGGCTCCTTAAATTGTGATGTGGCTTGTTAATGTTTGAAATGGTACCTGGAAAAAAATTTGACAGGAGCGATTTTTTATCTCCCAGGAAAAAATCTAAGTTTGGAGTGCTGCTACAGGAACTTGGGAACAATGAAAATGATGTGAAGCGGGACGTTTTGGTAGTGAGATGGGTTGGGATGAAAATCTAATAATTCATTTATTACAGTCATACATAAGTTTACAGGAAGGCTTGTACCGGTACTTATCCTGTTGACAGTCAAAGGGAGGCAACTGAACTACTGGGTAGTGCTTTGTGGCATGTTGTGACTGATGCTCTATGTATCCCTTTGTAAATACTAAATAGGGGTTTCAAAACCCAAATTTTATGTTACCTTACAAAAGTGTAGGTCCAGGGAACCCCCAATAATTAATTGTAACAGTCCTTGCAGGCAATTTGGGGGTCCTGTAAGTAATGACATGGTCAGTACACAGTAGTGCACAGTACATTTTGAAAATTACTTTAGACCTTGGAATGAACCAGTGATTATATGAACAGTAGTCATGATTGATGGATGAAATGACAGACGCCTATAACTGCTCTTGATGAGCTGTAGGTAAAATGAACACTATTATGCACCCCTTAGGACAGAGTGTATTCAGTGCATCCATTCCCTACATTTGCGTGTACTGAAAGCACATTTGGGCATCATGTAAAACCGTACATAACCTTGATAATATTACTTAGAAATGAAGGGTCATCAATTTTTTATTAGGGGTCAATGACCATGATGACCCAGGCATCCTGCAATCTGAAGCACTGTTGTGGTGCTCAAATAATATTGAGAAAACATTCAAAAACCATCAAGTCAACATTTGGTGTATTGGATTTTATGCTAAGTCAGATAGGTTTCAGTGATTAAAGAGGGAATTTAAATCAGAAAATCTGGAATATTCATGATAAAAACAGTAAATACCTTAAATATGTAAAACAAAAAGAATATTAAAATATGAATCTGTATTAAACATTTCCCAATAAAAGTTCGAACATTGTAATAATCATTTTCATGAATTATCATGATTATTAAGTCTGGTATTAGTTAAGATGTGGTTAATGAAAATAAAAAAAGAAATTGAGAGAAAAATATGCTGAAGTTAAATAAGACTTGCTTTCAAAAGTTGGAAGACAGAAGATCATTTGAACAAGCCATCAGAACATTTAACTTATTGAGAGAAATATATGCTGTTACTGAAACAAATACATATGACAACATCATCCATAAATGTTAAGTATTCCTAGGATGATAACTCGTCCTGATTACCAGACTACAAGCAGATTACCAGAAAGCTGCAGCCTACACTGACTTTCCTATAAAATTAACAGCAGGTGAAAAGTAAGAATAGGAAAGGATTAAACCTTGAATAAAGAACAGTTCAAACTACAATGAAATGATGAAATACATCACCAAAAATATGTCATCTGAATTTGACTTGTGATGCTGGAAAAAAATAACCTTACATGAAGGGTCTTCTGTATATTGTGGCTGCTAGATCTTGTAATAGAAAAACATGTTTGAAAAGAAGAATTTGCAACAACCATATCCCTTTTTAAGTCACTTTGTATGCCAACCGCAGGACACAGGGAACAACTGCTCGCATCACAGATTCTCCATGCCCTATGGTCACGGACATATTTAAGAGCATGGTGCTACTCTGCACTGTAATCCACATGCAAGTTTAACGCAGATCATAGAGATTTAGCACTTTGGATCAAACCCAGGAGAATGGTGCTGACAAGCTAAGAATAATGATGAGAACGAAGCTTGGATTTGAACCAACAATCTTCAAATTCTGGCATGACTTTAGTGATAAAACTCTGTACAATGATTTGATATTCATTTACCACCCTTGCCCCTCACACGCCACGGTTCATAATCAAACCAAATCTGACAATGCAGGCAATATACAGACCTCAGCATTGTAAGCAGTGAGTGAGTGGGGTTTAACGCCGCTTTTAACAGTATTCCAGTTATATAGCGGCGTGTCAGCTTAATGTGGGAGGCAAGCCCGAAGTGATGCAGGTCTCAGACGTTTACCACTTCGGTGAAACCCACGAGCACGGGTATGGTGCTGACAAACCTAAAAACATAACCAGGGCGAACCAGGATTCGAACTCACAATCATAGTTTTCTGGCATGCCCAAGGGACGCAACTCTGCACAACGAATCGTAGTGCCTTAGACGACAGGGCCAACCGTGTCCCCAGCATTGCAAGCATGTCACAAATGAATTTAGTGTGCTGCAAAAAGGGATTTTTCGGATTTCAGACACTGCCACATGGAGGATAGGTCTCACGTGGTCAGCTAGAAACTAAGCTAATGAGTTAATCCAATTAGCCAACACCCTAACTCGGGACCACAGGTGCTATCACAAATAATAAGTGCTTGTTTACCAAGTCATCAGCACCAGATTGTTTACCCATTTTCTCCACAAATCTCGAGACTAGATAAAATTCTACAGAGACTCTTCAAATTACATTAGATAAATTCGTTCAAAGAGGTAGCTAACCCATACCCTACCTCACAACTAACCCTAAGGATCATTAAGGTGTGCCTAACCCTAAAGATTGTAAAGGGGTGACTGATCGGAAAAGGGATCCAAGCGCGAATGATTAAGTTGGGGTATCCTACCCCAATACAACTAACCCCAAGGATCGAAAGAGGCACATGAGATCTGTGAAGTGAGTCACAGTCGGTAGACTGAGCCGATTAGCCCTCAAGTAAGCAGCGCCCGCTAAAATGCATTGTTACCTGCAAAAAGACACCGAATCGTTGCTTCTAGTCAATGACACTACGTGCGGTGTTTTACTCGCCTATGTTTTTGTTTATTTTCGATAGATACCTAACGTCGAGATATTTATCTACATATCGGAAATGCAAACTGCAGAGTATAGGGCACTTATTATATGATAATGTAGTGCTGTGTGCCATCACATCGAAACCTCAGCTAATGTTGTTTTTCCATGTGATGGATTAGCGTTTCACTTGGTAATGCAGCCAAGTTCAAGTCAAGATTTCAAGGTGGGGAGTGCACATCACTGCATAATCTATGACAGATCAATAACTATCGTGTATTTTCACTGAGAGAAACATAGACGTGGTTGTTGTCAGTTGCACGATTAATTTGGTAAAGGTTCAAATATGTTTGATATCGTTATTTGTAGATTTGATTCCGAAAAACACGCACCTTCGTCCATGTTGAATAAGATCAAGTTTGTAAGTACAATGTTGATTGGTCAATCCACACTTCCGCTGTAAATGACGCGCTTTTTCATTTGCCAATGGACAGATGAAACAGAGTTACCTTCTCTTGACAAAGACAGGAATCTCATTCCATGTGCAATCTTCGTCAACGAAACGTGACTTTGTCATCTTTGATATAGTTACGGGTACCGTTGTTCATTTGATTTTGAAGATATTTTGTCTTCATCTTCAAAAATAGAGCAACAACTTAGAAAACGAAAGCACACTGACTTGGTGTGCAGGTCGTCTAGTCCGACCATGGCGTCTCCAAACAATGATGATCAGGGACAGGGAAAAGAAACAAAACGAAAGAAAGATTGTGATACAGGTCAAGAAATAAAATCAGTAGGTAAGATGTCGTGTTTAAATTTACATCAAGGTATATACATCGTAATAAAATAACCTTCTCTTAAGAACTTTGTCACATTGATCATAATAATAATCAACATGATCAAGAAATGTTTATGATACTGTTAAACATTTTAGAAAAAGAAACCCACTAACATAGTCTAGTAAATAGTAAGAATGTCTAAAATAGTTTCTGTTAATTAAGCGATCAGTCTGATTTGAAAGGGAACTGGGGAGAAGTGCACTTTACTGGGCTCACTTTTTCAGGGGCGTGAATGCCACTTACGGTATATGGTACCTGTCACATATTGGGAGTTATCTCCCTTGGTAAAAAACCCGCTGTAAGTCGGGAACCATTAATGTGAGTTGTCTGAAAGACACACGTCTATGTCCTGTGAATATATTGCGTTGCATAGAGCATGTAACAAATGCGCCTCCCCGGCTCCCGATCTACCACTGCACCACAAGCGCTTTCCCATGTAATCAGTGCTCGTTTAACGGGTTATTAGCACCCCTTAAACGTGCATGCACAGTTAAGTAAACAATGAATTGTGCATGCATGTGACGTCATGCTCCGCCCTCCCATTCATCTTTTCTTGAAGCCACACCCGCCATTTTTTGTATGAACATGATGAACTAGTTGAACAACTCTATGGTGTATGATGATGTGTTTCGCATCACGATCGATGCCGTCCCCCTTGTGGACTGGCTTGTTACCCACGGGGTTATAGGTGACTTCGCAGGAGGGTGGGACTAAATGTGTTTAAACGGATAACTCTAATCAGATTACCCGGATTAACACTTTGAAAAGATAAGAATTTATGGCTAACCCTTGCCCAAAGCAGGCTAACCCTAAGGATCAAAAGGGGTGTTGGATCGTAAAGGCTTATCAGTTTCCCTAAGACCGAAAAGGGTTGTTGGATCGAAAAGGCGTGTCAGGTTCCATAAGACCGAAAAGGGGTTTTGGATTGTAAAAGGGTGTCAGTTTCCCTAAGGCCGAAAAGGGGTCTTGGTTCGCAAAGCAAGAACCACTGAAGCGTGAGCCACGGTAACAGTATAGTGAGACATCGGTCGTGCTGGAGTCTACACATTTAGGTATTTATATCTATGCAAAACGATTTGTAAAGTGAACCGAAAGGCTTGCATTAGGCCTGTCTGTTCTTATTTTAAAATAAGTGTGTTTATTTATAAACAAGCGGAAAGTCTGGTCACATGGTGAGCCTACACCCATGGTGTGGCAACTGAAGCAGAAACGGAAAAATGCGAGCAGAGACTAGTGAACTCGGGGGTTATCAGCTATCGTTTACAAATAAAGCTTAAGAACGGTCGATGTCCTTCCAGTCACTTCTAAAAAGAATCTGCTCCACTGCAGCATATTGATTAAACTTTAAAAAATAATGGTTACACTCCATCCAAATTTTGGTACGGTTCAGGCAAATAAAGTACGAATGCTCCAAAACAAGTACAAATCTGACAAGTTTTTTAGGTTCAAGTTAGCCATTTACATTGGGTATGAATCACTGTAGGTACGGATCAACTAGTATCCGATCTATAAAATGTAACACTGAATGTTAAGCTGTTGGGAATAGAGCGTTAGTTAATTACAGAGTCAGAAATTAACAAGCACCTTTAGAATACAGTACCACAACTTCCTGTGAAGATGATCCTTGTCGTAAGTCACATGTCTCTGAGACAGTTTTCTGAGAATCTGTCAAGCTAACCATCTGGTCAACTTGAGTTCAAATTTACATAGTCATGCTCTAAAGGTTATGGAAATGAGCGCAAATGATCAAAGTCGTAATGGACACTTACAAAGGTTACGGGCAGCCATGGTGTATTGTGGCTTCTGCCTACGGACACTTACAACTGATCACTGTATCATTTGGCACATTGGCAGGAATTCTTTGTTCACAAACAGGTATCCTACCATACTCTCCATGTAGATACGACACAAGTCAGATCGAAAAGGCCTCGAATCTTGTCACTGTTATATAGGCACAGCCAGCCTTCTAGGCACTCTTCCCAAAACTTCTCGAACATTGAAGCTTGTCTTGATGTAAACAACCAGGGGCAGATAACTCTAAAGGGCTCGCAAGTACCAACCACACTCAACATTTTACTAGCACTTCAATCATTTGCCGCCACTGATAATGACCACTGTTATCACCACAAACATGTCTTACAGCTACCAATATGTATCTACACACAACAATTTCACTACATATGTAATTCGCTTGAATGTTCATGGTGAACAACAGTGTCAGCGTGCTAGTTGTATGAGATCGAACCGTGAACATAATATTTACATCCACCATTTTCTGCACATGCTACAAGACATATGCCTTATATTTGACAGTTTCTTTTCAGATTATGACATTTCTTGGACACAGACGTACAGTGATGTTTCTGCGGTCTTCAAGTTTAAATCCAAAATTGAGAGAGCAAATGAAATTGATGTCCAGTTTCAGGATAACTTAATACAAGCTTTTTTCCCAAGTAAGTAGGTTCTGTTCTTAGTTTGACTGCCTCCGTGGTCCAGTGGTCGAGCATCCGCCTGGAGAGTGGAAGGTCCGGGGTTTGATGCCCGGCTGTGTCGTACCAAAAGACCTTAAAAGATGGTACTTGTTGTTACCCTGGCTGGTGCTCGGCATTAAGGGGCTAAAACAAGGACTGGTCGGCTTGGAGTCAGTATACTGTATCTTAGTGGGGTATTTATGTTAAACTCAGTGAGCTAGCACTATAAATCGGCATCAGTCCGGACTAGTACAAGCAGCCACACACACATGCATGTCGCTATAGAAGTGCAATAATCTTGGAAGCGACATTAAACCCCATTTCACCTCACCTGTTCTTAGTCTCAGTAGTTTTCAAATGTTCCCATCATTGCTCGTAGTCCTAGTATCCCTCTCCACGTCATAACAAAAGATGGAGAAGCATTGGACTTGTTGTTACCATGCCTGGCGCTCAATTTCCCTCATTCCACAAAGCAATCGTAGCGCTAAGATGATCGTAAGTCACATTCTTTAGCATAGGCTTCCGACAGTCGTAGCGCTACGTTCCATTTGTGGAACGAGGCCCTGGTACTCCTACAGAATAAAAAGCAAGAGAAATACAACTTTAAGATCCATTAACCAGCATTTGAATTTTCTAGGCATGCTGTCGGTATCTTGTTCTTTGGTGCATTGTTGTACTTCAGCTTACGATTTTTTCAGTCTTTTTCCCTTAATGTTATCTGAAATTACTAATCGAATTGGCAACACTTTTTTTTTGATGTAATAATAAACGTGTATAATCTCTGATTAATGTCTCACCGAATGTTTGTAGTACGTGATACATGATGCCATCATATGTGAGGTCATGTATTAATACAAAATGATACAGGAGACATGGAAAATGATAGGAAAATTGATTGTAAAATAATATGTTCTGGCAGTATGTACAAGAGGTCTCAATGTAATTTTTCATTAACTAACTCTTCTATGGTCTATTCAGTTCGTTTGATGATTGAATATGTCTCCTAGTATGATAGGACCCCTTCATGGTCTGGTGGATCAGGTGTCTGCCAGAGGAGCACAAGGTCTGGGGTTTGATCCCCATACCAAAGAGGTGTTAAGAGATTGTAATTGTTGTGACTCTGCCTGGCGCTTGGCATTAAGGGGATAAAAGATATTGAAGCAAGCTGGTCGGCTCAGTGTACTGTGTCTTGCAATACTCTTCAACACAAATTCACCTCGCCTCACCTAGCATGACAAGTGTCAAGTTTTCATGTGTCATATTGTCTATTTTATCATGACTTGTGACAAAGTTTATTGTTGCAGCCCTTCTAGATTTGTGCTAACCCGTAAAGATCCGGGGGCAGAAAAGGTCTTCAGCAACCCATGCTTGCCGTGAAAGGCGACTATGCTTGTCGTAAAAGGCGACTAACGGGATCAGGTGGTCAGCCTCGCTGACTTGGTTGATGCATGTCATCGATCCCAACTGCGTGGATCGATGCTCATGATGTCAATCACTGTATGTCTGACTTGATTATTTACAGACCGCCGTCATATAGCTGGAATATTGCTGAGTGTGGCGTTAAACAACCAACCAACCAACCAACCAACATTTGTGCTAATATAAAGATCCGCAAACCGAAAAATAAAATACCACCTTATCCACTTACATTGTTCTTGTATATGTATCATATATGAACAAATGATGAATTTGATTCAGTGTGAGTAAAATTAAAAACACAGATGGAAGCTGCTGGTCTTATCGATTGTTTGGAGAAGTCAGGAAAGAAAAGAGTCGAGTGATTGTTAAAGGATCACGGATGGAACTGAAAATGGTGAAGAAAATTGCGCAGAACTGGCCGACCTATCAGGTAGATACAGTAGTCCTCACTTTTTAATTATCCTGCAACTGTTGTATAAAAACAGTAGATTTTTACCCCCATCCTATCTTACACTATGGGGGTGAGGGGGGGTAGACTAGTGGTTAAAGCCTTCACTCATCACGCTGTAAACCTGGTTCGATTCCCCACATGGGTACAAAGTGTGAAGCACATTTCTGGTGTCCCCCGCCGTGATATTGCTGGAATATTGCTAAAAGCAGCGTAAAACCATAATCACTCACTCACTCACTCACTCACTCACTCACTCACTCACTCACTCACTCACTCACTCACTCACTCACTCACTCACTCACTCTTACAGTATGATTTACTTCTTTCTTTTGATTCTATGTGGAAACGTGCATGAACAAATTTTCCAGCTTCTGAAAACAATTCACCCTGGTCACAACCCAAACAAATGGGTCACACATGCAATCGTTGTGCACAGCAACTTCCACAACCTGATTGTGGGTCTATCTCTGCCACATCATTCTCTGTCATCAGAGCTAACAGGCTAGAGGAACTAATATACAGGGAGGGTCGGGTGGGCATATGTAGCATGTGAGATAGGATAAGTATATACATATACAGTAAACTACGGTTATAACTACTCAAATGGACCACTTGTTTTAGTTCATTATAACCATAGCTCATTATAAGCATTCATGCAGCATATATACAGCAAATGGTCGGGACCAAAAAATAAGTTCGTTATATCTGTCAGTTCGTTATAAGCGTGTTTATTATAAACAAAGTTTGCTGTACAATTTATTGGAACAAATTTTACACTTATCCTATCTCCTGATATGCATTTATCCCATTGTTGGAAGGTGGGTGCAGATGCCCTAGCCTGGAAAGACTGACAGTGAGAAGTACACTTTTTTCAAGCATGTTTCCATATGGGATTGAAAGAAGAAAAAAAGAAATGAATAGTGTTAGATAGGATGAAGTATGTAAACATACAATTCAATAGAAAATAGCTACCAAAATGTTGCATTGGAAAAATAAAAAGTTGGAATCTATGTTTATCCAGTCTTGATGAGGCTTGGTGATGGTGAGCTTGTGTTGATGTTTTGAGGACAATTGATGTGGTTGCAGGAGGTCGTAGCCAAAAAGGTCCCTGATGAGGAGACGTCCGATAAAGCCGGGCCTTCTGATCTCCAAACAGGACAGAGGGGACATACAGAGGATGAAGACAGTAAGGAGAAAATAGAAAAAGATGAAGGTCAGTTCTTTTTACATTTCAACCAACCAGAGAATTCCGTAGCTGTATGTATAATATATATAAATTGTCAGAGCTCATGTGGCCAAGGAAGGATGTGTGGGTTATGAACATTGATATGTTGTGTACACTCTTAATTTCCTGTGTTCAACATCCTTGTTGATATTTAGAACTATTCAAGCAAGGGTTCATGTCAATTCATGTCATTGTTATCTTCCCGGTATGTTATCAGCATGTCCGTCCGTTTGACCGTTTTCCGTTTCCAGGGCAGAACTCCCAAACCCATTAAATCCTGCTTGTTGGAACAAGTGGTGAATTGGTGCCTTTTGATGAATATGTATTATTTTTTTATTATTATTATTTTATTCATGATGAGATCATCACATTAATAATGTTGTAGCCATAACTTATGCTTATAACTTATGTAGAGAACAAGGCAACTTGTATTTTACTGATAAAAAAGATGTTTTAGTGCTAAGGTTTACCTTATTACATTGAGTGCAGTGTTAAAATACATTCTACCATAAATTTGGAATTCACTCAATTCTGATTGGTCAATCAGAGGCTATTAAATCAAAATAAACCCCCTCTGATTAAAACAGCTGGTTTGACGGCCGCATCACCGCGGAAGCTTACATACAAAGAATATTACTTTTTTTTTAGTCATTGTCGGTAGGCATATTTAAATAATTATATCTACAATTACAATATGCACAGATGGGGTTACTACATTATTCAAAGGATGTATGGCAATTCATTTCGTGCAGAAAACACGATAGAAATCTACAAAGGTTATGTATTTACGTTTTGGAGACAACAGAGAGCTTGGAATTTTGGCGCTTTTCTATATACGACTGTGACGTCATATATTTTGCGTCACAATGAGCGTCATGACATCATAATGGTGACACACGATGTAGAGCAAAAGCCTTGCAAAGCTTGCTTTGTTTTCTTGAGGGATGTTAGCTTACCAAGTTTCCGTGCTTATATGCTTTCAATGCCTGTCATATGTTCGAGTGAAGTATTAGGGTGTAAACAAACTGCTTGAGTATATACAGCGCCATATTTTGTTCGGTGATTCCGTAATTCAGATCGATAACCCACTCAAAACACTGGACTAAACCCATGCCGCTTCACTCAGTATATTTGCTAACACCAAAGAGTTCGTGTTTTATTTAGTCATGGTAGAATGGAGATAAACATACTGTGTTTTCAATGTAGAGCTAGGTTACCTGTAGATTTAACCGCGCTAAATTTAACATTTGAAACCTCACGCTGTGCGTTCGGTTCTAAATTCAATTTAGCGCGGTTAAATCTACAGGTAACCTAGCTCTACATTGAAAACACAGTATGTTTATCTCCTAAATGTTAACATGCCTCCTAATTTAAGAAAATATATATAAGAACTAAAAAAATTCTCAAATTTTTAAACGAAAACAAACAAAAAAACAATTAGCCTGCCAGGAGTACATATTTTCGAATTCTAGATAGATCCCTGTCATCTTGATGAAGACTCTTCAGGCTTTGAGAAACATTTTCCTCAAACATTTCCTTGATTCAGAAATTATAGAATTGTATGGTGTGACACTTCACTGTCATGCTTGCAGTGAATGTATTAGAAAAGTTCAGAGTATGTTTCATCATGTATGGGGGTGGTGGGGTAGCCTAGTGGTTAAAGCGTTCACTCACCTTGCCTAAGACCCAAGTTTGATTCCCCATATGGGGGAAGCACATTTCTGGTGTCCCCTACCATGATATTGCTAAAATGTTGCTAAAAGTCGCATAAAACCATACTCACTCACTGACTCACTGTGATGTTATTGAATCTGTTTCCAGAACCCATCTTCTACATTGACCACATCAAACATGACTTCTTTGAAAGGGTGAGTCAGAGTTCAATTTTTTGTTTTTAGTTTTGTTTGATTTAGCAAGGTTCTATTGTTCAGTGACAGTGCTTACTGAAACCATATAGCTGTTTGCATTACCATCAGGATAAAGTGTCTGCAAGTTTGTCTGTGCACCATTTTATCAATATGAACATTAAGTATTGGAGAAAACACACTTACGAGTTTTGGTAGACAGAGCATGCCCTGGGGAGAGGGAAAAACCAAGGGGGCGAAGCCCCTGCGGTTTTTCCCGACTCCCAGGGCATGCTGTCTACCAAAACCGAGGGAAAGTGTTTTTCCAAACTTATAAACTGAAAAAAGAACTTAAAACAACATTTATCAACATTTTTATGTTTCGAACATACTTTCCATGAACCTTAGGAAACGCGAGTAAAATATCTGTTGCTGGCGTACGGATCTTGAAAAGGACATTCTAAAGAGCAGTGTGGCTTATCAACACCTCTGTAGCCTCGTGGTACACTCACTGGGCTACAGATATGAAGGTTGCGAGTTCGATCTTGAATATCCTATAAAATCCCTGGGATATTATATTAAATCCCAGGGACATTACAACGTCCCTGTTTATGAGATTTAACCCGACTGGAAAGTAAAACCTCACAATAGGTTTTAATGCCTATAGAAAGAAGTCTCTTACTTTATAGCGATCCCAATGAATAGGTTTAAAATACGGCACCATATTACATGCATTATGGTACCCGTAAAGATCCGGGGTAGAAAAGGTCTTCAGAAACACATACGTGCCGTACAAAGCGACTATGCTTGTCGTGGGAGACGACTAACAGGATTGGGTGGTCAGACTCGCTGACTTGGTTGATGCATGTCATAGTATCCCGATTGTGTTTATCGATGCTCATGATGTCAGTCACTGGATTGTCTGGTCCAGTTTCGATTCTTTACAGACCACTGTCATATAGCTCGATTATTGCTGAGTGCAGTGATAAACAACAAACAAACATGCATTTTGGATGGAGAAGGTCCTGATTTCCATTTAGCCTACATGAGGGAGGTAAATGTAAATGTGCCTCCGAGCACTCAATGATATTTAGGTCTGCCAACTAGTATGTCATATCACCAAGGCTAGGCAATAAGCAGTTGTAATTATGAAAGTTTTCCCCTGTTGCATTTTCATTCAGATTGATATTTCCCGAATTAATGAAAGCCCAAGTACTACTGTGAAACATTTTGTGCAATAAGCATGTGTACTTGTTCATATACAAGATGTTGTCACAAGGTGTTGCTGTGAACATCATATGATTTCACAGTGTGCCTTTTAGGCCCTCTGTTAAATATTTTGAGGTTGCGTAATTGGAATTGGAACGCATTCCGACGGTCACTTTCATGATCTGGTAAGCGGCGCTCTGATTGGTTGGATGAAAGGTCGTTCTGACGTGACCCGTAATGGGATGTCCTCAGATCTTTGTTTAGCGGTAGCGAGAACTAAGATCTGATACTAATAAGATTGCCATGTGGCCTGTCTCAGCTGACATGCTGTGATATAAGTGGGATGCTGTTCAACATTAAATGCCACTCACTCACTCACTCACTCACTCACTCACTCACTCACTCACTCACTCACTCACTCACTCACTCACTCACTCACTCACTCACTCACTCACTCACTCTGTTTCAGGAGGACAAGTTTGTTCTTCACATTTATGTAAAAGGTACAGGAAAGGATGCTGTCAAAGTGATCTTTGAGAAAAGTGTGTTCCTTGTCAAGTTCCAAACACAGTAAGTTGATTGGAAGATAGACATGTTATATGGTTTGTTAGGAGAGAATGAGACGCTACTTCAATAAGTCAATTAGAGGCTGCTTCAATAAGTGAACAAGACGCTGCTTCAATTAGTCAGTGAGACTTTGCTTCAATAAGTCAATGAGACACTGCTCCAATATGTCAATGAGACACTACTTCAATAAGTGAATAAGACACTGATTCAATAAGTCAATGAGACACTGCTTCAATAAGACAATGAGACACTGCTTCAATAAGTGAATAAGATTGCTTCAATAAGTAATGAGACACTGCTTCAATAAGTCAATGAGACACCGCTTCAGTACACCAATGAGACACTGCTTCAGTAAGACTGCTACAATCAGTGAATGAGACCCTGATTCAATAATTGAATTAGACCACTTCAATACACCAATGAGACACTGCTTCAATAAATCAATGAGACACTGCTTCAATAAGTCAATGAGACACTGCTTCAATAATTGAATGAGACTGTTTCAATAAGCCAATGAGACACTGCTTCAATAAGGGAATGAGACACTGCTTCAATAAGTGACTGAAAAGGGCATTTTCCATCTTTTTATTGTCCATCTTAACCATATTAATCTTAACAAATGTAAATGTGTCTGTGGTAGTGAATTATTAATTTAGTATTGATGTACATAAATTTGTATCAATATAATAGTACGTCCCGTGAAGATTCCGGGTAAGACTTGGCCTCCAGCAACCCATGCTTGTTTTAATAGGTGACTAACGGGATCGGATGACTTGGTTAATGCACGTCAACATATCCCAATTGTGTAGATCGATGCTCATGGTATCAATCACTAGATTGTCTGGTCCAGATTCAATTATGTACAGACTGCCGTCATATAGCTGTAATAGTGCTGAGTGCGCGTTAAACAACCATCAAACGATACAGGACATGTACACGATGATATCCCTGGGTTATGTTTTCATCAAGAGTTTGGAATTTGTTTTTCAGGGATGTCAAGTTTCTGAAGCTACATGAGGGCACTTCTGAAGACACTGCATTCTGCTGGAAGGTGAAAATGAGGTGAGGTGCACATTTAACATTATGTTTAAGTGTAATTTCTATCTTTCACACGATAAAATAAGGATTATAAATTATACAATGATTTTCATGCTGACTTTCAGATCATTACACAAGACCTATTGAAATGTAAGCCCTTATCACTTTCCCAATTTCCTCCTTTATATGCTTATACGGTAAAGTATTGAAAATCAATCAGCAGGTATTTAATCTCTGTGTGTTTCATCTTTCAACATCATTTCAACATTGTTGGTAAACAAGCAATTGTTTACTAATACTTAACGATACAGAATACATTTTCAATTCATATGATGTGTGCATTAATAAGTGATAATCTGACCTGAACAGCTACAGATATTGGCCTTCTTTCAATCCTCATTATTGAAATAAGTTAACAGCTGTTTTATTCCATACTGCCTCCGTGGTCTAGTGGTAGAGCCTTTGCCCGGAGAGCGGAAAGTTTGGGGTTAGATCCCCGGCCGCGTCATACCAAAAGACGTTAAAAGATGGTACTTGTTGTTACCCTGTCTGGCGCTTGGCATTACAGGGCTAGAACAAGGACTGGTCGGCACGGAGTCAGTATACTGTGTCTGAGGGGGGTATTTATGTTAAACTGCGGCATGGTATCTCAGTGAGCTAGCACTATAAATCGGCATCAGTCCGGACTAGTACAGGAAGCCACACACACACACATCGCTATATAAGTGCAATAATCTTGGATGGGACATTAAACCCAATTTCACCTCACCTATTCCATACTTCCAATGATATGCAGAATTGACTGACAGCATTGAAGACAGCAAACTGTTTAGACTACTCCAAAGAATTTGCAGATTTTTTCCAATGACGACAGTATAGTTAATCTGTCATGTTAATCTTCTTTTGAGCAGTATTTATGTGTGATGATTTTACTTTCTCTTCAGAAGGGACATCAAGCCCGAGATGAGTACATACAAGGTGACTGGCACATACATAGAGCTTGTTCTGAAGAAACTGTCCGCCGAACGCTGGGGGTGTTTGGAGGCTCCACAGAGAAGAGGTACACACTCAATAAACATTTCTTGAGAAATCAGTGAGACTAGAAGCAACATTAGCAACATCGACCATCAATACTCCTTGGTTAAAGCTCACTGTCTGCAACATTGACCACCAACACACCTTGGTTAAAGCTTACTGTCGGCAACATTGACCACCAATACACCTTGGTTAAAGCTGACTGTCGGCAACATTGACCACCAATACACCTTGGTTAAAGCTTACTGTCGGCAACATCGACCACCAACACACCTTGGTTAAAGCTTACTGTCGGCAACATTGACCACCAACACACCTTGGTTAAAGCCTTCTGTCGGCAACATCGACCACCACCACACCTTGGTTAAAGCTTACTGTCGGCAACATCGACCACCAACACACCTTGGTTAAAGCTTACTGTCGGCAACATTGACCACCACCACACCTTGGTTAAAGCTTACTGTCGGCAACATCGACCACCAACACACCTTGGTTAAAGCTTACTGTCGGCAACATGGACCACCAACACACCTTGGTTAAAGCCTTCTGTCGGCAACATGGACCACCAACACACCTTGGTTAAAGCTTACTGTCGGCAACATTGACCACCAACACTCCTTAATTAAGGCTGACTGTCGGCAACATCGACCACCAATACACCTTGGTTAAAGCCTTCTGTCGGCAACATTGACCATCAACACTCCTTGGTTAAAGCTTACTGTCGGCAACATGGACCACCAACACACCTTGGTTAAAGCCTTCTGTCGGCAACATCGACCATCAACACACCTTGGTTAAAGCTTACTGTCGGCAACATTGACCACCAACACTCCTTGGTAAAAGCTGACTGTCGGCAACATTGACCATCAACACTCCTTGGTTAAAGCCTTCTGTCGGCAACATTGACCACCAACACACCTTGGTTAAAGCTTACTGTCGGCAACATTGACCACCAACACTCCTTGGTTAAAGCTGACTGTCGGCAGCATTGACCACCAACACACCTTGGTTAAAGCTTACTGTCGGCAACATTGACCACCAATACACCTTGGTTAAAGCTTACTGTCGGCAACATTGACCACCAACACACCTTGGTTAAAGCTTACTGTCGGCAACATTGACCACCAGCACACCTTGGTTAAAGCTTACTGTCTGCAACATCGGCCACCAATACACCTTGGTTAAAGCTTACTGTAGGCAACATCGACCACCAACACACCTTGGTTAAAGCTGACTGTGGGCAACATGGACCACCAATACACCTTGGTTAAAGCTCACTGTCGGAAACATTGACCACCAACACACCTTGGTGAATGTTCACATTACCATGGACAACCAGTATTGCTTGGGCTGATGCTCTCGTTACTTCTGTTAAGTAATGGCAATAGCATCATAAGTCCTTGCATACTCAGTGGTATTACAAAAAAATATTTTTCTCCTCACATTGCCAATATAACAATAATAACTTCAATGGGCTGTTTTACATGGTAAAGTTAAGGTATTTATTTTCATTTGGCTCTTTTACATAGTACAGCCTCCGTGGTCTAGTGGTAGAGCATCCGCCCGGAGAGCAGAAGGTCCAGGGTTTGATCCCCGGCCGTGTCATACCAAAAGACGTTAAAAGATGGTTCTTGTTGTTACCCTGTCTGGCGCTCGGCATTAAAGGGCTAAAACAACGACAGGTCGGCTCGGAGTCAGTATACTGTGTCTGAGTGGGGTATTCATGTTTAACTGCGGCATGGTATCTCAGTGTGCTAATATAAGCAGCCACACAAACACACACACGTACATGCACATCGCTATATAAGTGCAATAATCTTGGACGCAACGTTAAACCCCATTTCACCTCACCTCACCACACCTTTTACATAGTAAGGTTGAGGTATTTATTTGTTTTGATTTGCCATTGTAGAGACTGATAGTGCAAAGTCAGATTCCTGGATATCAACGAAGAAGCCAACAGCCACAAGCAGCACAGGGCTGGCATTTGATGAGATGAGTAATGTGAATGTAGACAAGTACCAGGCCAGCGTGTCAGACACGGGCCACAGTGACCGAGAGGAGAGAAGTGGAGTGTCAAACGCAAATGACAATAGCAAGGTGTGTGAGAGATTGACTGTGATAGATACCTACAGGCCACAAGAGGGTCAAAGCAACTTAAAGCGTGGCACGTTGTCTGTCAACTGTGTGTCTGTGATCTGTCTGTTTATCTGTTTACTTTTAACGTCTTATGTACACATTAAGACAGGTTGAGCCTGAAACATTATGAGAGTGTCTTAGCACCATAAGAGTTTTAGAAAAAAACAAATAAATAATAACACAAACTCAGTTCATACAAAATATTTAAGACTTTTATAAGAAACTACAACATATAGAATGTTTAGGGATCTGAAGCATTTATACTCCTTAAAAAAAGTTCAGGACCATCCAATTCTTTCAAATTACTACACATAATCTGTCATGCGATATCTCCTGTGAAAGCGAGATTGGGATGATAATTCGATGATAAACCCTATGATGTTCCGTGGGCAAGCAAATGCAAAATAAAGGTTGAAGATTAAAAGAAAATGTTTAGGGTAGGGCATATGTTTTGTGATTGATTATATTACTGTGGTTATAATCAACTGTCAGACCGCCTCCAGGGTCTAGTGGTAGAGCATCCGCCCGGAGAGTGGAAGGTTCGGAGTTTGATCCCCGGACACGTCATACCTAAAGACGTTAAAAGATGGTACTTGTTTTTACCCTCTCTGGCACCTGGCATTAAGGGGCTAAAACAAGGACTGGTCAGCTCCAAGTCAGTATACTGTGTCTGAGTGGAGTATTCATGTTAAACTGCGGCATGGTATCTCAGTGAGCTAGCACTATAAATCGGCATCAGTCCAGACCAGAACAAGCAGCCACACAAACACACACGTACATACACATCGCTATATAAGTGCAATAATCTTGGACACGACGTTAAACCCTATTTCACCTCACCTATAATCAACTGTCATCTGTTGTCTGTCTGGTTGTGTCTGACACACTCATGTGTGTATGTTCTTCAGAAGCCAACCTGTAAAGTCCAGCCTCTCAACAAGCTGGATGGTCAGCAGATGGTCAGCCCGGGCTACACTGGCCTTGACAACCTTGGCAACACCTGCTTTATGAACAGCGTTCTGCAGGCACTCGCCAACACCAGGGAGTTCCGAGACTTCTTCCTGGGTGAGTCAGTGTTGAAAAGCCTGCAGTTTGACATTCTCCCTTCATGCTGAAGACCCTTCCCACATTGGTACAACGCCTCCATAGCTTTCATTTCAGAATTGACGTTACCATCTCCCTATCACTAGCATCACACAGAATATCTCTTGCTGATGAGAATTGTTTAATAGGAGGGGGGCGGGGTAGCCTAGTGGTTAAAGCGCTCGCTCGACACATTGAAAGACCCGCGTTCCATTCCCCACATGGGTACAATGTGTGGAACCATTTTTGGTGTCCCCTGCCGTGATAATACTGGAATATTGCTCACTGTTTAATAGGACGGCTTTTAGTGTTTGGCCATTTAAATTCAGGCTCAAATTGAGGTGTGGTACAAATGGGTTCAGGGTATTTCTCTTAGATGAGGATGTGAATTGCTGTGAGTCCTTAGATATAAACTAGGATGTTCTGTGTTCTTCAGATGGGCGGTTCCAGCAGGAGATCAATCAAGACAACCCGCTCGGTACAGGAGGTAATCTGGCAGTGTCCTTTGCAGTTCTGCTCAAGAGCATGTGGTCAGGGAAGAAGTACTCTGTGGCTCCTGGCAAACTCAAGGTCAGGAATGTGGCCCTGCTGTCTTCATTCCTTCCTAGAAATACTGGAGAAGCCTGGCGCTAATCCCCCCCCCCCCCAAAAAAAAAACCTGGGTTAGACATGGTCCCCACACTGAGTTGGATTTAATCCCCACAGCCTGGAACATTGCTTATTATGTCCACCTCTGTTGTGGCTGGCTCATACTGGATTATTTACAGGCCGCTGTGGTGTAGCTGGAATATTGCTGAGTGTGCAAATAACTAGTCCAAAGCTGGGACAAGTAACATTTCAGTAGGGCTTTGCTTACTTTGCCATGTTTGTTGTAAAGATTGAAGTCAAATAAAACTGATGCTGCAGGACAAGTTCGAGTATATTCCGAATGTTTTGTCACAAACTGCCAAAGTAGACGTGATAGTGGTTTGCGTGGTTTCTGCATATGCTATCTTGATTTCATGAACCACTGTGTGTTGCAGGCAACCACTTGGTGTAGTATATTTCCTGCTATTTACTGCATACAGTTATAATATTGTAATTATTCAGTCAGGTTTTTAACGTTTTAGAGTTTCCAGCCTTGTGCTCAGACAGAATCTTTACGGAACTGTCATACATCAAGCACTATTGCAGCCATCGTGAGCTGCAATGTTTTGTAAAAGCTGGAAATATCTAGGGACGGATTGTATGGACCACTGTGGGGATTGTTAGGGTTAGGCCAGGCGTTTTATATATTTCGGATTACAGACCCGCCGATTCTTATTTTATTTGTTATCACCCTTTAATGAAAAACATGAATTTACCGTTGTAAACTAGTAAAGAGATACATAATCGATCCTTGTTGATCTCAAAGCCGAACATGAATAGCCTCACTTGACAATTGTCTGTGTTGTAAGTGGTAGAATTTTTATTGTTGCAAGGGGCTTTATCGTCACAAATGGCGGTCTTTTGAGCACAGAATATGTTCATAAAGAATGACAGAGGCATTCTGCATTAAAGAAAAATGCATCTGGCTTTTCTTTTCTTTTTTCTTTTTTTCTCCTCCAACCCATGACTTTGGGCTGAAAAATCCGTAATCCTAAAAATAAAATAAGCGTGGCCTTAGACACCTACAGGACCAGCAACAATAAACTGTAGTCAGGCTTGCTGTGTATATGATACTCAAGTGGTGTGGATTGGGTGCAATGGGGATCCAGTGGTAGTTGTCTAAGGCGCCACAATTCGCTGTGCAGATTTCTTTCCCTTAAGTGTACCTGAGATCTATTATCCTGGGTTCGAATCCCAGATTGACCTGATTATTTTTCTAGGTTGTAAGCACCATACCCCTGCTCCATCCAGTTTGGATGTAATTGACAAATGCCAAGATGTTTAGTTGTTGGTACTGTAATCTGTAAACACACAGATTTCGGTTTGACCCGTCATTGTTCATGAACCACTGTTTGTTTACAGGACATTGTGTCGAAGAAGGCCAGTCAGTTCACAGGCTTTGCCCAACATGATGCTCAAGAGTTCATGGCGTTCCTCCTTGACGGGCTTCATGAGGTAAGGCTCTCTCAATATTGCACCTTTTCCCAACTCTGCTTTAAAACAAAAATCTTACTGTGAGTTAGTTTCTTACTGCTAAAACTTACTTTTGACATCTGGGTCATTGATTCTGGGTTAGAATTGGTCCCCAGCAACCTATACTTGCCGTAAGAGGCGACCAAGTGGATCAAGTGGTCAGGCTCCACGACTTGGTTGATGGTGTTAGAATTGGTCCCCAGCAACCTATGCTTGTTGTAAGAGGCGACCAAGTGGATCAAGTGGTCAGGCTCCACGACTTGGTTGATGGTGTTAGAATTGGTCCCCAGCAACCTATGCTTGTTGTAAGAGGCGACCAAGTGGATCAAGTGGTCAGGCTCCACGACTTGGTTGATGGTGTGTCTGCGTACCCCGACAATGTGGATCATTGCTCATAATATCAATCCCTAATTATTTACAGGCTGCTGTCGTATACCTGAAATATTGCTGAATGCGATGGTAAACAACAAACAAACAGACATTTTATGCTTGATGCAAAATACTGACTTTTAATATCAGTTGATTCAGGCAGAAAATGCCCCCTGAGCAGTGCACATGGTTGATTTTATGCCTGGGGGTCCTTGTTCTAGATATGCCAACTTCCTGTGTTTGACATGTTGTCTGTTTCCTTGCAGGACCTGAACCGAGTGAAGAAGAAGCCATACACAGAGACCGTGGACTCAGATGGGAGAGCAGACGAGGTAGAGTATTTCTACATAGTGTGACACCCCCGTGGGGATTCCAGTGAGAGTTGGTTCCCAGCAACCTATGCTAGTCTTACGAGGAGACATAATAGATCGAGTGTGTCATAGTGGAGTGGATTGTTCCTCATAATATCTGTGCAACATTCAACAATGAACAAACAAACATCGTGTAATGCTTTCACCTCGTCACAGTACATGCCATAACCTATGCTATTATTATCTCTGTTTCGGTCCATGCATCCCTGAAAGAAAGTCCATTCAGTCTTTATTGTAAACCTATAGAAAGTGTCTTCTGTGTTGTGATTGGCTAATTTGGGTCACATGACCAAATGTCATAGGGTGAAAATATGATTTGCATTCCACGAAGGAAGCGAAAGCAAAGGGTGAGTAAGTACGAGGTGTTAAAGAGTGCGCATGGTTTTTTCAAAATAAAACAATAGGTTTACAATATCGATAAATACTATGTGTGTGTCTATTTCCGGGATTTTATCGTGTATTTGCATCTTGGAAATTTTCATTCGAGCCTCTCAAGCTAACGCTTTCGGGTCTCGAGATGAATTTCCACGATGCAAATACTCGATAAAATCCCGGAAATAGACACACACATAGTATTTATCTTCTAATTTATGTATGGACAGACAGACATGCTGCTGTCTGTTTCTCCTCTTGGGTAGGGCGGGTTCCCCCAACACAAAGGCTTTTTCTTTATAATGGCCCTAATGAGATTTCAAATCCTAATGTTTTGATCCTGTGACATTGGGAGGCCTGGTGATTGAAGCTTTCATATTCATTCTGACCATATATATGTATGTATGTAGGGTCAATGCTATTGTAGAAGTTGTTTATATTTATTTATATTTGTCACATCTAACTTGCAGGTTGTTGCTAACGAGTCCTGGGATGTATACAAGAAGAGGAACGACTCAGCTATTGTGGACCTGTTTCAAGGACAGTACAAGTCAACACTTATTTGTCCTGTATGCAGCAAGGTAGGCACTCCTTCCTTCATAGACCATCGCTGTAGAAGTGAAAAAATAATCACCTTTGGAATGTACATCAACTGCTAATTTACTCAACCATGGTGAACATGTTTAGTGTTAGTCCAAGGGGCATGGATGTCCCAGTCATTTAAGGTTCCGCATTTCACTGTGAAGAGTTGCCTCCCTTAGTCATGCCAGAAACCTATGATCCTGGTTTCGCCCTATTATGTTTCTAGGTTTGTCAGCACCACACCCATACTGGTTAGTTTCACCAAAGTGCTAAACGTCCGAGACCTGCATCACTTCAGGCTTTCCTCTCTCATAAGCTGGCATGCCGTGATATTACTCACTCACTCACTCACTCACTCACTCACTCACTCACTCACTCACTCACTCACTCACTCACTCACTCACTCACTCACTCACTCACTCACTCACTCACTCACTGATGAATCAATGAGGGTTTTCTTTTCAGAAATGATTTTTTTTCTGTTGAGGTTGAATTATTTAGGGGGTTTAAAAAATTAATTAACTGCCTACCTTACGACAATATAGGATAGCGCATAGCGATGGTCTTGGGTGAAGAGAAAAGTTGTTTCACTCTCAGATCCCACTTTTTATATGAACCATCGCTGCTGTCAGGCAGTAATGTGATAGGTCATATTCCATCAAGGTCACCTGGCAGCGGTGATGGTCCATACGAAAAGTGAGAACTTTCACCCAAGACCATCGCTATGCCCTGTCCTATATTGTCGTAAGGTAGGCAGTAAATGCATTAAGGAGTAATGCAGGATAAGTATACAAATGTAAAAAATATTTAGATTTTACAGATTTCCCATATTCATGTAAATTAACTTAACTTAAATTAACTGATAATTGAAGAAGTTACTCTGTGAAAAGGTAAAGAAAGTAACACATTGTAGGACATACCGTATTCGACGTAATAAGCGCCCACGTTGAGATTTGCTGATATATTGGCTAGTGAACAATCACAATTAGCACCCTTTCCGACCCCTATTGGCATATAATACGCACCACTTATTTCCCCTATTACGCTCTCATGTGTTATATGCACCCTTTATTATTGGCAATTAAGTTCTGGAAAAATATTTCAGGCTGTCAGCATAAACCATGAAATTTATCTTTCAACTCTGTTTTTTTTTTCACCAAAATAATATTCTAATAAGAGCCCCCTATTTCTAATTTTGAGAGCGCCCTGGGCGCTTATTACGTCGAATACGGTAAGTAGATTGGTTCTAAGGCATGTTTTTGTTTTTTTCCAGGTGTCGATCACGTTTGACCCCTTCTTGTATTTGTCCGTTCCACTACCTAAAAAGTGTCGACTGTTGCCCATCACATTCATGTGGAAAGATCCCTTTGGAAGGAAGCCAGTCCGGGTAGGTGGATTTGGTCAGGGGGAAAGGACCTGTGGGGCCATCTAGAGGTTGAAGTATCCGCCATCAATTCGCGACAGGGATACAGTGTGTGGACCCACCTTCGGGGTTCAGGATTAGCATTGATCCCGAGAAATCGATGCTGGTATTAAGATGTGGCATTGCAGGCATGTGACTTTGAACTTAGCCAGGAACACTGAGTCGTATTTACTCAGCATGCTGTTGCAATACTGCTAAAACAAATACCGATAGTCTCCCCTAATCCGAGGACCGTTGTGATCTCGAGTAGAATGTGTCCCCAACACCCCTTGCTAGTCGTAAGAGGCGACAAATTTGGGAACCACATGGTGTTAGAATTGTTCCCCAGCCGCCTATGCTTGTCATAAGAGGTGACTGAATGGATCCTGTGGTCAAGCTCAGTGACTTGGTTGATTGTGTGTCATTGTACCCCGACGGTGTGGATCGCTGCTCATAATATCAATCACTTGTTTGTCTCAATTATTTTTAGACTGCCATCATTTAGCTGGAATGTTGCTGAGGGCAGCGTTACGAACATACAAAACGAAACAATTTGTGAAAATATGTTTTCATGTTTATAAACTGCAGGACAAAAGGAAGTATATATTTGACCCAGAATGTGACCCAAAAATTACAAACGTTTTCAAAGTGTTATTTGGCTGAAACCGTCACCGGAACACGATCCAAAACTCAACTATGATACCCGTATGAAATGCATCACTATCGAAGAACCGTTTCTTGTTTCTTTCATTCTTTGCCACCATATAACATAAGTGTGTACTTTCTTTTGCCTGGAAGTTTAGCTATGTTATATAACTGCATCTTGGATTAAAAAACAAAACATGAGATATCAAATGTTGGATTAAACACTATCTAAACATTGTCCTGCTTCTAACGTGATGAGCCAGTACATAAGCCACTTCTCTGTTACAGTACTTGGTTCGCCTACCCAAAGACTCCCGTGTTGAACAACTCACAGACGACCTCAGCAAAAAGACAGGGGTCAAACAAAAAGATGTGAGTTGTAAAAGTTAATTAACACCACCAGAATAAGGTGCTTGATACATGAATTGCATTGAAATTGAAATCTTTGTTCTTGCTACCACTAAACAAACATGTGAGGACATCCCATTACGGGATCAACCTTTTGCAAACTTTTACCGACCAATGAAATAACGAGAAGTCAACATTAGCCAATCAGAATGCAGCTTTCTTTAGTTATAAGGGACTAGTTTCAAACTGGCAACTTCCATTCCAGACTGCTTTGAACAACATTTTGACAAAGTTCTCAATTCAAAATTGGAAAACTGAACAAAAAAATGTTCTGGAATGTCTAATCATGTTAATAGATGGTCTAAATTGTATGGCTGTACTTCCAGAGGGATATTCAAAGTCTCTTCTGTTTAATTGTTCATCCCTTTGAAGGAGAGATAGAGGATAATTTAGACGGAAGCAGTCATACAGACAGTAACTGTTGTTTGGAATGTCCCATGTTAATATTTTCAAGGTTGCATGATTAGAAAACACATTCCAACTGTCACTTTCCTGATCTGGTAAGCAATGCTCTGATTGGTTGGATGGAAGGTCGTTCTGATGTGACATGTTAAGGGATGTCCTCACATGTTTGTTTAGCAGTAGCGAGAACGAAGCTCTGATTTTAATGAAATTGTAGTTCATAGAAATATACAGAGATATATGAAGTGATTGATCAAGCAATAGATTCATTGAAATTGCCCATGAGCCAGTGGCATTACTGGCTCTTGGAGGTGTATGTACTCAGCATGCTGTTGCAACAGTAATAAACCAAGTATCCACGTAGGAACATGGGTAGGGTTGCGACCGGGTACGAAAACTGAACTCGAGTACCCGGCAGACAATACCCGAACCGGACTCGAGTACCCGTAGTTCAATGTTGTCCCACTTGTTTGTAATGCTTTTGTGAAAAAAAGGTCATCAAACATCTATTGATCTATTCTAAGGTATTATGTTTTTTATTAAATGCCTGCATGGCTTACCTAAAACCACAAGTGACGCAGAATATCAAAGTAAATGCTCTTGTGTTTAAAACTTAGATACTTTTTCATGGAACTCGTCGAACTACCTGCGTAGCTGATACATATGCCACAGAGACGGCATTTGGTCTTTTTCTTTGTGTCATCAAGGTCAAAATACGCCCAAACATTTGAACGTTTGTCCGCTTTGTCGTCCATTTTGAAGTGACTTACAAGTTATCTCCCCTGAACGGGTAACCGAGTCCTAGGCTACCCGACACTTTATCGGGTACTCGAGTACCCGTCACAACCCTAAACATGGGATAAATGTATCCACAGCATCGATTGCTAGTCATGAGAGGCTATTAAAAGGCTATTAAATTTGGTACCCATGGGATTTCCAGGTTAGAATTGGCCAACTGCAACCCAAGAGGCGACTTAGTCAAGTTATTATTGATGGAATGGTCATGACAATGATTTTGTGTCAACATACCCCAATGGCGTGGATCTTTGCTCATAATATCAATCACTGAGTATCTGGTCAGACTCTATTATTAAGAGGTTGCACAATCTGCATTATGTAGGATATTTTTCTCGCACTTTAACTTCTATTATAAAGAGGGGCTGTCAGGTAGCCTAGTGGTTAAAGCGTTAGCCCGTAACGCCGAAGACCCAGGTTCGATTCCCTACATGGGTACAATGTCCCCCGCTATGATATTGCTGGAATATTGCTAAAAGCGGCATAAAACCATACTCACTCACTCTTAATATAAAGTGTTCTGTCTGTTAACAGATTATCAGGTTTTACCCTTTATGTTTTCCTTCAGATGCGGGTGTTTGAGGCGTACCGGGGGAAGATTCTCAAGGTTTTCACACGACGCGCAAGTCTGTCTAGCGTCCAGATCAATGACACCATTGTTGTGTAAGTACTGTGTTATATGGCAAAAAAAATCATCTGTCAAATTTTTTTGGGGGGGGGGGAAGTATGGAAGTTATGATCACCGTAATCCTAAGATATAACAGGGCCCAGAACTCTTTTGGTCAGGCTTGTTGACTTGCATGTCATCGTACCCTAACTGTGGGATATTGCTCAGAATGTCAATCACTGGTTTGTCTGGTCCCGAGTCCCTTAGTTTCTGTACAGGCTGCAGTGATGAAGCTGGAATATTGATGACTGTCATAAAATATGTTGTTTGTATGCAAAGACCATTGTCCTGCCTGACTTGAATCCTTGATTATTCAGGGTACTACATCTCCAAGTTGTTACGACCAGTACCCTGGACTCATTCGCTGCAATAGCTTTGCTTAAAACCTGATTGCAACAAAATGTGGTAATATAGCTGTCCAATCAAACAATACTTACGGACAAGAGATATTCTGTCCAGGGTATTTAGCATAATACAATGGGGAGATAATCGAGGGTGGCTTTCCTGAAGACATGAAAGATTTGTAATATACTACTCAAGAGAAATTAAAGCGCATCAATTTTTTTTCTTTGACTGTAGATGTCTGTCATGGCTGGTGGTAGTTGCAACCCACAGCATTCAAATTGTTCTTTGACTTGTTTTTTATAGTATTATTGATGGGTTTTTACCAATTTTGGTTCATAGACTCTCTGTCATAACAAACACATCCAGGCAGATTCTGAACATACTACATCAGTAGATGTCATGTGACCAAGCTAAAATAACTATTGTTTAGTCTGGTATCTTTACATTAGCTGTGACTTTGACAGATATTGAAGGATTTAGAAGTCACAGGTCAAAACAGGTTGTAAAATTGACAAGGACATATGCCCAGTTGAGCACATATCCCAAGATTGTTCTTGTTAGTTGTGGAATGCAACATGTTCCTCCATGTGATGTTCCTGTTTTCAGTGCTGAAGTATTGTCAGAGGAAGTGGCAGGAGAAGCCGTTTATGAAGTACCTGTGATACAGGTGAGTGTCGGATGTGTGAAGTACCTGTGATACAGATGAGTGTCAGGTGTGTGAAGTACCTGTGATACAGGTGAGTGTCAGGTGTGTGAAGTACCTGTGATACAGGTAAGTGTAGGATGTGTGAAGTACCTGTGATACAGGTGTTGCATGTGTGAAGTACCTGTGATACAGGTGTCATATGTGTGAAGTACCTGTGTGAAGTACCTGTGATACAGATGAGTGTCAGATGTGTTAAGTACCTGTGATACAGGTGTTGCATGTCTGAAGTACCTGTGATACAGGTGTTGCATGTGTGAAGTACCTGTGATACAGGTGTCATATGTGTGAAGTACCTGTGATACAGGTGTCATATGTGTGAAGTACCTGTGATACAGCTGTTGCATGTGTGAAGTACCTGTGATACAGGTGTTGCATGTGTGAAGTACCTGTGATACAGGTGTCAGATGTGTGAAGTACCTGTGATACAGGTGTCTGATGTGTGAAGAAGCAGTGATACAGGTGTTGCATGTGTGAAGTACCTGTGATACAAATGTTGCATGTGTGAAGTACCTGTGATACAGGTGTTGCATGTGTGAAGTACCTGTGATACAGGTGTTGCATGTGTGAAGTACCTGTGATACAGGTGTTGCATGTGTGAAGTACCTGTGATACAGGTGTCATATGTGTGAAGTACCTGTGATACAGATGAGTGTCATATGTGTGAAGTACCTGTGAAGTACCTGTGATACAGGTGTTGCATGTGTGAAGTACCTGTGATACAGGTGTCATATGTGTGAAGTACCTGTGATACAGGTGTTGCATGTGTGAAGTACCTGTGATACAGGTGTCATATGTGTGAAGTACCTGTGATACAGGTGTTGCATGTCTGAAGTACCTGTGATACAGGTGTTGCATGTGTGAAGTACCTGTGATACAGGTGTCATATGTGTGAAGTACCTGTGATACAGGTGTCATATGTGTGAAGTACCTGTGATACAGCTGTTGCATGTGTGAAGTACCTGTGATACAGGTGTTGCATGTGTGAAGTACCTGTGATACAGGTGTCAGATGTGTGAAGTACCTGTGATACAGGTGTCTGATGTGTGAAGTAGCAGTGATACAGGTGTTGCATGTGTGAAGTACCTGTGATACAAATGTTGCATGTGTGAAGTACCTGTGATACAGGTGTTGCATGTGTGAAGTACCTGTGATACAGGTGTTGCATGTGTGAAGTACCTGTGATACAGGTGTCATATGTGTGAAGTACCTGTGATACAGATGAGTGTCATATGTGTGAAGTACCTGTGATACAGGTGTTGCATGTGTGAAGTACCTGTGATACAGGTGTCATATGTGTGAAGTACCTGTGATACAGGTGTTGCATGTGTGAAGTACCTGTGATACAGATGTGTGAAGTACCTGTAATACAGGTGTCGTATGTGTGAAGTACCTGTGATACAGGTGAGTGTCATATGTGTGAAGTACCTGTGATACAGGTGTTGCATGTGTACAGAACCTGTGATGCAGGTGTCAGATGTGTGAAGTACCTGTGATACAGCTGAGTGACATATGTGTGAAGTACCTTTGATACAGGTGTTGCATGTGTGAAGTACCTGTGATACAGATGTGTGAAGTACCTGTAATACAGGTGTCGTATGTGTGAAGTACCTGTGATACAGGTGAGTGTCATATGTGTGAAGTACCTGTGATACAGGTGTTGCATGTGTACAGTACCTGTGATGCAGGTGTCAGATGTGTGAAGTACCTGTGATACAGCTGAGTGACATATGTGTGAAGTACCTTTGATACAGGTGTTGCATGTGTGAAGTACCTGTGATACAGATGTGTGAAGTACCTGTGATACAGATGTGTGAAGTACCTGTGATACAGGTGTTGCATGTGTGAAGTTCCTGTGATACAGGTGTCATATGTGTGAAGTACCTGTGATACAGGTGTTGCATGTGTGAAGTACCTGTGATACAGATGTGTGAAGTACCTGTAATACAGGTGTCGTATGTGTGAAGTACCTGTGATACAGGTGAGTGTCATATGTGTGAAGTACCTGTGATACAGGTGTTGCATGTGTACAGTACCTGTGATGCAGGTGTCAGATGTGTGAAGTACCTGTGATACAGCTGAGTGACATATGTGTGAAGTACCTTTGATACAGGTGTTGCATGTGTGAAGTACCTGTGATACAGGTGTCATATGTGTGAAGTACATGTGATACAGGTGAGTGTCATGTGTGAAGTACCTGTGATACAGGTGTCATATGTGTGAAGTACATGTGATACAGGTGAGTGTCATGTGTGAAGTACCTGTGATACAGGTGTCATATGTGTGAAGTACATGTGTGAAGTACCTGTGATACAGGTGTTGCATGTGTGAAGTACCTATGATACAGGTGTTGCATGTGTGAAGTACCTGTGATACAGGTGTTGCATGTGTGAAGTACCTATGATACAGGTGTTGCATGTGTGAAGTACCTGTGATACAGGTGTTGCATGTGTGAAGTACCTGTGATACAGGTGTCATATGTGTGAAGTACCTGTGATACAGGTGAGTGTCAGATGTGTGAAGTACCTGTGATACAGATGTGTGAAGTACCTGTGATACAGATGAGTGTCAGGTGTGTGAAGTACCTGTGATACAGGTGTTGCATGTGTGAAGTACCTGTGATACAGATGTGTGAAGTACCTGTGACACTGAATGAGTAGAAGGACTAGTGATGACTCACTGACTATGAGTGTGCTAATGCTTGCTATGTTATGTCATTCAGAGAACACTGATGCCCAACCAGGCTCCCTTGAGGTGCTCTCAGTGCCGGAAGCCACCTGCAGCGGGGATCAAGCTCAAGCGGTGCACCAAGTGTTTCAAAGTTGGATACTGTGATCAGTAAGTGGCCTTTCATACAACAAACAAAATACAGTGATGCTTTGTTAACTCAAAGCTCTAACATTTGCTATGCTGAGTCAAAGACAAAAAGACAAGGATAGCGTGGTCTTGGTGAATTATTCAGATGAACTATGGAGTGTTTTGTTGCTCATAATTTCACTGGATTGTCTGGTCCTAGCTCAATGATTTACTGACCACCGTCATATAGCTGGAATTTTGCTGAGTGATGAGGGCTGGCAATTATTTTTGTTAATAAGGCCTCCTGGCCAGTGAACTTTGGCAACTAATTCCTACACCGAGTATGGACATGTGTCAAGTTGCTTTTTATCCTTTTATGGAGCTGGATAATAGCGTATGATCTGTTTGTCCTTTTGTTTCCCCCCAGACATGTCATTGCTGCAATATTGCTAAAAATGGCGTTAAACCACTCACTCACTCACTCACTCACTCACTCACTCACTCACTCACTCTCACACTCACTCTCTCACTCACTCACTCACTCACTCACTCTCACACTGTCACACTCACTCACTCACTCACTCACTCACTCACTCCTTTGGCTTTTGACTATAACTTGTTCTTTCATAAATCCTGTTTTCTGTGTGTATTGACAGAGAACACTATCTGTTTGTTCAGGGCCTGCCAGCGATCTCACTGGCAAGTGCACAAGTCAAGCTGCAGTGTGATCCCGGAGCCTGTAGGCTGCCCCTTCATCGTCAGTATACCAGAATCTCGGGCGACCTTCTCACGGCTCGGGAAACTCATGGAAGCATACTCAAGGTCAGTCTGCATACACGGAACCAGAGTGAAAATTCTTGAATCTAGACGTTTTGTGGTGGACCAAGTATGCTGAAGTAAAGTTGAACACCACCATGACTTCCTCGTGTAGTGGGGGCGGTCGGGTAGCCTAGTGGTTAAAGCGTTCGCTCGTCATGCTGAAGACCTGGGTTCGATTCCCGACATGGGTACTATGGGTGAAGCCGATTTTCTGATGTCCCCCGCCGTGATATTGCTAGAATATTGCTAAAAGCATCATAAAACCATACTCACTCACTCCTCATGTTGTGATATATTTTCAACAAAATTACATGATTACTGAATACAAGTTGCCAAATCTCAAAATGCTCCTCTTTTTTTTTCTTCAAAAAAGCTGTACTCACATTGTGGACCTCTGTCATAAGATCATTATTTGCACATTATCTTTTTGTGATATTGGTCCAGAGCAACAAATGTACCCACCAAGCTGTCATTGTATCGTCACCTGCTCTAATGTCTGTACCAGGTACTCCATGGATGTCTTCCAGCCCCCTGTGCAGGCCATGCCGCCCACCAAGCTGTCATTGTATTCTCACCCGATCTAATGTTGTCTGTGCCAGGTACTCCATGGATGTCTTCCAGCCCCCTGTGCAGGCCATGCCGCCCACCAAGCTGTCATTGTATTCTCACCCGATCTAATGTTGTCTGTGCCAGGTACTCCGTGGATGTCTTCCAGCCCCCTGTGCAGGCCATGCCGCCCACCAAGCTGCCATTGTATTCTCACCCGATCTAATGTTGTCTGTGCCAGGTACTCCGTGGATGTCTTCCAGCCCCCTGTGCAGGCAGTGCCGCCCACCAAGCTGCCATTGTATTCTCACCCGATCTAATGTTGTCTGTGCCAGGTACTCCGTGGATGTCTTCCAGCCCCCTGTGCAGGCAGTGCCGCCCACCAAGCTGCCATTGTATTCTCACCCGATCTAATGTTGTCTGTGCCAGGTACTCCGTGGATGTCTTCCAGCCCCCTGTGCAGGCAGTGCCGCCCACCAAGCTGCCATTGTATTCTCACCCGATCTAATGTTGTCTGTGCCAGGTACTCCGTGGATGTCTTCCAGCCCCCTGTGCAGGCCGTGCCGCCCACCAAGCTGCCATTGTATTCTCACCCGATCTAATGTTGTCTGTGCCAGGTACTCCGTGGATGTCTTCCAGCCCCCTGTGCAGGCCGTGCCGCCCACCAAGCTGCCATTGTATTCTCACCCGATCTAATGTTGTCTGTACCAGGTACTCCATGGATGTCTTCCAGCCCCCTGTGCAGGCCGTGCCGCCCACCAAGCTGCCATTGTATTCTCACCCAATCTAATGTTGTCTGTGCCAGGTACTCCGTGGATGTCTTCCAGCCCCCTGTGCAGGCCGTGCCGCCCACCAAGCTGTCCAGCCATCCCTCCACCTCCAACCTCAGCTCCTCCTCCAGCAGCCAATCAAGTGGCAGCCTCAACAGCCTTGACAGTCAATCATCATCAGCCAGCACTCACACACTCACAGCAGATGCTGAGCAGGCCTTGGATGACGACTGTGACACTGGCATTGAGAGCAGCAGCACCACAGCATTAGCAGGGAGCGCCACATCACTGGACATGGACCAAAACCTCACCCACATGCCTCCAACCATTGCCTCGAGTGAGAGTTTCGGTAATGATGACATACCGGAGAGTGCCTCCTTGGATCAAAGTGCGTCAAGGAACTTCACTGTGGGTAGTTCGGGACAAGCCGACGAGATCTTCCCTCCAGATCAGGCTAAGGTGTCGTCCAGATCGATCCCCACCAACCCTGTCCTGGGCATCCAGACAGAGGAGTCCGAGAGGGCCATGCCGTTGTTCCACATCAAGCCGGTCAATAACGACGGGGAAGGACTGAGGGGCCCTGATGGGGAGAGACTAGAAGATAAGGGAGAGGTACCCCTAGACTTGACGAGCCGGCGATTTCTATCCATGGACTGGAGAAACAGTGACAAGCTTGCGTCCTATGTGTTGGTCCAGTCTAAGGAGTTGGTGAGTTAACGCCATTATGATCTCCATAGTGGTCCTTGGATTATATGCTGTTATTAGATTAGGGCTGTCATTCTTAGGCATCTGTTGAATTTAGAAAATGACCAAGGATTCCAGGGAACAGGCTTTTGGGGAAAAACTGGGATATTGGCTCAAATTGGTCAGTGAATACAAGTCTCTTCTACATTACCGTAAAACATGAATTGGGAAATTTGGTAATTTGGGGATTTTTTACTGATAATTGCTGCAGACTTGGATCTGAATAATGGCCTCTGAGCACATCTAGATAAATCCTTGATGATGCATGCTGACTGATGTTGACAAAGGAACTCACAGTGTTCTTCTGCCCTTTTCAGGATGCGGATGATGATGAAAGCATGCAGACGGCACAATCTGATGGTGAGAGTCATGCTTTTGTTTCAAGATGTGTATGATGATGACATATTTGCATATCCTTATTGGCTTTTTGCTCACGTTTTCTGATCAAACTACTTCTTCAGAACAGCTATGAATTATCTTCACATTTCAACTGTTATATTCCAGACTACTCCAATATCACACTGGACCAGTGTCTGGAGGTGTTCACCGAGCCCGAGATGCTCAGCCGAGACGAAGCCTGGTAGGTAGCAAAGTTACAGATGATGTTATAGGACACCTGATAATTTCTCTGTTTACTTCTTAAAGTCGGAGCATTGCCATCTAACATGCCTAATGGGAAGTTTACATGGCGGGTTAAGAGGAAGGGTCATGACAAGTCCACACAACCTCCGTGGTCTAGTGGTAGAGCGTCTGCCTGGAGAGAGGAAGGTCGTGGTTTGATCCCCGGCCGCGTCATACCAAAAGACGTTAAATGATAGTACTTGTTGTTACCCTATCTGACGCTCGGCATTAAGGGTCTTTAACAAGGACTGGTCGGCTCGGAGTCAGTACACTGTGTCTGTGTGGATGATTCATGTTAAGTGGCGGCATGGTATCTCAGTGGGCCAGCACTATAAAATCAGCAACGCCCGCACGTACGCACGCACGCACGCACGCATGCACACACGCCACCAAGTTTGTAGTTCATCAGTGGACTCCAATGGTTAAGTCCAACTAGTTTGCTCAACAATAGTACCCTATCCTATCAAGACATGCTGCATGGGGTTTCTGGGTTCAAGCAGGTCCCCAAAAAGCCATGCTTGTCATAAGAGGATTGGGTGGTCAAACTCAGTGATTTGATTGATTGCGTTTATCTTACCCCAACGGCCTGGATTGTTGGTTACAATATCAATCACTGGTTTGTCTGGTCCAAGGCGGATCCAAAATATCAGAATTCTGTCTCAGATAATTTTACATTCTACAACATACTACATTTACTTTTCAAAGAGGGATGGGGGTCTGGGGGTCTGGGGATCACAGACCACCATCTTGTAGGCTGGAATACTGTCAACAACAAACACACTTTGTGAGTCAAGAAACAATACAAACCAATGTTGCTAGAGCTGGGACGAGTCCAAATTTACTACCCGGGTACTCGCCCCCCTCTTACCCTACCCTATCCTACCCGGATACCCACTCTAGGTCTCAGGAGATGTCTCAAAATTTCCGATTGGGATATTTTTTAGCATAGCCCTGGCAAAACGTATTTAGATACATATATTAAACAACCTGGTCATGCATACACTGAAGTTGACTTCAGTTATATGTTTATTCAACCATATGAAAAGTCAGAAGGAATGGGTGCATAGTCAGAAAGAAAAGCGAACATTAATGACTTGTAGTGTAACCATAGAGTTCCAGATAATTTTAGTCATCAGACAATATATCACCTGACTAACCACGGGTCCGGGTAGTCCTTAAGGTACCCGGGTCCTACTCAGTACCCACCCGACCCGGGTACCCGAGTTGCCCGTCCCAGCCCTAAATGTTGCTATGTAGTGTATGTACTTTGTTGTGCAGGTACTGCCCACAATGCAAGAAGCACCAGGAAGCAACGAAGCAGATGTCAATATGGCGGCTCCCACATCTGCTTATTATCCAGCTGAAGAGGTTCTCCTTTAGAAACTTCATCTTTCGGGACAAGATCGACAAAATGGTGGAATTTCCTACAAGGTACTGCTGGAAATCTCTTTATTTGTGATTGGTTATCAAGCCGCAAGACAAGATCTCTCTCCATTGATAATTGCCTTAGACTTTCCTTGTCAATCATGGTTAACATTTAGCAAGTGCTTGCCAGTGAAGAAATTAGAACACAGGATACAATTGTCTGTACATTTATTCCACTAATATTTACAATCAACAGATCAACTGACAATAAGATACTGACACATTACAATGGGCTCAGCCCTCAGGAACACACCATCTTGAACCCATTACCTAGAAAACTATCTGCCACACTACGTCATACAATTACATCACAGTCTTATCAAATCTATATACATACACACCAAGTATACATGGAATCCAAGAGTACTAACGAACCTCAAGCATCAAACCAAACCAGAAATATTTTTGTGTTGAATGCAAAGGGAGATAATCGTATAACCAGATAACATGTAGACCACAAGTATATATGGCCGAAAATATTATACAGCAACAATGTTAGTCAATGCTCAGGTCTGCTTTCCCAGTAGTTGTTCGCATACACAACAAGTATATATGGAATCCAAGAGTATTAATGAACTTCAAGCATCAAACCAAACCAGAAATATTAGTGTGTGGAAATCAAAGGGAGATAATCGTATGACATGTAGACCACTAGAAAATATGGCTGTAAACAGAGCAGCAATGTCAGTCAGTCCTAAGCTTTGCCAACAGTTGTCACTTAGGCCATTAGTGGAATACATTTTCTTTGAGACAACTAACATGAAGACTAGCAATGTGTGACAGCTGATTGTCATTGTTAATGGTTTCTCATGGTATATGAACCAGTAGTTTGTCTAATCTGTATTTCATTATCGTGATATAACTGGAATATTGCTGACGTACATTCACCCTCCCACATATACTACTCAAAAGAAAGTTTAGCATATTTACAGCTAGTATGGTATGACACTTTTACAAGCTTGGCACAAGATCCTTTTCTCTCTCACTTTATCTGTCACTGTCTCTCACTCTGTCTCTAACTTTCTCTCACTCTATCTCCCACTTTCTCTTTCTCTATCACTTTATCTCCCACTGTCTCTTATTCTATCTCTCACTTTCTCTTTCTTTCTCACTGTCTCCCTCTTTCTCTCTCACTATATCTCCCACTGTCTCTTATTCTATCTCTCACTTTCTCTTTCTTTCTCACTGTCTCCCTCTTTCTCACTGTCTCCTCTTTCTCTCTCACTATATCTCCCACTGTCTCTTATTCTATCTCTCACTTTCTCTTTCTCTCTCACTGTCTCCCTCTTTCTCTCTCACTTTATCTCCCACTGTTTCTCACTATATCTCTCACTTTCTCTTTCTCTCTCACTGTCTCCCTCTTTCTCTCTCACTATATCTCCCACTGTCTCTTATTCTATCTCTCACTTTCCCTTTCTCTCTCACTGTCTCCCTCTTTCTCTATCACTTTATCTCCCACTGTCTCTTATTCTATCTCTCACTTTCTCTTTCTCTCTCACTGTCTCCCTCTTTCTCTCTCACTATATCTCCCACTGTCTCTTATTCTATCTCTCACTTTCCCTTTCTCTCTCACTGTCTCCCTCTTTCTCTCACTTTATCTCCCACTGTCACTCACTATATCTCTCACTTTCTCTTTCTCTCTCACTGTCTTTCTTTTCCTCTCAGCTAAGCCTGTTTGTGTTCTACTTCAGAGGTCTGGACCTGTCCAAGTTTATCCTGGGGAAGACGCCCTCGGCACAGCAGCATCCTGTGTATGATCTCTACGGCGTCATAAACCATCACGGAGGCATCTTGGGCGGCCATTACACCTCCTACGTACGCTGCACCGACACTGTTGACCCTCTGAGGAATGAAGTTGGTACGGAGCCATGGAGCATCACTGTCATCATTATCTGATGCTGATACTGAATAATATTAACAGTATCAAGTATTTACAACTGAAACATATCTTTATCAATTTACTTGACACAGTTTGATGTAAAGAAAAATATGTGAAAAGTTTTCTTATCTTCCTTGTTGTGCTGGGGGCATTGGTGGCCCAGTTGTCTGATGCCATGGTTCACTGCGCAGAGTTTTGTATTTTCAAAAATTGCAAACTGACATCACGACCCACAGACTTTCGAGGCTTCAGGCCCTGGGTAAACTCTTCAGGCCTTCTTTTAAAAAAATGCAGCTTATTGTTACAGAATTAATCAAAATGTAAATCTACTGCAGGCCATAAGGAGTCATACATATTTGAAACTATGGGCCAGACTCAAGATCTACCTGCCACAAGCCTACGGGCAGGCACTTCTTTTGAACACTGGTCCCTTGGGCACACAAGAAACCTATGGTTATGGGTACAAAGCTGGGTTCACCTTGTTATGTTATAGGTTTGTCAGCACGATACCCGTGCACGTGGTTTACACCAAAGTGGTAAACGTCTAAGACCTGCATCACTTCTGGCTTTCCTCCCACATTTAACTGACACTGGAATACTGTTCAAGGTGGGTTTAAACTAGGGCTGGGACGAGTCCAAATTTACTACCCGGGAACCCACCACCCTATTACCCGACCCTACCCGGGTGCCCACTGTAGGTCTCAGGAGATTTCTCAAAATGTCCGATTGGGAACATTTTTAGCTTAGCCCTGGCAAAACGTATTTAGATACATGTATTAAACAATCTGGTCATTCATACACTGAAGTTGAATTAAGTTATATCTTTATTTAACCATATGGAAAATCAGAAGGAATGGGTGCATAGTCAGAAAGAAATGGAAACATTAGTGACTTTAGTGTAACCAAATATAATTATTTTCACTAAACAATATATCGCATGCCTAACCACGGGTCCAGGTAGCCTTGTGGGTACCCGGGTCCTTCTCAGTACCCACCCGACCCGGGTACCTGAGTTACCCGTCCCAGCCCTAGTTTAAACCCAACTCACTCACTGACTCTTGTGTTATCTCAAAAGTGTTTGTTGCTGTGGACAATACAATACCACTATACACGTTACCCAAGATGATGTTTCGATACCTTGTTAATTTATTTGAGAGTATTTTTGTTCGTCTCTTCAGATTGGCGTCTGTGTGATGACAGTCGAGTGTCATCAATCAGCAATGAGAAGAACGTAGTCACCAGAGCCGCCTATCTCCTGTTTTACCGACAACGAACAAATGAACCAATCCTTCCACCTCCGTCAAGTGAGTCGTCCGAGGAGGAACAAAACACTGAACAAACCAAACTTATCACAGACTCAAATGTCAAACTGTCAGCCACTGCCGACGGCGCCACCAAACATTCTCAGAACTTGTTGGAGAAGGGGTCCAGTGACAGTGATGAGGCTGGAGAAATAAGGGGAGACAACCAGGACAATCGGACAACCTATAGGGACCTCGGTTACACAGACATGGATGCTGTGGACTGAGAGCATTCAATCACAATTATTTATAACATCACACATCTTCCATCATGGATAAATGCCATATTTATTCAGATCATTTGTCATGTGTCTTTATGCTTTACCAGTTGAGTTTAATTTACCACATCGGGCTGACTGAGTGAGTGAGGGATTTTTTAGTAATACATGTAGTTACCTTTGTCAGGACTATTAGAGCTATCTGAAGAATTTCATTTTTGTCCAGCTATGGTTGTGTGAGTGAGTGAGTGTTGTTTTATGCCACAGAGAACAATTGTAGCTACAAATGTATATCACGGCCTTATTCAGACGACATAGTCTGTGCCTGACTGGCTAACAACATGAGAACCTATACTGATCCTCATTTAAGTAACTCGATATGTCTAATGTACCATTGCCCACTAGAATGTCATGATGACTGCAGTGCATAAATTAATTTCCAAAGTTCATTGGCTGGAGGTCTTGTTAACACTGTTGCCAGCCCTCATCATATTTTAGTAGTCCAAAACGCTTCTGATAAACTACAAAATGACAACAGACTTAGACTTTTGATTATTTGTAGAAATAAATAGGTATTGACTAGAAGTTTCAACTGGAAGTTGGACCAGCTTTACGGAAATGTTCCTAGCCCAATTTCAAAGTCACAGGCATTTGGCTAGCGGGCAGGCAGCTATTTCAGACACTGATGATGAGCATCGTCAATACTTCACATGCTTTCTCCGACACCCATGAATCCTGTATATGAATCCTGATTATGTTTCTAGGTTTGTCAGCACCATATCTGTGCTCGTGGGTTTCACCAGAGTGGTAAATGTCTAAGACCTACATCACTTCGGGCTTTTTTCCCACATCAAGCTGACACACCGTGATATAACTGGAATACTGTTAAAAGCGACGTTAAACCCAACTCACACTCACTTACAACTAACACAAGGGTGATTATAGGGAATTTTCACATATATCTGATTGTTAACAACTATATGTGAAAGTCTGACAAGACAGTCACTTTGTAAAACAGTGACTGTCTATCCAGTTTGTCTAATCACTATCAATATGTAAATGTTATAGCACTGAATACAGGCGAGCTGCTCTACCGTGGGTACACTGTTTCTAAATGACAGATTAATAGTCTCAAGGCTAATGACAATCTTTGGTTAAATATGGCTTCATCCATTGAAATGCACATTTACAAGTCATTGAAATATCATCTTTCTCCTCTCCAGGAACAGTAGCTTTGACTTCATACAATGTACTCTCCATTTGGACCTTACAATGTGTAAAATGTTCACGTTCTCTTGTTTCTTCATGTAAGTCTGTGATGGCTGTTGTACAGGTGTGAGACTACACGTGACAAACTTGCACAATCGGGTGCTGTGGCTGAAAGACATTAACAGTTTTTTAATCAAATATTAATATGCAGGAATTCAGCCTCTTGGTTTTGTTAGACTATTTGCACCTTTGTGAAAGGAAAGGCAAATGGGGGAACAAGCTGTAAACCCTGGTTTGACACAAGCAGCCCCAAAACACAGATGGAAGTGACTGCGTCCATAGCATCATCATCTCAACTCCAGAATGAGGAATGTTGCTTAAATTTCCGCACAAATTTTATAAGTTATGGCTCTCCTGATGCATTTATATCAATTCAACACTAAGTTTTTTAAAGAAATTATGGAACCTTTTGATGGTGAAATATGTTGCATTTACAAAGTACTATAAATATATCGTGAAACTCGCCATGAATAGTTGCAAGAAGCTGATGACGCGTCAGGTAATATTTACACACTCGCTTGCTTATGTCACTAAACATGTGAATATCCAAACTTGTTTTGTCCATTTTCAAGCGACTAAAATGAATGCAACTAATTTATTGTTTTTTGAGAACCTTGTCTCAATGTGCTTCTACAGACATTTATAAATGTTTTTTATCAACTGTTAATTCAATAGATGTTGTACTTTGATCCTGTTTGCACTCTTTCACACGGAGTCAGCATGCTAGGGATTAAATTGTGATGATTGTTAGTAGCCCCTTGAAACACGACTGATTTACAGCTTTGTTGGACTTTGACCACCGCTGCTACCATCTGAATTTTTCTACTCACTACACAAAGATTATTGACATTTAGGTATTATTCTTCTGTGGACTTATCTCAAATAGCCATGGGGAATTCATTTGGCATATGTCTTGAAAATGTGAAAGGTCAAGGTAACAAGAAAGAGAAATCTCACAGAAAAGTTTGTGGTTATACTCAGAACATAGTTATGCATTTATCATTTACCATCTCTAGGATGGGGCCTTGCTTTGAAAAGGTTGAGGTCAAAATAAGTCAAGGTTATCATTAAGGTCATATAAGTCAGTTTCTGAGCCGTGGTTAACTCATCAGCCATGAAACTCTGTGTTTACACGTATCTTTACAAATGCTACCACATCTAATGTTGGTGCGGGGGCATGGGTGGCCCAGTCGTCTAAGGCGCCATGGTTCGCTGTGAAGAGTTGCGTCCTTTGGGCACACCAGAAACCTATGATTGTGGGTTCAAATCCCGGTTTCCCCCGATTATGTTTTTTGGTTTGTCAGCACCATATCTGTGCTCGTGGGTTTCACCGAAGTGGTAAATGTATATGACCGACAACATTTTGGGTTTTCCTCCCACATCAAGCTGACATGCCGCGATATAACTGGAATACTGTTAAAAGCGGCGTTAAACCCAACTCACTCACTCACTTACAACTAATACAAGGTTGAATATATGAATTTTCACATATAGTTTCAAGTGGTAGACGTCTCAGACCTGCATTACTTCATCACTTCATCACCTCCCACACTAAGATGACACGCATTGATATAACTGGAATACTGTCGAAAGCGGTGTTAAACCAAAATCACTCGCTAGTGTTGGTGCTTAGTCTACCAAAGGTCAAGGTCATCATAGTGGTAATTGTGAAACATAGTTGTATCACTCTTGTTCGTTCAGCCGAAGCGATCCGATGTAGTTTTTGACCAACCGAAAAATAGTTTCATGAAAGTCTAACCCTTACATTGGCTGACCCCTTTCTACAGAATCTTTTTTCTTGTCCTCAAAGTCCAGCTTATCTGCGGTCATTACGGTACTGTTGCTTCTACAATGCTGATGTTGAGGTAATTATGGGATCTTGCGAAGTTCTCTTTAAAGACGTCAATGTCTGGAAGTAATGTTTTTGGACTGGACGTATAGGATAGTATTTTGTTAGTTTAGAAGCTTTGGGGAAATACAGCGGGAGAAACTAACATTTTTAGTCCTTATAATGAAGACATATAGCAAAACCCTTAAAGTGGCAAATTTCTACTAGTCCTTAGGATACCTTAACTATTGGGGAGTTTGGCAAGGACTACAGGACTAGTGCCAATTTCTAACACTGATATAGCAGTGGAGGTGCTACTTCTGTTTCTGGTGTTTCTTGCAAACACCCCTAGTTGTACTCCTTGACCGAAAACCTCCTGTACACAGTACAATATCTTGTGATACAATTTGTTACTGTTATTGTTGAATTGTAAAGTTTGTTGACAACATAAGGTTATCTATGACAATGAAGTGAGACATGATGTTTTGTATTATAGTAGATGTTAAGGTCACACTTTTCATGTTAATTGGTTTACGGATTTGGTGGGGGGATGCATAATATATGTACTGTGACTTTTTTCTTTCTTTTTTCTAAGGTTTTCCCATTATGTTGTCATGAATGCAATGTTTCTGAGGCAGTCATCTCTGTCGTGCAGTTCAATGTTTTTTATGCAATTTGTATTGTTTTGGCTGAATTAAAAACATTTATTTTTTTCTGCTTAGGGTTTTTTTGGTTAAGTGATCCATAAACCAATTTATTTTGAAAAGTGTTGCCTTTGTGTGAAATGTTTTGTTGTCAAATTTCATCACAGATGAAACATTGCTTGCTAGCTTGAAGCAATTATCGATCTCATCGTTTCAAAATGTTTGAATTCTTTATATTTTTTCTTTTTATTATTAGGCAGGACCAGTTTACTTTTTTGTGTTACAGTTGTTCGTGGCCAATATGCCAAGAGGCATGCAACATAAGACAAATAAGAATGATGAGAGCCATGATATGAGGTCGACTTCCTAAACAATTGTGAAATGAAAGTTTTGACCAAAATATAAACAATAACACAGCGGTTGCTTTTTTGTCATCTGTTTCCGTATGAGGTGTTACTTACTGAAGTGTGGGTCAAATCCCAGTTCACCCAGGTTATGTTTCTAGGTGAGTCAGCACCGTACATCAAGGGTTTCACAAAGTGGTAAACGTCTGAGACCTGCATCACTTCGGGCTTTCCTCCCACATCAAACTGACATGCCGTGATATAACTGAAATACTGTTCAAAGTGGTGTTTAAACCCAACTCACTCACTTATTGAGGTAAGTGAAGGAAAACGTGTGAATTAATGAAATCAGATAATCCGATTAATATTTTGTTCAGTTGTAGGCTACTGGTTTGTCCTCCATCTTATGAGGGGGGCATGGGGGGCCCAGTCGTCTAAGGTGCCGTGATTCGCTGTGCAGAGTTGCGTCCCTTGGGCACGCCAGAAACCTATGATTGTGGGTTCGAATCCCGGTTCGCCCCAATTAAGTTTCTAGGTTTGTCAGCACCATACCCGTGCTCGTGGGTTTCACCGAAGTGGTAAACGTCTGAGACCTGCATCACTTTGGGCTTTCCTCCCACATTAAGCTGACACGCCGTGATATAACTGGAATACTGTTAAAAGCGGCGTTAAACCCAACTCACTCACTCACTCCAGCTTATGATTCCATACATATGATATGCCTTTCTAGTCTTGATGTCCTGAGCCCCCCCCAAATTGCACTATTACTAAAATGGGGTAAATATTTTCTCACTCACACAACCAGTCACTCTTTGGATGAAGGTATTCTAGGTGTTTTTCTCTATTAGTGTTTATATGTTTTACAGAAAATCGTTTGTATTGCTGATGTTGTCCCAATGGATAGTAAGATTGGGAAAACTTATTGGTTGTCGTTCACCTTTCACCCGTTCTAAGTCCTCCAACGTATTGTATACACAAAGGTCCTATATATCAGAGTGCAGAGAAAGGGCTTAGTGGGTAATGTGTTTGCTCATCTGGCCGAAAAACCCTGAATTCAGATTCTTTTAAAAAAAATGTGTTAGTCATATTCTTTGTGTTACCAACTGAATACATTTTGGACATATTCTTAGCAGGAAGCATTTTCCAAATATCCAGCCATTTAAATATCTTACTGTGTCAGGAGAGAAGTTGAGCAACATTCCGACCAATCAAATTACAGCTCTTAGACAGCCAGTTGAGGTTTGCATATGCTGAAGTTGTGTCAGTAGAATAACAGTCTCACAGTTCAGAAGATGAAAGAATAGGTGTGTAAAGAGATTGGTTGGTTTGTTGTTTAAAGCCGCACTCAGCAATATTCCAGCTATATGACGGCGGTCTGTAAATAATCGGGTCTGGACCAGACAATCCAGTGATTTATATCATAAGGATCGATCCACGCAATTGGGATCGATGACATGCATCAACCAAGTCAGCGAGTCTGACCACCCGATTCCGTTAGTCGCCTCTTACGACAAGCATAGTTGTGCAAAGAGGAAGAAAAGAATTTGCCCATTGCTTCTAGTCTTCTTCAGTGTTTCCTAAAATGATGGCTTGTATTCTCTTAATGTATATACGCATATAGCTCTGACCCTGCGACCTGATTTTGGCTACCTTTTGTCATTCAGTGATTTTCTATTAAATAAATGGAAGTACATCATTTCAAAAGGGTTGCATAAGTGAATCTTTAATGGTGTCAATTTCGTACATTTCTTCCGCATTTTCTTGTCATGGGTCATAAATTATTTGTCCTATGTGAATGTACAGTGGAACTCAGGACAGTACTCGTGAAATCATTTGGAGTAACATGTCTGGATTACCAATCAAGGGTATCGGTATATGGAAGTTTCCCTTTGTATATATGTAAGTGCTCCAAGCTGTAGTAGAGTGGTTGGGTGGCCCAGTAGTTAAAACGTTGACTGGTCACGGCGAAGGCTCTGGTTCAAGTCCCCACATGGTACAATATTTGAAGCCCATTCTTAGTGTCCCTGTCATGATATGAGTGGAATAATGTAAAAGTGGCTCAAACGCAACTCACTCACTCACTCATCTCAGCATCTGGGGATGGAGGTTTCTAAATCTCAGCAGGGTTTCACTGTATGTTGTGAATCTCTTGACACTGTGCATTGTCGCATTCCTTAGGTATTCAAGAACCCAGTATTCATTGTTCGAATCTCTTGGTTTGTCAGAACCATACATTGGTCAAGTGTTTCTCCCAAGTGGTAAACTTCTATGCCCTGCATCACCTCAGGCTTTCCTCCCACATTAAGCTGACACCTCTGACTAGAATACTGCTCAAGCAGATTAACCCCAAATCACTCACCGTTCTCCTCCATGTACATTGTGCTCCTGGCATAGGTGGCCCAGTAGACTAAGGTGCAGCTATACCCTTGGTGTGTCGCATCCCTCGGGCAAGCCAGAAACCTATGATCGGGGGTTCAAATCTGGTTCACCCCGATTATGTATCTAGGTCTGTCAGCACCATGCCCATGCTCATCGGTTTCACTACAGTGGTAAATGTTTAAGACTTTCATTACTTCTGGCTTTCCTCACAGATCAAGCTGACACGCCTTGATATGTCTGAAATACTGTTCATGAGGCGTCACTCACTCACTCACTCACTCACTCCTGCTGAGTATGCCATGTTGTCCCGATGTGAAGGTGAAGGTTTTGTAGGACCATGGTTGAGTTTATTTTGTTGACCATGTGATACTGAATGTGTGTTTCATACAGATGTGTGTACTGAGCAGATTGTATTTATTAGTGACCTATATGTGTGTTTTGTACTGTTTTCTTCTTTGAAGATATAAATTCATACTAAAGTGACGTGCTTGTCTTTTATTTCTATATATAAGATAGCTACACCATAAATCACAAAGAACAATGAAGAACGAAGCGTGGTTTATTTCAAGGTAAAAGATTGTTCTATCATGATGTCATTTCTGGAGAGTCAAACATGCGCTCGCAACTTGATATGACATCGTTAATCGGACAACGTTACATTTGAGAGGGAGGTGTCTGGTGAGTTGTCCCCCATAGATGTGGCTGGGCAACGTAGATAAACGCAATGGCCAAACGATCGCATCCAAAAGCGGGAGAGATATGAAAGTCAGTATTGGGAGAATAGGTACAGGTAATCGACATGAGGATTGTGAGAATGTGCAGGAAATTTATATATATATAAAAGTGAATATCACCAAATGAAATATTTTTGTTTATGTGGTGTGTACATGGTGTAGGCATAACCAAAATCAGTGCTACTTTTCATTTTATGATTTGGCCATTTTTTATGAAAATATGTGGATTCGGATTGCAACAAATACAACACGAATGGCCAAGAGATTGTTTTGCCTGCTTGTTGCTGTTGAAACATTTTCTACTGAACTCATTATGCCCCCCAACTAACAATGGGTTCAGAGAATTCTAGGTGTTCCAATAATCCAGGTTAAATGAATAAAATCTTTTTCACTCACTTTAATAATTCTGTAATGCACATATTTAAATATTTGCTTTGGGGAGGAAATCTTGGAACATCATTCTCAAAATACTCTGCACAGAGATAGAGCACTTTTCATGTGGCGGTGACAGTTGAAGCTGCTTGAGACATTATTTCAGCATATCAGCTTAATGTGGATGCCAAGATAAAGATTGACACAGGCCTTAAACCACTTACATTTGTTTTTTGTTTAATGCCGCAATCAGCAATAGTAAAGCTACATGATGGTGGTCTTTAAATTATCTAGTCTGAACCAGACAATCCAGTGATTGACATCATGAGTGTCGATCCACCCAATTGGGATACGACATGCATCAACCACATCAGCAAGCCTGACCACCGATCTCATTAGTCGCCTCTTGCAACAAGCATAGGTTGCTGAATATCCAATTCTAACCTGGATCTTCATAGGTCAAACCATGCATGAGATGCCCAGGAGTATAAATATAGTACTAACATACCAATGATCACAATCGTTCCAAATGGGGATTTTTAACCCATTGTTTGCAGATCCTTGCATGGCTAAGGGACACAACCCTGCACAACAAATTGCTGGGCCCATTGCTCCCCTGTCTGCTTGTCAATTGAGGTAAAAAAGGGTTATCTCACCAACCCCAATCCACCCCCATTTTGATCTAGGCTATTCTTGAATTCGAGGCCTTATTGTTTGCAGAAGCCCTTGTTTATTCCTTGTTGGTCTAGGGCGGTGGGGTAGCCTAGTGGTTAAAGCGTTGGCTCGTCTCGCTGAAGACCCGGGTTCAATTTCCCACATGGGACACAATGTGTGAAGCCCATTTTCCGCTGTCCCCTGCTGTGATATTGCTAAAAGCGGCGTAAAACCATACTCACTCACTCACTCACACCTTGTCGGTCTGTTAGTGACCTTGGGCTTCTGCAAATAATTATGACCTTGGGCTTCTGCAAATGATAATAATCTGGGAAACAGTGTAGGCTTAATCAAACAATACACCTTGTGCATTGGTGCTGCTCAAATTGCAGGTGGCTCAAGATTTACACAGACACCTTTTATGAAGAAAAAGACGTGTTGTTTGTGTAAACTGTTTACCTGATACTATTTGTGGAACTTGAGTACCTGGCTGTGCTCTGACAAACAGGATCAGAAAGAGGAATAAAACAACAGTATTTCGTGATAAACAGGAACAGTTGAGGGAACACTTGTTTAACCTACAAATACACATATCAATAGAGAAACATAATTACCTAATTAACAATGGGAATATTTCAAAGTAAAATCTATAATACTTTTTTCATTGTTTACTTGTTAGATGATCCATTTAAACGTTTCGTACATTCCTCAAATGTATATATTTCGTTCCAGTTCGGTTCGAACTTTTGCAGTAACCAGCTGAGAAAACATGGCTGCGCCCAGTCGGCGTTTATGCACGCTGATTCGATTGCAAGAAAATTCACACTTTCCCTTGATATGTAATTCATGTATAAGGTACACATTGCCTCAGACATGGCATTATTCTACCCTTCCGAAAATTGACTACGCATTTTAAATCACCATAGAAGTATTTTACAATCGCAAAAGAAAACGGATTCGTATGGTTCAGTTTTCGATCACACGATCTCTCACAACAACGACTATTACACGATGTATAAAGCTAGAAAGCAAAAGACTTTTTGAGAATTTCTTACGAAATGGCATCTACCTTATTTCAACACTATGTCGAAGTTATACAGGGATAGATTATTTATCCATGCAAATACTCTCGCAAATATGTTTATTGTTATGCGCTCGTGCATGATGAAATACATAATCATGATGCACGTATCAAAAGTGCATTAAATGTAAAGCTGGCAGCGGTGATACAGTGGTACATGATTTTGGAAGCCAATGGGTATAGCTAGTGGAAAATAAACAATAAATCCATCTATTATTATCTGAATAAAAACGTGGTTCCTTTCAAGAACATGCCTCAATGACAAATATTGACACTGAAAAATAAATGTGTATTTTAACCCTGCCATTGCCCATGGTAGGGTAATACTACTCATGTCCATAGTTTACATTAATTTAAAATAAAATCAAGGTAGAGCAACAGTAAATCAAATTTTTATTCTGTGTTCATGTATTGACACATTTCAATTCAAGTACATTTTTATGACAGATTCTTGGCATTTTAAATCATGTTCGATGTTATACCAATGTGTCTATCCTTGAAAGATGAACAGTAATGTCTGTAAGTTTATCTGCTCAATACATTTAAGCTTGCACAATTTGTTTTGGATCGATGCTTATGATGTCAATCACCGGATTGTCTGGTCCAGATTTTATTATTTACAGACCTCCATCAAATAGCTGGAATGTTGCCAAGTGTTGCGTTAAACAACAAACAAACAAACAAATTGAAATAGAATCACAAAATTAACAATTATTAATTGTGCCAATACCTATAGATGAAACCAGACAATTCCGGTGATAAAGATTCATACTTGCAGCATGGACACTAATCTATTTTTAGGGCCCATGCTTGCAGTGATGACAAAAATTGCTGAAGGGGCTTTTAAAGAAATGCCCATTTCTACACCATTCTTGAATGTATATATGTGTAGTATGGTGGAAACAAGGGGTAGGAGTGCCAACATCTGTATGATTATGTATCTGGTGTTTAGGTATCCACAGAAATACAAACAAGTGACTCCATCCAATGCAGTGGTATTTATAAGGGCTGCAACGAATACACTTTGAGGCGAATACGATTCATATCATGAATAGAGGATAACGGATATGAATATTTATTCACGAATACAATAACAAGTCAAGATATGATATTCAGTGAAACAATAACAAATTAAATTATGTAACATGGTTTGTTAATTATCAATTTATTAAATTTATTATACATTTATATACTGCACTTATCCAGGTGCCTATATCTGCTCAGATGCGACAATGACCAGTGACCACAATACTGTCAAATTAAATATAAAAGAGTGTTGTCTTTGAAGAAATCTATGCATATAATATGTTCTTATGGCTATTTTAAGGGTCAGGGTATGTAAATGCAAATGACTGCATATTCATAAATATTCGATTCTAGTGACTACGAATAACAAGTTCAATTCATGAATGGATACGGTTTGATTCACCGAATATGCGAGTGTATCGTAACAGCCCTAGTATTTATCCATCATTAGGGCATTTACAAAAATGAGTTAGTTTCTACCCCTGTATACTTTCAGCTTTTCATATCAACATGATCAATGACATCATGTTTTTACCCTTTCTTACAAACAGCATTGAATGAGAAAATCTCGTACTTTTTTCATATCACATGTGGATACAACATGTTAGTCAGCCAAAATGTTTTTGTCAAGTCATTTATTTTTTATCTAATTTCTTGTTTTTTATTGGTCAGTCTTGTTAAGCAACTAAATAAAAATAAATGTTCCTACCTAATTACCCATTCACAGAAATTCTTGTTTGTATGCCATCTAATTAGGCAAGAAACATTTTTCAGCAATGTTCCGATTTGTTGGTGTTATTGAGTTTTTCTTCTCTGTCTTTCTACAAGAACCCTCGCAGCTGTGAGACAGACATGACATCAGTCTGGAAGGTTATGACATCATGATGCAATTGATGCTTCCATGATAACTGTACCTGCTGTATACCAGAATGTGGAAAAAATACAAAATTGATGTTCTTCTGATAAATACGGATCAAACTTACTGATAATGTATCCTATTCACCAAGCCAAGAGGCATTTTCTTCTCAAATTTTGGACTGAGAAGAAAAGATACTTATCAAATAAAATATTCATGTGTCTGAATGTTTTCCGGGGTCCAATCTCATTCAACCAGACTGCAGCACACGGCCCAACAATTTTATACTTTCATTATTATTCCAACATTCATGAGGATTCACCATGGTTACCAGAGAATATTTCAGGGCAGAATAGGTTTACAGCAATAGCCACTAACCAGTACTTGTACACTGATGCTGCAGCTTATGTTGCAGATGTGCCTTTTCTACTTTACCTTCTTTGTTTTAGATACATGTCCGGAGGTCCTCCTGATGGACATGTGTCGCCTCCTGGTTTCATTAAGAGGTACATCGTTGACCACATCGTCAACTTTGTGTCCAAGAGGACAGAGAAGCTTGAACGGAGATATCCGAAAGTGTTTGAAATCTACAGAACGTTTAGAACAGGTAATATCAGTGATGATGTTTTTCAATGGTTTTGTGTTGAAAAGTTCCTGTTATTAGTTTAATATACTGTATGTAAATGTGGGTGAGAGGTTTTTTTTCAAAGGAACTGTTTTAAAAGCCATTTTTGGGGTTTAACTGATGGAGCAAACCTTTATTCCAACAATGATCTGTTCAAATCTGTGATTGAAACCTATAACCAGCTGACCCAAGCAGCTACTGAGCCCACTGGACCACCCATACTCCTCCTCTTCCGTGTGGACAAGTATATCTGTAGATACCCGTCACCCATGCATTAGAGAGGAATGTCGGTGGTTTGATCCCCAGCCATACCAAAACATGTTAAAAGATTGTACTTGTTACCCTGCCTAGTGATATTTAAGGGGATAAACCAAAGAGTGGTCAACTCAGAGTCAGTGTACTGTGTCTGAGCTGGGAATCCATGGTAACTGCGGCATGGCATGTCAGTGGGCTAGCACTATAAAACCAACATTAGTCGGGACTAGTACAAGCAGCCATATATGCACGCACACATAAATGTTGCTATATCAGTGCAATAATCTTGAACATGACGTTAGACTTCATTTCACCTCACCTCACCTCTGCATTGTCGGGGGCATGGGTGGCCCAGTCGTCTAAGGCGCCGTGATTCGCTGTGCAGAGTTGCGTCCCTTGGGCACGCCAGAAACCTATGATTGTGGGTTCGAATCCTGGTTCGCCCTGATTATGTTTCTAGGTTTGTCAGCACCATACCCGTGCTCGTGGGTTTCACCGCAGTGGTAAACGTCTGAGACCTGCATCACTTGGGGCTTTCCTCCCACTTTAAGCTGACACACCGTGATATAACTGGAATACTGTTAAAAGCGGCGTTAAACCCAACTCACACACTCTACATTGTCTGTGTGTTTGATGTTTTAATCCTCTTCTTTTCCATCAAGAAGGGATGATGAGGGATGGATGAACATTCTCCTCTCTAGTAACCCCAACGGATTCAGGGTTGAAAAAGCCTATGCTGGTTCTGAGGTTACTAAGGGGCGACCTAATGGATCGGGTGGTCAGGCTCGGTGACTTGGCTGATTGAGTGTCACCATACCCCCATGGCATGGGACATTGCTCATTGTATCCATAACTTGATTGTCTGGTCTAGACTTGATATACAGGCTGCCGTAATTTAGCTGGAATATTGCTGAGTGAAACATTGAACACACACACACACACAGACACTAGTAGCTACAATTTGATAAGAGCAGTCATTTTCCTGATATGCTCAAGGCAGTTCCACTTTTGTGAGTGAGACCAAGGACTACTACAATGTCACCACGGAGTTGTGGGGAGGCCGCTCACTCGGGACCTTCTCCAGACATCAGCTAGAAGTCTACAAACAGGTAGGCCCTCTGGGAGTTGTCATTTAGATGCTTGGGCGCGTGGCTAGTGGATAAAATGTTGACGTGCCACAACCAGTTCAACCTGGTTCAACTCCCTACATGGGCGCAATGTACATTTCTGATGATCGTCAACTGCAAAATGGCTGGAATCAGTGGCAGAAACTAACATTTTCAGTCCACTAGTCCTTATGATACCTTAACTATTGGGCAGTTTGACAAAGGACTACAGGACTAGTGCCAATTTCTAACGCTCTGGAATGTTGCTGAAATACAGGTGTTGAGCCTAATTCTGGGACGATACACAAAGTCATGATGTGTATCACAAAGTTAAGTAACATTAGTTAGAAAGGCCTTGTATTTTAGTGCCAATGGCACAGTTAAACATGTTATGTTCCAAGTGCCAGAAAGACACATTTGTAAATCTTTTTATTAAACAACATCACCTTGTAACATGTGTATTCAACATTTGTAACACGAAGGGTTATGGCTACTTTCTGTAGCACTGTTTTTCTATAAGTACTGAAACACTGGCTTTGAGACCCTCCTAATGTCTATCTGGAATGTCCCTGTGGGGATTCTGAGTTACAATATGTTCCCGGCAATCTATTCTTGTTGTATGTGGAGACCAAATGGAGTGGTCATGTTCAGCGACATTGATTGTGTGTCATCATGCCCAACAACATGGGACATTACTGATTATACCCATCACTGGTTGTCTAGTCAACACTTGATTGTTTACAGACTGTAGTCATACTGTAGCTGAAATATTGCTGAGTGTGTCGTAAAACAACTAACAAGCACTCTGGAATGCAGTGACATTGTTCAGTGGATGATTTCCTATGCTTCTAGGACAACAGTACCTGTAAGTGATAGAAGGTGGGTAGCCTTGTGGTTAGAATGTTTGAACATCAGGCAGTTGACCTGGTATTTGGGATTCCAGGGTAGAATAGGTCTTCAGCAACCCAGGCTTGCCGTAAAAGGTGACTATGCTTGTCGTAAAACGCGACTAACGGGATCGGGTGGTCAGGTTCGCTGACTTGGTTGATACATGTAATCGATCCCAATGGCGTGGATCGATGCTCATGACATTAATCTCTGGATTGTCTGGTCCAGACTCGAGTATTTTCAGACCGCCGTCATATAGCTGGAATATTGCTGAGTGCGGCGTAAAACAACCAACCAACCAACCTGGTATTTGGCACCTAGATACCATGTGTGAAGACCATTTTTGGTGTCTCCTGCCATCAGAGTTTTGCAACAAGTGGGGATTCTTGATCCCTGAATTGATCCCAGAGGCGACTTAATGGACCTGACTTGGTTGATTACATGTCGTCATACTTTGACAGCATGGATCCTTCTCATAATATCAATCAGTGGTCCAGACTTGATTATATATGGCCAAAGGCTGTTGCAGAGTTAGAACTAAACTGAAAAGCTCCATGAGCCCAGGTAACGATAAAATGCCCTTGTAATGTTAAAACAAAAGGAAATTGGAAATTTTGTACTACCCCACAGGAATTTGTACTAGCCCTGGGCTAGCGGGCTAGTGTCAATTTCTAACCATGCTGTTGTCACATGATATAGCTGGAATATTTCTGAGTTCACAAACAAACAAATAAAAATGTGTTCAAATAATGATATAAGTGGTGTAAAACACACAGTAATAGACAGCGGATGATGCAACATTGTTGAACCTTGTTGTACTACTCTTCTGTTTCTGTTTGTAGATGCCCAGGGACCTGTTTCGTATCGCCCCTATACTGCTGATCTCTGTGCTCCCAGGGGGAGGGGCAATTATAGCACTAGCGTGAGTACGACTTATACATTTCCCCCTGGGGACTCCAGGCACACTATAATGGTACATAGTTACACTACAGGGATTTAGCGAGACCTGCTCAGAGGCTGATATTCGCCCCAAGTCTGCAGCAAATGTCAGTTACCAATTCAATTAAATAGTTTCCCAATTCTTGTTGATAAAGGCTTATGGCCTTATGGCTGGAATATTGCCGAGTGCAGCATTGAACTACAAACAAGCTAACAAACAAACAAACATTTTAAGTCATGACACTATTTGATTCTTTAAATTTCAACCGACTATTGTTTCCATTCTCTCTCTTTGATGGATTTGAAAACCGTAAAGATACAGAACAGAAACCTAAAAATGATGTGCACACTGATGGTTCTCCTGACCCCTGTTGTTCCTGCAGGTATTTGTATCCCCGGTTCTTCCTGTCCCATCACTTCTGGACACAGAAGCAGAGGGAGAAGTTCTGGAGTCAGAATCTGGAGTCACGTCTGCACCATGCGTCGGCCATCTTGGATTGGACCATCCGACAGAGTATCCATGTCCCAAACCAGAAGATGAGAGATAAACTTGTTCGTGTTGTACAGAAGGTGAGTCTGATGTTTTCTGTTCCCACCAGAGCATGCTGGGAAGGGTGTATGACCTCTCTGTTCCAGCTAGAGCATGCTGGGAAGGGTGTATGACCTCTCTGTTCCAGCTAGAGCATGCTGGGAAGGGTGTATGACCTCTCTGTCACGTCTGTTTTATGTTCCAGCTAGAGCATGCTGGGAAGGGTGTATGACCTCTCTGTCACGTCTGTTTTATGTTCCAGCTAGAGCATGCTGGGAAGGGTGTATGCCCTCTCTGTCACATCTGTTTTATGTTCCAGCTAGAGCATGCTGGGAAGGGTGTATGACCTCTCTGTTCCAGCTAGAGCATGCTGGGAAGGGTGTATGACCTCTTTGTCACGTCTATTTTATGTTCCAGCTAGAGCATGCTGGGAAGGGTGTATGACCTCTCTGTCACGTTTGTTTTATGTTCCAGCTAGAGCATGCTGGGAAGGGTGTATGCCCTCTCTGTCACGTCTGTTTTATGTTCCAGCTAGAGCATGCTGGGAAGGGTGTATGACCTCTCTGTCCCAGCTAGAGCATGCTGGGAAGGGTGTATGACCTCTCTGCCACCCTCTGTACAATGTTCCAGCTAGAGCATGCTGGGAAGGGTGTATGGCCTCTCTGTTCCAGCTAGAGCCACTCTCCTACCCAGAGTTCCATGCGGCCGGCAGCCAGCTAGCATAGTACCTCTGCCACAGGCCAGCGCCATGTGACGATTCGTCACATCTTTCACAGTCCATTCAAGATATTGCATATGATTTTCATCCGTTTCATGTTTGACAAGTCTACACATTTTCATAAACAAATGTCAAAGAATGGTTAACTTTCATTGAGAAAGTATGCAAATACGTAAAAATCTACTTGTTTTTGCGTAGTTATCCTATGTTTACATTGGTTGTACGGCTCCACGTGCTGTCATCGAAGCCCAACGGAGAGCTAGCGACACGGTCACTTTGATACATATAAATATATATTGTCATGCAACTCACTGTCGCAGTTGTAGTAGCATATCTATATAGTTATGCAAAACAATATGTAAAGCGCCCCCAAATACTTGCATTAGTCCGTTCTATACTGATTTCTGAAAAAGCGCGTTTGTTTACAAACAAGAGAAAAGTCCGGTCACGTGATATGCAAATTAGCCTGTGGCAGTGGTGTTATGCTGAGTCACCACTGCGACGGAGTGTGAGCTAGAGCATGCTGGGAAGGGTGTATGGCCTCTCTGTTCCAGCTAGAGCATGCTGGGAAGGGTGTATGACCTCTCTGTTTCAGCTAGAGCATGCTGGGAAGGGTGTATGACCTCTCTGTCACCTCTGTTCTATGTTCCAGCTAGAGCATGCTGTTCAGCCAAGTATGGAAGAACTCCTGGAGGTGTTACCTCTGTTTGCTTCATTCCCCTACCAGACAGACAGGATGGCCGGAGTGTACATGGTAAGTACCCGATGAAACCAATAAGCCATATATAGTGATAGGACCTTAGAAGACTCAATGAAGGAAGGATTGCTCGGAATAGTGAAGATGCTTTAATCCCATTTGTCAAAACACAGGAACCCTATGGGATTTGGGTTAGGATTGGTCCCCAGCGACCTATGCTTCATTAAGAGGAGAATTTATGAACTGGGTTGTCAGTTGGTTGAGGGTTGGTTGGATAGCCTAGTGGTTAAAAGTGTTCGCTCGTCATACCAAAGACTTGGGCTCAATTCCCCACATGGGTACAATGTGTGAAGTCCCTCGCTGTGATATTGCTTGAATATTGCTAAAAGCGGCGTAAAACCATCCTCACTCACTCACTCAGTTGGTTAAAAGCATGTCAGAGTGGACCATTGCTCATAATATCAGTCTGGTACAGACTTGATTGGTGGAAATATTACTCAGCACATAGTTAAACAACAAACACAAATAGTGCCCCACTGAAAACCTAATGTAGTATGTTGTAGGCAGTAAAACTGACAGAGAGGATTTTATTTTGTACCCCTCCCTAAAATGCTGGATCCACCCTTGCCTGGTGGTCATTGTCGCAAGGATCAGTGGGCCTTAGGTTTGAATCACCAGCTTTATTATGATCGTTGGTGTGAAAGAGATGAGAGAAATGTGATATTTCACCAGACACATGGAATATTATCTATTCATTCATTCCAATGAGTGCTGGAAATTAAGGGAGGTTCTGCCTTCTTGAGGTTTTGGGGTGGTCAGGTAGCCTAGTGGTTAAAGCGCTCGCTCGTCACGCCGAAGACCCGGGTTCGATTCCCAACATGGGTACAATGTGTTAAGCCCATTTCTGGTGTCCCCCGCCGTGATATTGCCGGAATATTGCTAAAAACGGCGTAAAACCACACTCACTCACTGAGACACTCACTCCTTGAGGTTTGCTCCTATAGTAATTGAATGAAATGGCCCTGTGAGGATTCTGGGTAAGAATAGGACCCCAGCAACCCATGCTGGTTGTAAGTGGTGACCTGATTAATGAGGCGGTCAGATGTCGTGATTTAGTCATCGTACCATGATAGCATGGATTATTTTTCACAATATCAGTCACTGAATTGTCTGGTCCAGAATCAATTATATAACAGGCCGCCATCATATAGTTGAATATTGCTGAGTAGAACAATTACGGTAAATAAGCAATGAAGTCCTTACCTTTCATGCTACATTTCAAACATTGCCATTGATGATGATCACTGTACCATACCAGTAAACTTTAAGCTTACACTGTGACTTGTAGCAGGATCACTCTGGCTACATGAGTTTTTATGCATCCCGCGTTAGGAGGGACACATAAAACCCCATGTACCCCGAGTGATCCTGCAACAATGAATTTATCTTTTCCGACATGTTTTAATGTGACATTGTAAAAAAATTGACACAAATTCAAAATTGATAGAAAACAGCTGTTTGATTGAGCTAAGGTTAACTTGTGCTATGTCACATGACTTCAATTGGACCCGTAAAGATTCCGGGGTAGCACCCATGCTTGCCGTAAAAGTCGACTATGCTTGTCGTAAAAGGCGACTAACGGGATCGGGTGGTCAGGCTTGCTGACTTTGTTGATACATGTCATCGATCCCAATTGCGTGGATCGATGCTCATGATATTAATCACTGGATTTTCCGGTCCAGACTCGATTATTTACAGACCGCCGTCATAAAGCTGGAATATAGCTGAGTGCGGCGTTAAACAACAAACCAACCAACGACTTCAATTGACTTGGAAAAAAACGTGCAGCTTTTTGCTTTGAAGCAGGAAAAAGGGATTTGTTTTGCCTCTGAGAAATCCACATGCAGTCTGTATTGCTCATGGCGGGGTATAAGAGATTTATTCCCCTGCTGAGAAATTTATTCCCCTCCAAGATGGGTTGCACAGTATTTTATCAAGATCACGTGGACCAATCAGATCTCATCATTCTGACATGGAGGTATGATTAAAGAGCATTTGCACAAGCAGTGATATTGATAGTGAACCTATGGTCATGGGTTCAAATCCAATTCACCCTGATTATGTATCAAAGATTGTCATCACTTTGGGCGTTCCTCCCATGTCAACATGATCAAGCTGAGAATAACAAGCTGTCATAAGAACTGTAATGTTGTTCAAGGGGCATTAAACCCAACTCACTCACTCACTCAGTCAGCTGGAGGCTCTGTGATATGTCTCTCTATACTTGCAGAGGCATTTAGCCCGGTCTTTGAACTTCTGGCCGATACGATCTCGACTATACCAGGACGCGATGATCCTGTTGTACGCTGACCTGGCCATGGTGGGCGAGGGCATCGACAACATGGAGGATTTCGCCCTGGAGAAGGTATTTCAGATTTACTGTCAGGGTAACCATGGGAACTACAGGGCATCGGGATTGGTTGAAATCATTGGTTCAAGAAGAGCAGTGGATAACTGTTTTTCTTAAATTTAGAGCTTTCTTTCTCTGTGTCCTTCATGTAAATAGCAAGAGATAAAATAACAAAATTCCTAATTAATTTATTATTTGTTATTATACTCTGCACCCCCAACACTCTTCCAGGCACCATGGCATCAGCATCAGGCCTTGAAACCTCATCAGTTTAATATGCGATCTTTGGCTTTTTTTTATACTTTTTAAAGGACCAATTTTATCAGTCTCAATAAATTTCTTAAATTGAACTTTAAATATACAATGAAATCATAATAAGTGGAAAATAACTGATCACTTATTTCACAATTGTGTGGTTATGAATAAACTCTCTGAATATTTACCTTTTGCGATCAATCAAATAACTTGGGTGTGCTAATTAATGAGTTCTTGATGTATGAATCCATGTGAAAGTTTATCGCACCACACAACATGCCAGGTATATGGTGTGTAAGTATTCATTACGTCTTTCTAATGTATTACCATGATTACGTCTTTCTGGACCCGTGAAGATTTCGGGGTAGAATAGGTCTTCAGCAACCCATGCTTGCCGTAAAAGGTGACTATGCTTGTCGTAAAAGGCGACTAACGGGATGCATGTTATTGATCCCAATGGCGTGGATCGATGCTTATAATATTAATCACTGGATTGTCTGGTCCAGATTCGATTATTTACAGACCGCCGTCATATAGCTGGAATATTGCTGAGTGCGGCGTAAAACAACAAACCAACCAACCATTACGTCTCTCTAACGCTGACCAAAATGGTAATGTAAGATGTGTTACTACATATGTAGATGAATGTATTGTTAAAAAATGTAGGGGCGGTCGGGTAGCCTAGTGGGTAAAGCGTTCGCTCGTCACGCCGAAGACCCGGGTTCGATTCCTGACATGGGTACAATGTGTGAAGCCCATTTCTGGTGTCCCCCGCCGTGATATTGCTGGAATATTGCTAAAAGCGGCTTAAAACCATACTCAGTCAGTCAAAAATGTAATCAGTGTGTTTTCATTCAGTATTTCTGTTCTGTGTGGGGATTCCACGTTAAGTTCCAGCAACTTATGCTTGTCGTACAAGGCAACAAAATGGATTGTGTTTTCAGGCTTGGTTGATGGTGTGTCACTGTAGCCTGACAGCTTGGGATGGTGCTCTTGTGGATTATTTCATGCCCTTGTTATATTGCTGGGATATCGCTAACTTCAGCGTTGACCAATATAACCCCTTATTGTTTCAGGTAGAATGTGTTTGGTTCTAACATCTTGCGTACATCTTTTGTAGGCTTGCTTCCTGAGGAGTTTGAATCCATTTGGCCTGACAAGAGAAGAAAAAATAGCTTATTTAAAAAACTGGACAAAGATCAGCCAAGAAATTGATGGTAACAATTATATCACGTATATCAAGTTCTGGGTAAGAATAAAGTTTCCCAGCAACCTATGCTAGTCGTAAGGGGTGACTAAATGGATCGGGTGGTCAGCCTTGCTGACTTGGTTGATGCATGTCATCGTGTTGTGTCCCAATTGCATGGATCGATGCTCATGATGTTGATCACTGGATTGTCTGGTCCAGACTCGATTATTTACAGGCTGATGTCATATAGCTGGAATATTGTTGAGAGCAACAAACAAACAAGGACCAGTATCAATACGGTCTATCCTCCCCCACACTGTGAGGGGGCACGTGTGGCCCAGTCGTCTAAGGCACTGAGATTCACTGTGCAGAGTTGCGTCCTTTGGCCATGCCACAAACCTATGAATGTGGGTTCGAATCCCGGTTCACCCCGATTATGTTTCTAGGTTTGTCAGCACCATACCCGTGCTCGTGGATTTCACCGAAGTGATGAACGTCGGAGACCTGCATCACTTCGGGCTTTCCTCCCACATTAAAATGACACGCCATGATATTACTGGAATACTGTTATAAGCGCTGATAAACCTAACTCACTCACTCACTCACTGACACACTGTGATGTAACTCAAAAACTGTTCAAGGCCTCATTAAGCCCAGTTCACTCGTTGTTTTGTGTTACAGAGTCAAACATCTCTTTCTTACTCCACTGTCCCGCTTTCCTGGCCGTGGTCCATCCCAACAACCTGCAGCTGCTTGGAGGCAAGAGGTCATTCTGGAGGAAGAAAACCGGGGGATGAGCGCTGGGTGGTCATGTGACTGTCATGTGATCATTACAGACTGGCTGTGATATATAGATAAATATAACCCTTCTCCTGTGACCTTGAACTATGGGAGGACAACTGAGTTACTTGGCCAGTGGTCTTGGTATTTGTAGTCTAGACTTCACTCAGCCAAATATGGCGGTTCTATATCAAGCAGACATTATAATTATTATCCAGCTCCTGTGAGCAATTCATTTGTTGTATCTTTTACTACTCATCTGATTTATCTGCAATTCACTATGCAGAGTTGCGTCCCTTGGGCATGCAAGAAACCTATGATTGTAGGATCAAATCCCGGTTCGCCCCGATTATGTTTCTAGGTTTGTCAGCACCATACCCGAAGTGGTAAACATCTGAGACCTGCATCATTTCAGGCTTTCGTCCCACATTAAGCTGAGATGCCGTGATATAACTGGAATACTGTTAAAAGTGGTGTTAAACACAACTCACTCACTCACTCACTCATCTGATTTATGTGGTGTAGTATGGTACGCAGAACTCAGAAGATAAATTATAAAAATAATTAGGATCGTTGCAGAAGTTGGTTATTATTTTACATGATAAAGAGATCCAGGTTAGAATAGGTCTTCAACAACCCACACTTGCCATAAGAGCCTGCTGTGCTTGTTGTAAGAGGCGACTAACTTTCCTCATTTGAAATCCCCAGCAGTCTATACTGGTCGACACAGTGTGACCAGTGGCCAGGCTTGGTTACCTGGTGAATACTGTTAAAATGGGTGTTAAACCCAACTCACTCACTCAAGCTGATTTAGAATGAATCGACCACCCACATGGTCAAGTGGATAGAGCACCTGCCTAGAGAGCGAAAGGTCGGGGGTTCAATCCCTGGCAGTGTCATACCAAAAGATGCTAAAAGACGGTATTGTTACCCAGCCTGGCGCTCAGCTGTGAGGGGATAAATCAAGGACTGGTTGGCTTGGAGTTTGTATACGGAGTCAGATGGGTATTCATATTAAACTGCAGGATGGGATCTCAGTGGGCTAGCATTATAAAACTGGCATCAGTCCGACTAGTATAAGCAGCTCCACACGCACGTACGCACGCACACATGCATATATACATATATGATCGCAATAATTGTGAATGCCAAGTTTAACTCCATTCCACTTAACTTAAAGGGCTATTTTTTTAGCATATTCACCAACCTGTATTGCCTCAGTGATCCGATGATACTGAATACTAGTAATTGGTGCAACTTCTGTCACAACTTGAAACAACCAGTTTGTGTTTCAACCATCAGTATTTATGTCAGGCCACACTGTTTGCCCTGGAAGTACAATAGCAATACCTGATTTTATTGTGGTCTTTACTGACTGTAGACTTCAGAATCAGATAGACTGATACTGATGAATGTATTCTGTTGTTGTTATGTATGTCAAACTCCTGACCTGAATAAAGACAAGAACGTGACCAGCCTGTTGTGTTGAGATTGTAAGCAGGGTACACATGTACCCAGAAGTCCAGTATATCCATATTACTGGGGCCGGAGGCACTGCTGACCCAATTGTCTAATGGGCTGTAATTGCGCAGTGCAGAGTTGCGTCCCTTTGGCACGCCAGTCGTGGATTTGAATACCAGATTTGTTCTGCTTGTTTCTATCTTTGTCAGCACCAACCCTGCTTGTAAGTTTCACCAAAGTCTTAGATCTGCATCACTTCCAGTTTTCATCCCACACCAAGCAGATGCACCCTGAAATAATTGACTACAAGCATGTCTACAGTGTTCTTATACCAGCTAAGCGCAGATATCTTAGATATTTATCAAAATGATGGCAATTACGTTGGGAAGCAACACTTCCAAGTTGAATATAAATGGGATTTTTCTTTGCAGATTCAAAATTTGCGTATAATGGACTATAATTTCGACTGGTATTCGGTGCTATTCTAGCTGCATGGAAGTTCGGATATTCGAGGATATAATAAGAGCGGTGTTTATTTTTTTCTGGATGCATATATACTCTTTTTAAAAAAAGGAGGGGATACCCGGAAATAACTTAAACTTCCCGAAATTGTAAGAGATGCTAGTTTCAAATAATAGTTGTTATGCCAGCCGAACATTGATTCACTCGACGAGGCATACTGCTTAGGAGTCTCCCAATGGCGATTTGAGGGAGTCTGTCCCACCCCTCTTTGCAGTCTGGCTACGTGGTTACATTCTATAGATATTGAGCATTGAAGAATCGTGTACCGTGAGCACGGGAGTCGTCGCAAACGGGACAACAAGGGTTGTCAGTATGTTGTCCCGTGACTCTCCCTTGCACAATATGGTGTGGGGTTCGGTCATAGTAATGCCACCCAACACCATAATCGATCAACCGCCAAATCTGTCGGGTTGACATTGGCTTGACGTTTATTTCGACGTCTGACACGACCACACCTATCAAGGCAGTGCAAAGCGGGTTGGGACTCATGTGAAAACATGGCACTTGACCAACCACGATTACCCCAGTTTTTCGACGCTGTGTATACCATTGACGTGTGTTGAAATTATGACTGGAGATTTGCTGCATGTAGACGTTTTTCAATCGTCTGACCCGTAATTCGTACTCCAATAGCTAGATGAAAGCTTAAGTTTGCAACAATTTGAGCTCGATTTGGTCGAGCATGGTTTCGGATCAGTCGATCCTGTACTGGTGTCGTTGACCTGGGAGGTCCTGAACGGGATTGATCAACATTTTGGGTTTGTTGGTACCTGTTCTATTGTCTGCTAAACATAAAATGTGAAACATTGAACGTGTTGGCCACTGCACGCTGACTTCTGCCAGCTCCTGTAAAGTTTTGTTTGATCAAGGTTACAACATTCAAGGCCTTAGTAAGGCCTTCAAAAAGATTAATAGTAGACATTATAGTGGAGGTCATTTCCAAAGAAGACGCAATTCGGTATGTTGATCATATGCTCCCTTTTCAGGTGAACGCTTGACTTGCCTTTGCATGTGTTTGTGACGGGTGCCACCGGTAGGGCAGGATACGTTCACCTTTTCGCGAACACCTGTATCATCACTATTTCATAGTGATTCCTGAACGCATGGTCATGATACAGTCGAAAAACAGATTTCTTGTGGCCATGGATAGGGTAATTTATTGATTATATTTAATTAACTTCATTTCTAACTTTGTGTTTCCACAATCAGACAACTTTTGTCATCCAAAGATGACTATAATGTCACAAATTGAGGTTTAATAAGTCAATGACTCTGCCAAAAGAAGGTTAGAACTACCATGTAACTGTTTTAGACCCATCTCCTTTTTGCTTATTTAAATAAAAGCGGATAAAAACTTTCCGTAATCATAAGAAATCTCCGCTCTATTTCCCATTGTACGATTCTGACAATATATCATGAGCATGTGTTTAGGAATCACTATCAAGTAGTGATGGTACCAGGTGTACCAGGCGAAAAAGTGAGTGAATCCTGCATGCCTCGCCGGTGGCATCCATCACAAACACATGCAAAGGCAAGTCAAGTGTTCATCTGAACAAACACATATTGAAGATAAGTAAAAATAGGGAATTGTATCGAACGCCATTTTGGTCAATGATGTGTCAAACAGTCAAACACTGGATGGATTCCACGTACGGTGACAAAATGTCATGGAGTTGATTGACACAATACACACGTGTACCAAAACAGAATTTTTAATTTTCATCAAAGAGAACATTATAAACCATGAAGTGGTTCAAATAATAATTTTAGCATATATCGGGCGTAACAATAATGAATATGAAATATATTTATATAGTAACAAGCAAAATAGCTCTATTTTGATCATTATAAGTACGTAAACAATATTCCAACTTAAAAACAACATAGTAGAAACAGTTTTAACAACATGGCCATAAACACAATAAACAAAAGGATAACAGACATTGATTCAAAGTTCTCGGACTGTACAGGGTCCTCCGAGTCCAGAGACACTGACGACACGTGACCAGGTGAGACACTGCAGCGCCCCCAGTACGATGTGGTCACAGAGTGATCGCCATTCCAAGATAGTTCATCATCTGCATTGAGACTTGGGGGCCTCCTGGACGTGACCAGGGGCTGACTTTCATCACCAGATAGTTCATCATCTGCATTGAGACTTGGGGACCTCCTGGACGTGACCAGGGGCTGACTTTCATCACCAGATAGTTCATCATCTGCGTCATACTGTGGGGACAGACAAGGAGCCGAGTCTCTTTGAAGGCGGTATCTAGACCTTGGAACGCGATGTTTGGATGGAGTAATTGGTTCTTTGCTGCTGACAGAAGATGAGGAACTGCTAGGGTGTGCTTCATACACTGGCATTGAGGTTATACATTTGTCCATAGATGAGGAGGCCTTGCTGTCACTTAATACAACTATCTCACTCTTCGGGTTTGCTGATAGGTTCACAGAGACCTGTGGAGATGGTGTCCTGGATCTACATAGTATGCTGGCAGGCAAGACTTTTTCATTTTCACCGAGAGCATTTCCCATCTTGTCACGGGAACATTGACCTGTCCTGTCCCCCTCGCCGAACGCTGACATCCCCAGATTGGTTTGTATCCGACCATCAGGTAACACAAATATTTCAAGATGATCATTAAAGATCTTATCCACCATGAGAGCCAAGTCCTCGGCGTTGATCCTGAGACTGATGTCTTCTACCATGCATCGCTTCACTGCTGGAACAAGGGCATCAGATCCTCCAAAGTCCGAGAGTACCATGAACAGAAACCCTACACTATGGACATCTGACTTCAAGCAGGATACGCCGCCATTACGAACCTCAGGGGCCAGGTATAGGTACCGATTGCCGGTGACTCTTCTGGAGATTGTTACTCCGTGTCCATATCTTGCTTGGCCAAAGTCACAATATTTGACTTTTGGAATGCCATCAGTGATGTCTAACAGAACATTATTTGCCTTGATATCGTTGAGGAGTACGCCCAGACTGTGGATCTCCCGCAGCCCCTCAGCAAGTTGTCTGGCAATGTGGAGTAGACAGATAGGTGCTAACCTGCCTTTTCTGCCCCACAGGTACCTCTCCAGCGTCAGGCCGTCCCCAACACACTCCATGAGAATACCAGTGGCTTCCCCCACCCCTTCACTCACTACCCCAAAACAGGAAGGGACATAGCCGGTCCTTGAGAGATACAACATCATCCTGGCTTCTTCAAAGATGACATCAACATGATTTTTACAGTCGAAGATTTCCTTCACAACGATGTTCTGGGTGTGTCCTTGGCTGTCGGTGAGACTTGCCCTGATGACTCGACCAAATGAACCTCTTCCCAAAACAACTGGAAACGCACCATTCTTGAGAGCATCGCTCTTCACCATGGAGCTTGGAATTATAGGCGGGTTTATCAATTCGTAGAGGGTTGGAATTTCAAAGTCAAGGCCGAATAGAGTTTTAAAGAAGGTTTTGGACGGAGTATCTCCTGAGAAAGAACCAGTGGACCCTTGCTTCTCAAGAACATCCTGGGGAACAACCTCCTCTGTCAAAGAGGGGCTGCTGCTGTCTTTTTCCAAAAGGGTCAAGGCCTGTTGGGTCCAACGAGAACGAGGCTGCTGTCTTGGACTTGGCTCGGGGGATGGACAGAAATGCATGAGATGCTGGACTGGATCCCCGTCAGTGTCCTGCAGGAGCATTGCCATCTGAGTCCACTTGGATGCTTTGGTGTGTGACATTGGTCCTTGTGTGTGCTCTCCCACGACATTCCAAGGGGAATCTGAGGGCATTGTTGTGCTTAGTTTGGCGTCCCCTTCCAGTTTCTCAGATGCACGTTGTGCTGTCTCTGTGTGGGTGGCACCAGTGAGGTTCCCCGCGTCGGCGTTGAGGATCGACGTTGAAGGAGTGAACTCTGCATCTTCTAGAGCATATTCTGCTGCAGCAGACTTAACCATCTCTCTGAACCTCGTGGCAGTGTTGGTTCGGGGTCTCTCATTCACGGCAGGAGACGGAGTGTTGTCAGTATTGTCGATGGGCGTGGTTTCGAGAGCTCTAGACTTCCCCAGTGAGATCGGCACCCCCAGGAATGCTAATCTCTCCTCCTAGAAATGAAATACACGCAATTAAGAAAAGAAAACTAATATTATCAGCATAAGCATATAAACGTTTAATGGAACTTACTGAGATATGGCTAGAATGTTGCTAAATGTTTATAATTTAGTTTATTGAAGAAAGGTTTTTGTGTCGTGTTAAAGGATTCGACGGTCTGATATTAGATAGATCTATGGTATAATGTGGGTGGCGTTTTGAAGACCGTGACACAGCTGGTCTTAATGGGTTAGGCTTAAAATAGAGAGTTACCGTGTATCTCCTCACCTTCCGACCCAAAAAAACATCCACCCGACGACAATTTATTTTGCATTTTTTTGTTGGCATGATGAATAGGATTTCGGTTCAGCATTATTAGTTATTAAACCTCTACGTTTCGCCTTTTTATGTAATCTGTTCGTGATTTATGTAAATCGGAAAATGGTGGATGAATTATTTATTTCATACTTTGAAAAAATGCCTTTTATCAAGAAATTCAACATAAACAAACCTTTTAAATATTTTGTTACGCTTAGTAGAAGAGATTTAGGTTAAAGTGGTTGAGAAATCGAAATTATATATAACATTATTCTGTCTACTAACCCATTTCTTTTTAAGCTAATGAATATGTGGCCTTGTGCTATCCCGATGATGTGGATCAATTCTCATACTAGTTTACAGCCAGTGGTTTGTCTGGTCCAGCCCAGGCTCATACAATATAGACAATGGTGTTAAACCCAACTCACTCACTAACTCAGTCGTCTGAACCACCTAAGATGTGTTCCCAATCTTATACATGTAATTCATGACATTATTAAACTACATGTATAGAACTTACCTTTGGTTTTTGGAACCATTTTGGGACACACCATTTCGGTGCGAATCGAATTTCTTCTCCGTGCATATTGAACTCTCTGTTATCACAGGATTTCACCACTTTTGTCTGCTTTGGAAAAGCGCGTCTTGACGGCATTAGCGTATGCAGCGACAATACCGTGACGTCACAATGGTGTCCATGATGTTCCAAAATAGCCGACTACTCTGGCACCATGGAATTTTGTCAGGATAAAGAATGAATCCGATAAAGATGCCTCTCATTAAAAAAAAAGAAAAAAAAAAGAATCATTGAAAAAATATTAAAATGAGCATGTAAGTTCATTTTCATTTTGTAAAGTAACTGACTTATGTTAGGAAACAAAATGCTGACATCATCACTTTATGACGTCATCAAAAGTATCCATGACTTACGCAGCTATATATACTTTGACTTCGCTCGCTGGGGTTCACATTTTACTATGTTTATATGAAAGCCTTTATTAAATTTTAAATTGTGATTATTTGTTTTATGTACAGGAATTCAATATATTCATACTGTTTTATCAACATAAATGTGTTTGATTAGAACCCTACCTCCCTAAAACAAGAAAAAAAAGAACAATTTCTAAATTGAATCTAATAAGGACCATATCATATGGACCATTAACGAACATACACCTTAACGTTGATTCTAAATTAATCTAACCAGTATTCTATTTACCTTGTTTTGGTTGTATGTTAAACGCCGCATTCTGCAATATTCCAGCTAGAAATTTATATGCATGAATGCGTTCGAGGGGCCGTTGTGTGTTGGGTTTCGGTTTCGATCTGCATTGATGTGAATCCTTTAAGAGAAATATTCACTTTCGGTTGAATGAAATTGAATGCTTATTAGGGTGTGATTCGGGAAGATATTGGCAAATAGTTTTGGTTTTTAAACATAAAAAAACTTTGCAGAAGTGCGATTAATCCAGGAAATGCGGTCGTGAGAATAAATTACATTTTATGCTGTCCGTTGTTACCTTGTGATTGAGTCTGAAAGATACCGCGCTTTTGTGCGTGATTTATTTGGCGTCAGTTATGGCGACACACGGAAATAAAGCTTTCGCAAGGTGGTTGCATTTTCCAATTCATTGTATCCATTTGTAAACTCCATAACCATTGCCACGAGTAGCGTGTGTGTGTGTGTGTGTGTGTGTGTGTGTGTGTCTGTCTGTCTGTCTCTGTGTGTGTGTGTGTCTGTGTGTCTGTGTGTGTGTGTGTGTGTGTGTGTGTGTCATTAACAACAGTAGAAAATGCGTAAACCTTCCGTTGTGTATTCTTCCATTGACGTCGTTAACAGAGAGAGAGAGACACACACACACAGAGAGACACACAGAGAGAGACTTTTATTCAGTACTGGGAGGCCATGGTACCATAACATATTCAAATTTTGGCATTCCCTTATATATGGAGTTCATCTTCTATCAAACATAAATTTTCCTGCAACCAAAATAACCAATATCTCCGGTGGAATAGAATGCCCATAAATCTACGAATTTCTGTCATTAATTTATTATTGTCAAATCTATTTTTCCGGACATCACAATTAAGGTAATTTTCAACATCTTACAGACTTTTAAAATGACAAAAAAATATTTTACTGGTAGACATATCTTTTAACTCCGAAGACCAGTGTTGTTGTGGTGCTATATCGCTTAACGTTTGTTTAAAGACAAAAACATGTTCTCTTTGTCTATCTCTTGTGGTAAACAAGCATATCTAAATCCATACAAATATAGCGTATTCTTAAATTTTTAAGTCCAAGAGTCTTTACCATTTTCTGTCATTTTATTAAATAACACTTTAAATTACGTTGGAAACCGAACGTGACATGGGAGCGTGGTAAACTTGACATCCCGCGGCATTGGGGCGCGGTAAACGTGACATCCCGCGGCATTGGGGCGCGGTAAACGTGACATCCCGCGGCATTGGGGCGCGGTAAACGTGACATCCCGCGGCATTGGGGCGCGGTAAACGTGACATCCCGCGGCATTGGAACGCGGTAAACGTGACATCCCGCGGCATTGGGACGCGGTAAACGTGACATCCCGCGGCATTGGGACGCGGTAAACGTGACATCCCGCGGCATTGGGACGCGGTAAACGTGACATCCCGCGGAATTGGGACGCGGTAAACGTGACATCCCGCGGCATTAGGACGCGGTAAACGTGACAACCCGCGGCATTGGGACGCGGTAAACGTGACATCCCGCGGCATAAGGACGCGGTAAACGTGACATCCCGCGGTATTGGGACGCGGTAAACGTGACATCCCGCGGCATTAGGACGCGGTAAACGTGACATCCCGCGGCATTGGGGCGCGGTAAACGTGACATCCCGCGGCATTGGGGCGCGGTAAACGTGACATCCCGCGGCATTAGGACGCGGTAAACGTGACATCCCGCGGCATTGGGACGCGGTAAACGTGACATCCCGCGGCATTAGGACGCGGTAAACGTGACATCCCGCGGCATTGGGACGCGGTAAACGTGACATCCCGCGGCATTGGGACGCGGTAAACGTGACATCCCGCGGCATTAGGACGCGGTAAACGTGACAACCCGCGGCATTGGGACGCGGTAAACGTGACATCCCGCGGCATAAGGACGCGGTAAACGTGACATCCCGCGGCATTAGGACGCGGTAAACGTGACATCCCGCGGCATTGGGACGCGGTAAACGTGACATCCCGCGGCATTGGGACGCGGTAAACGTGACATCCCGCGGCATTGGGACGCGGTAAACGTGACATCCCGCGGCATTGGGAGGCGGTAAACGTGACATCCCGCGGAATTGGGACGCGGTAAACGTGACATCCCGCGGCATTGGGACGCGGTAAACGTGACATCCCGCGGCATTGGGGCGCGGTAAACGTGACATCCCGCGGCATTAGGACGCGGTAAACGTGACATCCCGCGGCATTAGGACGCGGTAAACGTGACATCCCGCGGCATTGGGACGCGGTAAACGTGACATCCCGCGGCATTGGGACGCGGTAAACGTGACATCCCGCGGCATTGGGACGCGGTAAACGTGACATCCCGCGGCATTGGGGCGCGGTAAACGTGACATCCCGCGGCATTGGGACGCGGTAAACGTGACATCCCGCGGCATTAGGACGCGGTAAACGTGACATCCCGCGGCATTGGGGCGCGGTAAACGTGACATCCCGCGGCATTGGGTCGCGGTAAACGTGACATCCCGCGGCATTGGGGCGCGGTAAACGTGACATCCCGCGGTATTGGGGCGCGGAAAACGTGACATCCCGCTGCATTGGGGCGCGGTAAACGTGACAACCCGCGGTATTGGGGCGCGGAAAACGTGACATCCCGCGGCATTGGGACGCGGTAAACGTGACATCCCGCGGCATTGGGACGCGGTAAACGTGACATCCCGCGGCATAAGGACGCGGTAAACGTGACATCCCGCGGCATTAGGACGCGGTAAACGTGACATCCCGCGGCATTGGGGCGCGGTAAACGTGACATCCCGCGGCATTGGGACGCGGTAAACGTGACATCCCGCGGCATTAGGACGCGGTAAACGTGACATCCCGCGGCATTGGGGCGCGGTAAACGTGACATCCCGCGGTATTAGGACGCGGTTAACGTGACATCCGACGGCATTGGGGCGCGGAAAACCTGACATCCAGCGGCATTGGGACGCGGTAAACGTGACATCCCGCGACATTGGGGCGCGGTAAACGTGACATCCAGCGGCATTGGAATGCGGTAAACGTGACATCCCCGCGGCATTGGGACGCGGTAAACGTGACATCCCGCGGCATTGGGACACGGTAAACGTGACATCCCCGCGGCATTGGGACGCGGTAAACGTGACATCCAGCGGTATTGGGACGCGGCGAACGTGAATTCATGCACTACCTATACTGGGCTATCTGCCAATAACAATGCAGCAGCCTAATGACACCGTAACATTGCATTCAAATTGTCCGGCAAAAGAAACGATACACCATATTTGGTGGTGGCTAAAAATGAGACAAACACTGAATGGATATTCGTTGGTGATGTTCTCCACATCATAGTTGTGTTTTAGACCTGAACTTTGCGGTGTTTCGGCAATTTAGCCTATTTACGTTTGAAGACGTTTGTAAATTTTCAGTCCAATCCAATTTTCAATTTTGTTCGACCGGGTGTTTATTTAATTAGTGAAAATAACAATAATACTAATTCAAGTACGTCGAATGTTGAGAAAGACATGCGATAGACAACACCCTACACACAAGTAAGGATTTCCTCTATTTATAGAGGCTTTGGCTATAGATATGGCTTTGGATTTGCCTGGATGTGGCAAGGTTTGGGCAATGCAGATTTGCATCTTCAGTCAAACTCTCAACAGATAATTAGGGTTATTGTGTACAAGATCGGCCTGATTCGTGTTGGCAAGTCCTTGTTTTGAGTGATTCATCTCATCTTATCTTATTATGACTTTACTCTTCTATAAAAAAAACAAAAAAAACAGTCATGGACCCCGAATATGTCCAAGTAAATATTCATACTTGAAAATATAAAAGAACCCAGTTATGTCAAAATTGTTTATAATGTATTGCATCAGAAGTGCAGAACATTCCCCATGTTGAAGAAGCCTATGTGCTGTGATTTATATTATAAAGCGCGTTATTTCATTCAATCATTGTATTTGCAAATTAGAACACAAAAGTGTGTATCTCAAAGGACACTGTTATCCCATGACTTCATAAGCATTTGTAAATCTCAAACGTTAAGCTGATGCTTGATCTTTTAGAATAATTGTAAACATTTGTCATTGCCGAATACGGTAAATATTTTAAACATTGTGTGTAAGAAGTGGTCGATTTATAACTGATTCTAGCATATTCCCGTGTTATGGGTTTTCGAACGCTTAAACGTTCATACTTTCCTCTCTCTTCACATGAACAACAGTAAAACATCTCATTCGTTTTTTAAAGACAACTTTCTCTTTAAAAAAAACTATCATCTGAGTATTTACAATGTCTATGTGATGCTACTCCCCATGTTATAGCACGAACAAGGCCGTCCGAAAACGTATTATGTCCGAAAACATTTGTATGATCCGACGATATATCGTTTATGCGTTGCAATCACACATTTTGTAGAAGTAATCACATGTCTGCATGTGTAAAAAAACCCATTATGGACCATGCATTTCTACTGTGGGTCGTATGGCTTTGAGTACAGTAAGAAATCCTTGAACCCTTAAATATCAATAATCCTTAAATAACAATAATATTTAACATGATTTTCTTTAATTTAGGAATATTTTTCACTATCAGTTAAAACTGTCACTATACGTGTGCAAAGTTTCAGATAAAGTAATTTAAGTGTTGTTTTATGTAATATTTTATTTGCTTCACAACAGAACATGTGAATCACGCTTTAATACTCGAAATGGACTTTCTGTTTTGGGGATTTGTCAGCTTGATCGTGATTCCGATGTCCGCACTATTGTTTAGTAAATTCCAGTTCGTCTTTTCAATGTCTGTGTGATGCTACTCCCCACGTAATAGCACGAACAAGGCCGTCCGATATATCGTTTATGCGTTGCAATCACACATTTTGTAAGAAGTAATCACATGTCTGCATGTGTAAAAAACCATTATGGACCATGCATTTGTACTGTGGGTCGTATGGCTTTGAGTACAGTAAGAAATCCTTGAACCCTTAAATATCAATAATCCTTAAATAACAATAATATTTAACATGATTTTCTTTAATTTAGGAATATCTTTCACTATCAGTTAAAACTGTCACTATACGTGTGCAAAGTTTCAGATAAAGTAATTTAAGTGTTGTTTTATGTAATATTTTATTTGCTTCACAACAGAACATGTGAATCACGCTTTAATACTCGAAATGGACTTTCTGTTTTGGGGATTTGTCAGCTTGATCGTGATTCCGATGTCCGCACTATTGTTTAGTAAATTCCAGTTCGTCTTTTCAATGTCTGTGTGATGCTACTCCCCACGTAATAGCACGAACAAGGCCGTCCGATATATCGTTTATGCGTTGCAATCACACATTTTGTAAGAAGTAATCACATGTCTGCATGTGTAAAAAACCATTATGGACCATGCATTTGTACTGTGGGTCGTATGGCTTTGAGTACAGTAAGAAATCCTTGAACCCTTAAATATCAATAATCCTTAAATAACAATAATATTTAACATGATTTTCTTTAATTTAGGAATATCTTTCACTATCAGTTAAAACTGTCACTATACGTGTGCAAAGTTTCAGATAAAGTAATTTAAGTGTTGTTTTATGTAATATTTTATTTGTTTAACAACAGAACATGTGAATCACGCTTTAATACTCGAAATGGACTTTTTGTTTTGGGGATTTGTCAGCTTGATCGTGATTCCGATGTCCGCACTATTGTTTAGTAAATTCCAGTTCGTCTTTTCACTCCCGAGAATCTTCTTCCGCTTTGTTTATGGTTGAATCCCGGCGAAAACAGCCTGAGAAAAACGCGTGACGATTTCCCTTTGTTTCATTGAAAGGTATGTAATGATGCGACAAGACAGTTGCACTCTTAATACCTTATGGACCATATTGTTTAATCTTGAACATGTATGCAGGTAACCACGTGTCGCATTTGGCAATAACATGCAAACAAGCAACATTAGGTAACCTATTTTCCCGCAAATAAATCACAGCTCGATACCGGGAAGGCGAATCTATCGCCGGTGCGTGGTGTAATATCGACCTTATTTCTTTCCTTTGTTTTGTTTAAGATGAGATTTTAATATTTTTTCGCCTTGATGCTTATAGAACCACCATTTGCCAATGCTAGTTACTTAAAATGAAGACCCGCGCGAAAATCTCGTTCTAGCCTAAGTATTATTTCATATTTTTTTAAGAATTCGAAAAATCAGCATGTTAATCCCGACCTTACTTTTTGTCTTTTCATATGTTTTAACTTACTAAGTAATCATTAAGCATGATGATGTTTTGGTTTTGCACAATGAGGTAGAATCTATTTCAAGTGATTCTTTTGTCCATCTCGTCAGGCTTGTTTTCGTGTGGTTTTCATCACGTTTGCAATTCTCATCATACGTAGGGCTTCATTTATTCAAATTCATACTGATAGCATACACTCGATCTAACTATCTAAACTAGTGAATATGCACCTAGGTAACAAACAAATGCAAACTAGCCACATATGTTCTGCGTGTAGGATACATAATGGATTGTGGGTGGATTACTGCATACATAAATACATGTGTCTTCGATGTGAAACATACCAGCCCATGGATTTTGCTGCTTTAACCAATGACTGTTGTTTCATATATTTAGTATCAAGAGACACAAGTAAACTTATATTTATTATCTAATTTCATTCTGCATCATTTTCATGATTATTTAGACTAATCATGCTAACACTGTTTTCATTTCAAAAATCGATTTAGTATTTGAGATCATCTCATTCAATAGGCACATCAACTGCAAAAAAATATGACATACATGTTTTAATTTGACCTAATATAATAATTATTACAACATGAGCTATGATAAACAGATGTAATCAAGATTTTGCCTCCTTCCATTTCATTGATGTCATTCATAACATCCTATTAAAGGCAAGTTTATTTGATGAATCATACTGTGCGTAAGCATGTTTGTACGAAAGCCCATTAGGACCATATTAGTATTTTGTTTTTTCTCTTTTAAAAGTCGTTATTACGAGAATAAAATTCGTAATTACGACTTTAATCTCGTAAGTACGACTTTATTCTCGTAATAACGACTTTTAAAAGAGAAAAAAACAAAATACCAATATGGTCCTAATGGGCTTTCGTATGTTTGTATATATTCATTTTAAATGTTTGAAAGTATTACCAAGATAACATAAATCACTAACTAAGCATAATTATTTATATTATCACAATGAATTTGAAAAAAAGTGATATGATTTCTAAGTGTTCCTTCAGGGACCAAGAACTTCATCTTCCTGAGGCAAGGGAGTTAACTGACTAGAAGAGACCAGTTTCCACCCTTGGCGAACTAGGCTGGAATTATGGAGTTATATTTTGGCTGGACTAACAACATAGCGACTGCCGTGCAAAGCATGCATACTGTCAAATGGGCGTCAATAGATATTTCCCAAATCTTTTCATATATTTAATCATGGTGCTCAAGTGGTTTGATGCACTTTGTGAGATAAGACCTATTTTATTAAATAAAGATCTTGGTTATGGATCAGATTGTGGATGGATGCTGCCTTTTTGTTTGAAGCATTGCAAGTAATATGAAAGGTGGAATCAGATCGATAAATGGAGAGGCATATAGAAGGGACATAACTCGTAATAGCCACTGGTGGCACTGTGATCAAGCCATGAAATTCCAGCCTAGTTCAGCAAGGGTGAAAACTGGACTTTTACAGTCAGTTAACTCCCTTGCCTCAGCAATATGCAGGAACTTATTTTAACCCTGCTTTACATACAAGGAATTTTGAACCCCACGTCGTCTCAAAGTCAGTATGTTGTCAGTGGCCCCAGTGAGTGAGGTTTTATTACATTAGCCATTAACTTCTCAATAGTTTGGAAAATCGAAAGTGATGTGAAATGAGCATACAAACGAGGCAAGGCAGTGATATTTTTATTTGTTTTCCCTTTATTTACTTGATTAACTGCTTCCCCGAATATTCTAAGTAAAAGATTTCTTTTCAGATCTAGAACCAGGTGTGTAACTGATCATGGGTCCCAAGAGAGAAGCACCTGCAGATGATGTGAGTAACATTGATGCATTTCTGTCAGTTGAGTGAGTTGGGTTCAATGCTGCTCTGAACAGTATTTCAGTTATGTCACAGCATGTCATCTTGAAGTGATCAGGTTGCAGTTGTTTACCACTTTGGTCAACCCACAAAATGCTAACAGATTAAGCATTATGATCAGGGAAAGTATTGGTAAACCTAAGGGAACGCAACTCCGCTGAACCCTAACCCGATTTGCGACGCCAAGGATGACTGAACCACTTGTGCCACAGTAGCTTCTAGCTGACCCGTTTCACATTAACATGATCATGATTATGCTGCTGAAAATCAAGATTCACCACATACAGTCAAGTCTCGTTAATCAGTGTTAATCCGACACTCCAACACAAATGATGGGAACCGATTGAATCAGTGCTATTTAGTCCTGTTAATCCGACATTCTCGCACTCCGACTCCGACACACCTAATTTGCAACGAATTGCTGAAATCACTCATTAATCAGTCTCGTTAATCCGACACAGTGATCAGCGTACTCCGTGGTCATCTGCCCGCGAGTACACAACCCCGTGTTTTGACACGCACTGGCTGCAGAGATTAACTTAACAATTAACAAGAAAAGCTATTCAAACCTGTATGTACAAAGCTGTACAAATGTAGTTTAAAAATTGAAGCCAGATAAATGTGCATGAAGACAGTTTAAAATACGAACATGTATATAAAACATGGTCGACTTGTATGTAAACAAGAAAGCATGGATGACTTCATTAATATTCAAAGCCTGGCTACTGATCTTGGATCGGCAAATGCGATTGGAGCAACGCCACGTGGTATTGCTGTTGGACAACGCCCCATCCCATGCTACTGTCGACATAACTAATGTGAAATGTCACTTTTTGCCACCAAACACCACATCGAACCTTCAGCCACTAGATGCGGGGATCATAAAGAATTTCAAGCTTTATTATAAGAAACAGCAAATTAAATTACACCTCGACAATGTTGATGCTGAAGAACCACAAGCCCTAGACGTCAAGCGAGCAGGGGACTTTGAGAAATGTGCCTTCAAAATGTTAGAAACAGAAAACACTGACAGACTATTTTAAGTAGATGAAGCAAGTTGTTAAGACAGTAGCACTTGCATTTACACGAGGAAACGTGTGTCGTTGATCATGTGATAAATTCAGTGAGTAATGTCACCATTGTTATGTATAAATGGGAAAATTAATATTATTTTTGCACAGTCATTAATTATAAATTAAGGAATGAATGAATAAACAACATAACAATATTAATATTTCGTTTTTAATGATTTTATTACAAGGTACACACGGTTATTATCTATCGTGAAGACGTCCGATTTTCGATCACAAATCACTTAATTTCGTTAATCCGACATACTCGTTAATCCGACACAATCATGTGCAACCAACGATGTCGGATTAACGAGACTTGACTGTATTTTGTTTCACTTACCGTATTCGATGTAATAAGCGCCCCACTCTAATAAGCACCCACAGTGATATTTGCTAATATATTGGCTAGTGAACAATCCCAATTAGCACCCCTTCCGATTGATTAGGGGCGGTCGGGTAGCCTAGTGGTTAAAGCGTTCGCTCGTCACGCCGAAGACCCGGGTTCGATTCCCGACATGGGTACAATGTGTGAAGCCCATTTCTGGTGTCCCCCGCCGTGATATTGCTGGAATATTGCTAAAAGCGGCGTAAAACCATACTCACTCACTCCGATTGATTAATGTACACAAGACTTATTTATTTGTGTATAATGCACACTCGTGTGTTACATGCATCCTTAATTATGGGCAATTAAATTCTGGAAAGATATATCTGTTGTGTATAATACACCCAGACATTTCTTGTGTATCATTTCAGATACATAAACGTAGAAATTTACGATTGTTCTGTTTTTTTTTAACCAAAATTATATTCTAATAAGAGCCGCCTATTTTTAATTTTGAGAACGCCCTGGGCGCTTAATACGTCGAATACAGTAAATTTGTTTAATATGTGTTGGTTGGTCCTCTGTCCATTCCTGTTAGTCAGGAAGATGTTGATCTGTACACACTGCTGGACCTGGTTGTCAAACCAATCTGGCCAACAGTAGAAATTTGCCATTTTTAAGGGTTTTGCTATGTGTTATCATAGTGATGACTAGTGGACTATATATGTTAGTTTCTACCCCTGAGAAGTCGTGCATTTGGCAATAATGATTTACAAACTTTTGAGTCAAGAAACAGACATAAAGGTGTTCATGTCTGTCTTCACAGGTTGCTGGAGATGTGAATGTCAAGAAAGCAAAGACAGAGGTTTGTTACATGTCACTTTTTTATGATTTGTTTGTTTGATGTTTAACATCACACTCAGCAATATTCCAGCTATATGACATAGGTGTGTAAATAATCAAGTTGGGACCAGGCGATCCAGTGGTTGACATCATGAGCATCGATCTACGCAAATGAGATACGATGCCGTGCATCAACCAAGTCAGCGAGCCTTATGACCCGATCCCATTAGTCTCCTCTTACGACAAGCATAGTTGCCTTTTACGGCAAGCATGGGTTGTTGAAGACCTATTCTATCCCAGATCTTCACGGGTCACTCGTCTATGAGGATTAAACATTATAAACATTAAATCTAGCACTCTTTCACAAAGATGTGCCCTAAACCAGCATAATCAATTTTGTTGTGTAACTCTGGTCCAGGAGCACTGTATAGGAAATAGTGGTAGCCCAGTGCTCGTACAGTTCTTCAGTTTGACTGTACAGAGTTGTGTCCCTTAGTCATTACAGGGTCTGTTGAGCATGGGGTTACTGTACACATTTCTGCCTGTACAGAACATTTGATTTTAACAGTAATTTGTAATGGGCTTCAGGGACTTCAGCGATCATGCTATAGTATATATGAAGCATGTGTACATATGATCATTGAATTTGCATGTGAATTTCTTCCTCAGGGAGGTGAGCCCGCAAGTGTGAAGAAAGGCAGAGGCAGACCTCGTCTTGCAGAGAACGCAAAGAAAACGGTAGGATGCCTTTAAAGTTTGTTAACTCGCAAAGTAACAAAATAATTTATATTTTCACTTTCCCGCAACAAGTGACTTGCTACAGAGTTGCAATCTACCCAATGGCAAAAAAGTGTTAGTCCACAATGAAATGTCATTGGTCCTTCTCAGGCTTGCGGACCACCGTTAATTCAGACTCTTGTAATGTCCGGTTTCCATGGTACATGTCATACTGTTCACACTCTTAATGGAACTCTCATCTTTTTGGAGTGCCAATTATGTCCACACACTCTAGCATATCTAGAACTGTGAATCATATGAACATATATATGAATACGAGGGCTGGTCAAAAAGTTCTAGGCCTGACTAACTTTCAACTTTGGCCATGACAAAGTGAACTAGTTAATGTAGTAGGTACATTGTTTGAGTACTTCATTGCAAGTGTATTTGGTCTGCTGAGGCCTGTATAATATTAGAGACAGCCAGTTGAATTTGTTAGAGGTCATCAATGGACACAGAAATGGAAAAGAACGGGTATCGAGCAATCATCGGGCTTTTGACTATAGAGAAAAGTGTTCCCCAAGAAATTCATGACCGCATGTCACAAGTGTATGGGGATAAGTGTCCTAGCTATTCCACTATTAGATGTTGGGCAGCTATGTTTAAGGCTGGGAGAACCAACCTTGATGATGTCCCTAGGTCTGGACGTCAATCAACTTCCATCAATGAAGATTCAATCAAGGAGATAGAAAAACTAATAGTGTCAGATAGACATATTACCATTGCTCAACTTGAGGAAGACACATGATGGATCCATTGAACCTATTATTCATGAACATTTACAGATGAATAAGATATCTGCTGTTGGGTGCCAAAGTTTCTAAAGTCTGATCACAAGAAAAAAAAGAACTGGCATTGCCAGAGACAAGTTAAAGCTATTTAAGGAGGATCTCATCAAATTTAAAAAGATACTAGCAACGGGTGATGAAACATCAATGATGTCAAAACATCAATCCATGTAATGGCACAATTCCACTTTTCCGGCATCAGAGAAATTCAAGTCTTCAGGATCAGTGAAGAAAGTTATGGCCCCTGTATTCTACCTCATGACAATGCCTCTTCTCACACCTCTCCACTTTGCAAAGGCTGCTGTGTAACAATGTGGGTTCGAAGCGCTTCCTCACCCTCTATACTCACCAAGTGATTTCCACCTGTTTCCTGAACTGAAAGAACACCTTCGTGGAAAGCGCTATGATGACGCCGATGACCTCAAAAGCTGTTGTGCATGGTTTTCTCAGGGTGGCTTCAGAAATCCTCTTCCTGATTGGAATTGAAAAGCTTCACGATCAATATGGGAAGTGTATTGAAAAGCAGGGCAATAATCCTGAAAATAAAATGAAAAACATTTTCACAATTGTTGGTTTTGTTTGTTAGGCTTAGATCTTTTTGGTCAGCCCTCGTAGTAGGGGAATCAAACTGAAGAAATAACAAAGAAATATTAGTTTATGTTAATTTCGAACCTTGGCATGGTTTAATTTAATTTAATGTTTAATTGACCCAAGTTTAACATGTTTTTGTTGTGTTTTTACAGGGGGCTGGAGACACAGATGCCAAGAAAGCCAAAACAGAGGTTTGTTACCGTCGTCACTTTCTTTAACGAAAGTCGTCATCATTTTTTGTCTGTCATCCACCTGTCCTTCCGTCAGTAGCACTTTTATCAAAACACGTTCCTCAGTATATATGTTACCGTCAGTGTAAAATGACTGAAATTTAACTTCAGCAATTTACAAAATGTCAAAATATTTCAGTCATTTTACAATTATTTTTCCATTTAATATATTATGATAATGAATTCCAAACATTTTTATGCTTTATTTCATCACCCAGTGATTGAAAATTATTTCCTTAAACAAAACCAAAAGTCAATGTATGTTTTAGAATATTTTTGGGCTTCAAATCCTTGCATAATTAGCCTGTTGTGATTTATTTTAAGCCCTAGCCTTTGTAACTGAGGAGTTCTTATTAGAGACAGGATAATGTTTCATTCATTGCATCAAAACATGCAGTTTTCTGTGGAAGAAAGAGTCTGACATTGTAATAAAAAAGTCATCACATATTTCTCTCTAGGACTATCAAGTGGACATTTTATCTCTTTAGGCGATGTCTGAGACAAATGATTTTATTTTTCAATTGATTTGGTAAAAATAGAATTTCCACTGCATCACGTTGGGCTGTCTTCTCACTTCAAGTAGACAATACTGAATACTTTTCAAAGCATTGTTAAACCAAACTCACTCATGTTAGAAAACCCCCTAAACAAACACAAAGATAAGCAGATACATTTTCAGTAAACATACCAAACTACTTGAGACATGTTATCAGATGTAAATTCTGGTATGTACACCATCCCTACATCCCGGTACAAGTGAGTATTGATTCCAGTGTTGGTTTTACAGGGTAAAGAACCAGTTAAGAGAGGCCGAGGCCGACCTCCTATACCTGATGAATTTAAAGTGGTAGGTGTCAATATTCCGATAACGTTGTACCCGATAGTCAACACCCATTGTCCATGATGTTGCCCAGATTTAGACTTATTACTTTATGTACGGTGATTACCTTATGTACAGTGATTACCTTAGGTACAGTGATTACCTTATGTACAGTGATTACCTTATGTACGGTGATTACTTTCTGTACAGTGATTACCTTAGGTACAGTGATTACCTTATATACAGTGATTACCTTATGTATGGTGATTACCTAGTGTACGGTGATGACATTATGTACGGTGATAACCTGAGGCTGATGTACAGAAATCAACTGTTTGTATTTGTTTCCCTCATTTCAGCAGCCTAAGCCCCCAAGTGGAAAGCCGAGAGGTCGCCCACGCAAGTTCAAGTCTAAGGTATGTGAATGGCCAGGTGTCAATGATGCATCCAGTGTTCATAATATAGTTTTTGTTTTATTTGTGTCAAGCTATACGACGGCGATTTGAAAATAACCTAGTCTGGACCAGACAGTCCAGTGACAGACTTGAGCATTCTACACAATAGGGATACAATGACATGCATCAACCAAGTCAGCAAGCCTGACCACCCGATCCCGTTAGTCACCTCTTATAACAAGCATAGTTGCCTTTTACATACGTATGTGAACCCGGGGAAGATCCTGGTTAGAATTGGTCTTCCGCCACCAGTGCTTGTCTAGGAGGGTCTGGCTCGCTGAATTGGGTGAGGCATGGAATTGGTTAAGACCTTTCGTTCTGGTTTGCTTGATTATGGTTGAGTTCTGTAATAAACAACTAACAAACAAAACTGTGTGCGTGCAAACTCAAGAGGATTGTTATTGTGCTAAATTCATATGCAACTGTTGCTGCATTGATATTGAGAGCTAAAAGACATGAGCAGAGTTATTACAAGATGGCATACAGTACAAACTGCGATTTGAGTAACATGGGTTTGAACTTGCAATGTCTTGGGGGAGTAGGGAACAGTGGAATGGACTGGGAGGAAGTTGTATGAAACCTTGACATTAGGGCTTGGATGAGTCCAAATTTACTACCCAGTTACCCACACCCCTATTACCCGACCCTACCTGGGGTACCCACACCCCTATTACCCGACACTACCCGGGGTACCCACAACCCTATTACCTGACCCTACTAGGGGTACCCACACCCCTATTACCCGACCCTACCCGGGGTACCCACAGCCCTATTACCCGATCCTACCCAGGGTACCCACACCCCTATTACCTGACCCTACCCGGGGTACCCACACCTCTATTACCTGACCCTACCCGGGGTACCCACACCTCTATTACCTGACCCTACCCGGGGTACCCACACCTCTATTACCTGACCCTACACAGGGTACCCACATCCCTATTACCCGACCCTACCCTTGTACCCACACCCCTATTACCCGACCCTACCCGGGGTACCCACACCCTTATTACCCGACCCTACCCGGGTACCTGCTGTCGGTTTCAAAAGATAGGTACAAAATTCCAATTGGGAATAGTGTGACCGTAGCCCTGGAAAAAATGTTTTAAGAAACACATATAAAACGATCTGGTCATGCATATACACTGAAGTTGACTGAAGTTTTATTTTTATTCAAATATATGTAAGTCTGAAGGAATGGGTTCAGAGTCATAAGGAAATGCGAACATTAGTGACTTGTGTAACAATGTAGTTCTAATATTTTTTGTCCTGAAACAATATATCACGTGACTAACCTCGGGTCCGGGTAGTTCGGTACCCACCTGCCCTAAGTACCTGAGTTACCTGTCCCAGCCCTTCTTGACATGTATTGAAGAAATTGATTTGTTGAATCTTTGCCATGTATTCTCTGGAGTTATTCGAATATAAGAAGTAACTGATTGGTTGAAATTCTTTTTCAGAATAATACTGTGAAGAAAAATGGAAGTTCGGAGGGAAGAGGCCGAGGTCGACCAAAGAAAGTAGGTTCATTACTTTGACTTTGATGTTTAACAACAGATGCAAGATAACATTTAAACAAGTTCCCTCATATTTTATAAATGGGTCCCACTTTCTAATGGTCATGCAGCTAGTCACGGTGGGAAGAGACCGTGGTTGATAAAAGAAATATATCGTAAAATATATACACTTTAAACCGCCAGTACCCATCCCTAGTAAGCACAGGTTGGTTGTAGCTGACTCGCATGTATGTTGCAGGTCCCTGTTGAGCCTGCGTCTGAAGAAGATGAAGAGGAGGATTCTGTTGAAGAGAACAGTGCAGGAGAAGAAGCATGTGAGGTCAAACCTGCAAAGAGCTCCCCCAAGAAGGTGTGTTAATAGGCTCCATCAGTTCATTAGCAGCCAATGAAACTGGACTGGAACGGTTTTATTATAACGGAATGTGACTGGTGATTCCTCTCCTGTCTACTTCTCTAAGATTATTGACATTACATATCATTCTACAATGGACCTCTTAGGTTGAAAGAGGGGCAAAATGATGACCCAGTGGGTGTAAGGCACTATGTCTTGCTTTGCAGATTTGCATCCCTTATCTATGCCAGGATCTGCTGGCAGCAAATTCAATTCCCAGGTTGGCACAATTGTTGTGGTGAGACTGCCAGAACATACCTGTGGCTGTGGATATCACCATGGTGGTCAGCCAGTACGACAAGCATCATTTTAGGCTTCCCCCCACATTAAGCTGACGTGCTGTGATATAACTGATACACGACTCAGTGGTAATTTGAGCATGGACCATTGTTTGAGAACATATTATGCTGATAGCATGTTTTTTATATGTAATCATATGTTTAGTGGAATTAATTTTTTCTGTGAAATGCAAAACTCAGCCATGGAAGTGGGGTCTCTGATCGATGCTATACAGATGCCTCCATGACTGTTAGATAAGATGTGTGCAACAGGTCATGTGAGGTGGATCATAATGCGAATCTCTACCTCATCGTGGTGTAACATTAAGACAGTACAGTATGGTATCCTGATACAAGACCCATTATACAAGACATCGATTTACAACCCCTGTATCGTGATACAATACCAGTTATATTGGTGTAAAAACACATAAATAACAACAGAAACTGTTGAACAACCAGTTTATGCAGGTTCTCTAGTATTTCCCTGTTGGCTATAAATAGCATAACATTTGCAGTGCCCTTTCGTCTATATATGTCTGCCAAACAATGTCAGATTTTTTATCTCTGAAATCTAAAAAGAAATGCTTTGGTTGTGATTCAACTTCAGAAAGAAAGAATGTCAACTTCTGAAATATAAGTAGTGTATAAGAATACACATTGTACCAAGACTCCACTGTATCGTAACACCTCTACTGCCTCAAGTGGTCTCATAAACTCAAAGAGAGTTGATACTGTGCTGAATTTATATTTATAAAATCAAAAGAAGTTGATTTGTTAATTCTTGACTTGTGTTCTCATCCAGGTCTAATTCAATCTCATTAAAATCAGATCTTAGTTCTCGCTACCGCTAAACAAAGATCTGAGGACATCCCATTATGGGTCACGTCAGAATGACCTTTCATTCAACCAATCAGAGCCTCGCTTACCAGGTCATGAAAGTGACAATCGGAATGTGTTTTCTAATTATGCAATCTCGAAATATTTAACAGAGGGTATTCCGAACGACAGTTACAGGTTTTATGATTATATCCATACAATCTAGACCAACTATAAGCCATTCCAGAATGATCTTTTGATCAGTTTAAAAAGAATTAATCGAGAATACGTCAAAATATGTTCCGAAGCGGTGTTGCCAGTTTGAAACTAGTGTCATAAAGCTTGAGAAAGCTGCCTTCTGATTGGCTAATGTCGATTTCTTGTCAGTCATTTCATTGGTGGGTCAAAGGTCACGAAAAGTTGTTCTGACGTGACCCGTAAAGGGATGTCCTCAGATCTTTGTAGCGGTAGTGAAGACTAAGATCTGATTTTAATGAGATTGGGTGAAATTGTGCGAATAAAAGAAATTATTGATTTGTTAATATTCTTTTTCAGAATAATGCAGAGAAGAAAAGTGCAGCTCCATCGGGAAAGGGTCGAGGTCGACCAAGGAAAGTAGGTCCATTAATTTTGTCTTTGATGTTTAACAACAGATGCAAGAAAACATTTAAACAAGTTCCCTCGTATTTTATAAATGGGTCCCACATTCTATGTTTCCCAAGTCAATGGTCATGCAGCTAGTTACACTGTTTTCAACACTATATTAGGTATGTTTGTTTGTTGTGTTGTGCATCATTTTGTAATGTAAGCACTAGGGGTGCGTGGTATTATTGGTATATCAGTAACTTGAGGTTCACTCTTTCCACAATACGTATCACAAAACCCTTTTAAAAGCTCGGTATATCAGTTGATTTGAATTGGCTATTTTTATCATGTGTTTAATGTGACACACTTGCCAGATACCCAGGGTGTGCATCTGAAGCATTTTTATTGAACGAGTAAACATTACGTTGTACCAGCATCTTGTTTTGTTCCATTTATGAACTTCAATTCATACACTGGTGTTTCAAGTTGCTTTAAGATAAGAGTTATCATGATATATATCAAAATGTAGCCTTGTGCATCGTAAAATATTGATACACTTTAAACCGCCAGTACCCATCCCTAGTAAGCACAGGTTGGTTGTAACTGACTCGCATGTATGTTGCAGGTCCCTGTTGAGCCTGCGTCTGAAGAAGATGAAGAGGAGGATTCTGTTGAAGAGAACAGTGCAGGAGAAGAAGCATGTGAGGTCAAACCTGCAAAGAGCTCCCCCAAGAAGGTGTGTTAATAGGCTCCATCAGGTCATTAGCAGCCAATGAAACTGGACTGGAACGGCTTTATTATAACGGAATGTGACTGGTGATTCCTCTCTTGTCTCCTTCTCTAAGATTATTGACATTAGATATCATTCTACAATGGACCTCTTCCAAATGGCATTGGAAAATCCTTTTGGCATGTCATGGGAATGTTGGAGGCAGGGGTTTTACAGTTGTCTAAGGTGCCGCAGTTTGCTGTGAAGAGTTTTAAGCATGCCAGAAATGTATGATTTTGGGTTCGAATCCTGGTTTTCAGATCAAAAGAAGTTGATTTGTTAATTCTTGACTCGTGTTCTCACCCAGGTGGAATTGTATGAATAAAAGAAATTATTGATTTGTTAAAATTCTTTTTCAGAATAATGCAGTGAAGAAAAGTGCACCTCCATCAGGAAAGGGTCGAGGTCGACCAAAGAAAGTAGGTCCATTACTATATCTTTGATGTTTTACAAAGTTGGCATGATATCTTTTAAACAAGTACACTCATATTTTTATGATTGGGCCCCAAATTAGGGCAAGCAGTATTCAATCTATATTTCAAGTACTGAAAAGGCCATAGGCCTATAGTACATATACACATACAGTAGCAATTGGTGCAAAAGGAATTACATATATCGTAGCTAAATATCACATCTATAATGCAGAGGATCTGATGTTCATTGCATGGTATATATGCATTGAAAGATATTTTGTGATTGTTTCATTTTGAGATGACATTAGGATATAAACTTTGTCTATTCGAGGATTCAGATAAAAATATTTATGTATGTATTCTTTTCTGATATTTGCATACAATGGACAGACTAGCAAAAAATGGTATTCATCTTCTATCTCTTGGCAAGTACAATATTTACACAATCTGTTTTCCCTTGATATCGCTAAATGTCTACCTTTTTCTATTAGAAGGTCATGGGAACTACATCTGAAACGGGATAGTGCTGTTCGGAATTTCTTAACATTTATATCCATAAAAAGATATTTTTCAGTCAGAATGAATGGGCAAGCAGTATGAAACCCTAAGTTATAAAAGTCCATGTCTATTTTCCCCATGTTTGTATACCGTATTCGACGTAATAAGCGCCCACAGCGATATTTGCTGATATATTGGCTAGTGAACAATCCCAATTAGCACCCCTTCTGATTGATCAATGTACACAAGACTTTTTCATTCGTGTGTTATATGCACCCTTAATTATGGGCAATTAAATTCTGGAAAATATATCTGTCGTGTATAATACGCACAGACTTTTCTTTTGTATCATTTCAGGCTGTCGGCATAAACCACGAAATTTACGATCTTTCAACTCTCTTTTTCTCACCAAAATTATATTCTAATTAGCGCCCCCTCTTTCTAATTTTGAGAGCACCTGGTCGCTTATTACTTCAAATATGGTATTATTTTTGGTAAAATGTTGGCATGGTGCATTATGTTGTAATGTACCACAGTTTGGTTATTGTTGACACCTGTGTATATTTCAGGTCTCTGTTGCGCCGGAACCTGAGAAAGATGAAGAAGATGATTTTGAAGTTGTGGAAGAGCTCTCAGCTGAAGAGGAAGTGTCGAGTGAGAAGAGCTCCCCCAAGAAGGTGTGTTGAATAGGCTTCATCAGGTTATTCATGTGAACCTCCCCATTGGGAGTCAAGAGTCAACCAGCGTCCACTGCTTGTTGTCTGAGACACTCTTGTCTATCAGGGCCTTGTTTCACCAAGCAAGGGTAGTTATACTACTGTCCTAAGTCTACGCTAATGAAATGAGAGCTATGATGTCTTAGTGCTGAGATCACTGTGGAATGAAACTCAGTTTGGCCATAGTGCTACAACAGTCTTACGTCTAATATAAGGGTAACGCTATTTTTCAGGGCATTATCATTTGCAGAAGCCCGAGGGGTTCCATTAACTGCCCGACGAAGGGGGGCAGTTGAAAAGACTGAGGGCTTCTGCAAATGATAATGCCCTGAAAAATAGCGTTACCGTTATTATAGCTAAAATGGATGGAATTTGTTATCAAATAAAAAGAAACAACAACATCGGTTTGAAACATTTACTGCAATCAACACGAATGTCACTGACCCACTTTTACAAATATGGAAACGTCATAGAACAAACCAGATGACGTCACTATTGACCTTGACGTCACCTATCCCTATCCTATGACGTCACCTAACAACGGGCGTGATAATGGCCGGTCATCAAGTAATATGAGGGCATTATCAAGTTACAGTGGCCCGCTCTTTTCTGATAACATGTGGGCGTTTTAATGATACTTCTATCAATTTAAGCTATAAGTTGAAGTAAGATCACCTCCGTGGTTTAGTGGTAGAGACTCCCTGCAGAGGGGAAGGTCAGGGATTCGATCCTTAGCAGTGTCATACCTAAAGATGTTTAAAGTTTGTACTTGTTGTTACCCTGCCTTAAAGGGCTAAAACAAGGACTGATTGGCTTGGAGTCAGTATACTGTGTCTGAGTGGGGTATTTATGTTAATCTGTGTCATGAAATCTCAGTGGGCTAGCACTAAAAAATCGGCATCGGACGAGTACTAGCAGACACACATACATGTAAAGGAGATCATCATAGTGAAACAGGGGCGGTCGGGTAGCCTAGTGGTTAAAGCGTTCGCTCGTCACTCCGAAGACCCAGGTTTGATTCCCGACATGGGTACAATGTGTGAAGCCCATTTCTGGTGTCCCCCGCCTTGATATTGCTGGAATATCGCTTAAAGCGGCGTAAAACCATACTCACTCACTCACTCATAGTGAAACATGATCCTGCCGATCAGACTGGGGGACTTTGTTGATTGCCTGTCATTGTACACTGACAGTGCAACATTTGCTGTGTTGGTAATGAATGCTGACGATACAGGAAAGTAAAGTTATTTCAAGACAAGGAAATTGTAGGCTGAGTTACTCCCTCTCTTTCAATAATTACAGCAGGGTCTGCATTTCAGAGTGGGAAGATATTTGGGATTTACTGGATGTGACGTCCCGCATCCTATAGGCTTAAGAATTGAGAACATGCCACAAAAATACAGAGAGCATCCATTTGTGTGTTGATGCAGAAATGTGTGTGCATGTTTACATGAATGCTGCTATTTCATAATTTGGTACCACTTATATTCATTCATTTATATGTAATGTAATCATTTCTAAAAAATACAATACACAAGCTAAAGAGCTAACACTTGGGCATTCCATATCTATTTTTAGGTAAGTCCCTTTGAGCTTGTGCAATCTTGCATCAATTGTGATACAATCTCATTTTAATCAGATCTATCTTCTCGCTGCCGCCAAACAAAGATCTGAGGACATCCCATGATGGGTCACGTCAGAACGACATTTCGCAAACTTTGACCGACCACTGAAATGACTAGCAAGAAGTTGACATCAGTCAATTAGAAAGCAGCTTTCTTGAGCTTTACGGCACTCGTTTCAACCTGGCGACTACGCATGAAATATATTTGTTGGCACAGTTCTGGAATAATATTTTGAAATCTGAACACACAAACATTCCGGAATGTCTACTATATGGTTGCGATTGTATGGCACTGCTTCCAACATACTGTGAACAGCCTCCTCCGATCAAATGTCCCGCGGAAGGGAGGGATGGACGATAATTTTGACGGAATCAGTCGTACAGGCCGTAAATGTCGTTCGGAATACCCCGTGTTTACGTTTTCGAGGTTGCATGATTAGAAAACACATCCCGATTGACACTTTCATGACCTGGTAAGCGACGCTTTGATTGGTCGGATGAAAGGTGGCTCTGACGTGACCCGTAATGGGATGTCCTTAGATCTTTGTTTAGCGATAGCGAGAACTATCTGATTTTAATGAGATTGATTGTGATAGAGTACTGTACTCAATTTTTTATATTTCTCTGGGACACTCATTTGTTAACCTGAGAACCCTACAATTATAGGCTTTGCATCCCCTTGACCCCCCAAATATTAATCCCAGGTTAATCCCTAAGTATATCATATATACCGGTATACTATATACATGCAGCCTGATGCAGGTGAATGAGTTGTTATAGAAACTCATTTTGAGTGGCATGGTACCAGCAGGAGATGATAACCACACATAATAATCCTGCATGGTAATATATGTCACTGGATTGTCTAGTCTAGACTCTAGATTATCAGGCTACTGTATAAATAACACCTGACAAGGTGTGAAGTTAGAACCCTGGTCACCCCTCTGTTTATTTGTTACAGAAGAGAGGTCGACCTTAGTGTCTATCACCTTACAAGATGTAAAGTTAGAACCTTACACAGCACCTCTGTTTATTTGTTACAGAAGAGAGGTGGACCTTAGTGTCTATCACCTTATGTGATGTAAAGTTAGAACCTTACACAGCACCTGTTTATTCTTACAGAAGAGAGGTCAACCTTATTGTCTATCACCTTACAAGGTGTGAAGTTAGAACCCTGGTCACCCCTCTGTTTATTTCTTACAGAAGAGAGGTGGACCTTAGTGACTATCACCTTACAAGATGTAAAGTTAGAACCCTACAAAGCACCTCTGTTTATTTGTTACAGAAGAGAGGTCGACTTTAGTGTCTATCACCTTACATGATGTAAAGTTAGAACCTTACACAGCACTTCTGTTTATTTCTTACAGAAGAGAGGTCGACCTAAGAAGGTGTCAGGGAAGAAGCAGTCAGCTGGGTCGGAGGAAGGTGTGTAGCCATCAGGTGCTTGCCAGGGCACACATATCTTTGTACATTCTGCTGAGAATGTGTCCCCAGGTACCATTGCTTGCCTTAAGGGGAGACTTGTTGGATGGGGTCATTGGATGGCCTTGGTGACCTGGTTGTCATCACAACTGATGACGTGGATCGTTGCTCAGGACATCAGTCACAGAGTTGTCTGGTCCAGACTTGATTAGCTCCAGGTTGTGGTCATATGGCTGAAATATTGCTGAGTGTGGCAATAGACAATCTCGTGCCGTAGGGCACTGGATAGGTCTTGGATGATACACAGCTGTCACTGTACGTACCATGATACAGAAATTAAGCCACGTGAAGTTGGCCCATCAGTCGTGCTGCAAACTGTCATATATTGGGGGGGGGTGCAGTGCCATGATACATTGAAATGAAAAAACAAATGTGCACTGGTGTGTACTTTTGATTGGGATCTGGAATACCCTTTGTGCTCCGGTTGTTTCTATGAAAAATATGTTTGTCAGTACCATGCAGTATCATACACAAGTTTGTTGGTTTCACCAGGTTGGTAAAGGTCTGAGACTTTCATCACTTCAGGCTTTCCTCCCACTTTAACCTGACACGCTGTGATATACTGGAATACTGTTCAAAGCAGCATTATTTCAAACTTGTTTCTGCATAGGTGTATTTTGTATACAAACAAGGGGGTGTTACCATATATTTTTTCATTTTCTTGTTGATAAATTTTACATTTGGATTTGTCATCAATGTTTAGTCAATCTTTTGCCTTTGGGATGTTGACAAATGCAGTTCATTGATAGTTTTATCCATTGTGACACCTGATTACATCAAATGGATTTGAAAAAGGCGCAGGTCAAAAGACATGTTTATTGACATCATTACGTCACTGTTAGGAGTACGACTGGCCCAGTTGTTGGAGGTGCCCCAATTAATCCCAACTCACTCACTCACTCACTCACATCACTGTTGTTGTTTCAGCTGACTCGTGACCTCACACACATCATCTCTCGGATCATCACTGGACTCCCCCCTACCATTCACTGCCACAGGTCACAGTGACCTAGGTCACCTTGACCTACTGATCATGTGTACAGACTCCACACATCACGTTTCCTCTCTGTACAAAGATGCAACATGCACACACAACCAACTTACCGTAATCAACATATTAACTGTGCCCTGGGCAAATCACTAATTTTTTTAACATGATTTTAAAAAATCATTAATGGAAAGTGTAGTAAACAGGGTTATCTGATTTTGGAAAATTATTTTGTATGTTTCTTGCTTCACTCTAAATATGTTGATTACGGTACTTACATTCATAGGGCATTCATATATTTTTAAATTTTTAAATAGTATCAGAAGCAGTGTGTCTAATGCCACAGCAAATTTGTCATTGTTCTTTTTGTGATGCAAAGATGACAACATTACTCTCTCTAGACAGAAATATTTTACTTCTTTTCTAGAATATAGACTAAAAAATCTTTTGTTATGTCAGATAGTGTTTTGCATTTTGCATGGAACTTTTGTTATATCAGCATATTTCTGATGAAATTTAATGTTGAAATTATTTTGATTGCATATAGGACTCCACAGAGAAAGAGTTCTCTGGTGTTATGTATAGGCCTACTATAACCTTAATATACACCTGGAAAATAATTAAGCACCACTTACGATATATTTCAATAAGAATCGTAACCTGTATTGATTTTTGCTGTTGACAAAGTTACTTATCTAGAAATACATACCAAAGTGGTTTCTGTAATAACTACTGTTGAATGCCCATAGCTATTTGGCTACCTTTTCAATGGCTTCCTCTGCTCTATTGTATCAAATATGACCTGGTCCTTGCAACAATCTGGAGGAACTTGTTTTGTTACCTGAACCACCTTTCCATCAGTGATGTTTGTGTCCGACATACATGAAAATTGGGGGCAGGGGTAGACCAGTCGTATAAGGCGCCGCAATTCGCTGTGCAGAGTTGCGTCCCTTGGGCACACCAGAAACCTAAGATTGTGGGTTCGAATCCCGGTTCGCCCGATTATGTATCTAGGTTTGTCAGCACCACACCTGTGCTCTGGGTTTCACCGAAGTGGTAAACGCCTGGGCCTGTATCAATTCAGGCTTTCCTCCCACATTAAGCTGACACGCCGTGATATAACTGTAATACTGTTAAAAGCAGCGTTAAACTCAACTCACTCACTCCATGAAAATGAGGCCCATATCAGGGGTAGATATTTCAAAAAGATACATCTCCAGGATATACGTGACATAGGAAAATAAAGGCGTGATGCATAACTTTTTCCCAGCTGTATATTGTGTTTGTGTTGCATCTTTAACATGCTTAATACTATTCCAAACTGTTTTAGTCATGAACGTTTGTGTGTTGTGATTTTTACATAAAAAAATCTTAATTGTGCAGCTAGGAACGTAACGTCTCTTCACAATGTTGTGTCTTGTCTTTTTCTGCCAGTGTAAGATTCGTGAAGGACTCATTTAGAATCAGGACTAGTGCATTGATTGTGTTTGACGTAAACCTAGGTGGCCGAAGGTGGTTGATAAAAATGCAAGCAACGACAAACATGTTTCATGAACAATTATTCAACTGTGTGGCACTTCTATGATACCTATTTACTGCACATTTTGTACCAAGTTTATTTGACTTGAAATATGAATGAACAAGGTTAACGTTGAAATGTTTCTTAACAGTCAAATTTTGTTTTAGACCGCAGGAATAAGCACAATAACGATATACCAACCTGAGTCTGATTGTGTGATGTGTAGAGTAGAGTAAATGTATGATAATTAAAGATGCCATTGTTTGTGTAAGGCTTGCATTGTGTGGTCAGCTTATAGACAGATATTTCATAGTATTAAGTCCCACTTTTAGAAAGAGCAACTAAAAGGATACTTTTGAGGGGGAAATAGTGTTATTTTGAGATAGAACTATGGTTGACTGTAATTTATTTTTTTACAGCTGATTAATCAAACTGTCTGAGATATCTTAATAAGTTCATCTTCTTTTACCAAAGAATTGCCAAAATGATTTCCTTGGTCAGAAGTTTATCAGTATTTTTCAAATGTGTCACCAGCAGCATGGGATGCCATCCATGTAAAACAAAATCTGGCAATTTTTAGTAGTTTCTCATTTGTGGCAGTCTAATCTGATAATGACGTTTACCAAAAAGAATTTCAAGTGTATACCCATTAAACTTTAGGAATCATGAATATTTTGGGGGTTATTTTTTGGTAGTGGAGACTGAGCACACAATTTCATAAAGGTGTCCCCAAAATATTGTACTTAACCACTGCCTATCATGCTGTAATCATGGTCGACCGAATGAAAATATTCATCATATGATGTCCTTGCCATACCAAAGGTTTTTGTAACAATATATATGTTTTGTAACGGAAAGCCAGCCAAATCACTGGCCTCACAAGAAATATGTTTGTTTTGTCGCAATTAACCAAATTAATAGAGAGTTAGAATCTCAACCCGTGCAGATTATGTCTTCAACTGCTTCTTTGCTTTGTATTTCCTGGTTCTATTACAGTCTGATCACAATTTGGTCATCATTGAGGCTGTTACTGTGTCTCTAATCTTTGAAGATATAGATGTAACAAGCAATTAAAAGAAATTGAACCTCATGAATAACTATAGAGTTGACCAGCTCTGTTTGAATATTGCAGCCTCTTTTGATTATGGGGCGGTCGGGTAGCCTAGTGGTTAAAGCGTTCGCTCGTCACTCCGAAGACCCGGGTTTGATTCCCGACATAGGTACAATGTGTGAAGCCCATTTCTGGTGTCCCCCGCCTTGATATTGCTGGAATAGTGCTAAAAGCAGCGTAAAACCATACTCACTCACTCACTCTTTTGATTATAACACTCTAAATTTGCTTGGAGCCATCTCTATTTGATAAATAAAATTGTCATGATGTTGTACTACCTAAAACATCCAAAACACTTCTCAAAGGTTTGGGATTTTGGTATATTTTGAACAAGAACTGATGTTTGTTTTGGTTTTGTATGATTATACTGCTTCCAATCTAGAGGTCTGCAGATTTAGTGTAGTTAGTCGAGGGAAGGCTTTTTTTGTTTTATTCAATCTTTGCTTTAATGAAATATGTCATGTACAATCAGAGACAGAATTGCCAGAAGATCAGAAATTGATATGAGCTTCCAGTGTGTAAACCATCACTAAACCTCGCTATTTTATGCAGGGGAGTATTTGCACTTATGCTTAAGAGTTTGATGATTAAAGGTATTTTGTTTCTTGAATTGCTGGAGTTTTAGATTGCTTGATTGTGGTTTGTCTTGCATTTTAAGCTTAAAATTTGAGCAATATATGTACTGTAATTCCTACTGTCATTATTTCAGTCAGTAATAAATTTTTAATACGAAAGTAGCATCATTGTTTCATTTCGTCATGAGTTGATGTTTAAGGTTTTATTTTTAAATTTTATTGTGTTTGCGGATGGTCCATGGTCTAGTAGATAGCGTGCCTGCCGGAGAGTTGAAGGTGAGGGTTTCTGTACAATCAGCTTTAGTCAAGCCCAGTAGACACGCAGGCAAGCACTTGAACTCAACTTATACCCAATTTCTTCTCACCTCATCTCATTTTGTTTGCGACCCATGAAAATCAAGTAGATACGCCTTCAGCAACCCATGCTTGCTGTGAAAAGCCAACTATGCTTGTTGTAAGAGGCGACAAAAGGGATCGGGTGGCCATGCTCGCTGACTTGGTTGATGCATGTCATCATGTCCCAATTGCGTGGAACGATGTCAATCACTGGATTGTCTGGTCCAGACACAATCATTTACAGACTGCCATCATAAAGCTGGAATATTGCTGAGTGTGGCCTTAAACAACAAACAAATAAATCATTGTGGTTGCAGCTGAGCAGGTTTGGGTGCTTGTGTCTAGTGGTAAAGACTTATCTCGTCCAGCCAGGTCATGATCGAAATCCACCAGGTACAGCATGTGAAGCCATCTACAGTGGCAACAGCCCCACCAAACTGAATAACCTCAATGAATGAGTACACTCTGATCTCCCTACTGGAGTCTCTCTGCTCAGTGCTGCAACACTGCCCTGGGCAGTTCACTCCCAATTGTCAGACAGGTCAGTAAAGTGTGACAGTATCACTGTCCAGTCTCACCTACTCAATTACTGAGCATCTCCCAAGCGTGAGCAGATTAAGATACTCCAGCTCGTGAGGTGATACAGATGAACCAGGTTATGAGTTCATAAGTTGTGTTTGAGTGAGGGAGTATGGTTTTACGCTGCTTTTAGCATTATTCCAGCAATATCACGGCGGGGGACATCGGTAATGGGTTTCACACATTGTACCCATGTCGGGAATTGAACCCGGGTCTTCGGCGTGACGAGCGAACGCTTTAACCACTAGGCTACCCCACCGCCCCTGTTTGATCTGTTCCCGGTTGCTTGTGTTCTATAAACAAATATTAGGAGTAGTTTCTTTATAAAGAACATGAGATTCAGTGTTTGTTAATAAAATCGTTTGATCTTTAATCTGTATTTTTTGCATTCTTATCAAGTGAATTAAATGCTAGAAAGAATAAGAACGCATTTAAAAGATTAACTTCTCCATAACATGAACAGAACAGAAGAAAACTTGGGCTGCAAGCCCCTCGTCTTACAATTTACATATACATGCCAAATGAAGTCGTATCTTCACTTGGGTTTTGCCAGTAATATTCAGTAATATATTCAACTCATAATTGTCATACCGTATTTTCTTGAGTATAGTGCGCACCCATGTATAATGCGCACCCCCTCTAGCGGATTCAGTATTTTGGAGAAAAAAAATCGAATGTCAAGCGCAGAAAAAAATTACACCGTAGATCTACCCCTTCAGCGAATTCCGGTAAACGAACGGGTGATGAGAAACTTGGTCAGTAATAATTCGAAATTTGAGATAAGTAATCACCAGACATGTTTATTTACCGCGCTATACTCAAGAAAATACGGTATACCTTTGGACATCTTAAGAAATGATACTCATGCTCGATGACATCAAACTGAGATTGTTTACGAAATTCACAACATCTACAATCTCAAAATCAGGTAGCTTAGTGGTTAAAGCGTTCGCTCGTCACGCCGAAGACCCGGGTTCGATTCCCGACATTGGTACAATGTGTGAAGCCCATTTCTGGTGTCCCCCGCCGTGATATTGCTGGAATATTGCTAAAAGCGGCGTAAAACCATATTCACTCACTCACTCGTTGACGTCATCCGGATGTCAACAAAGGTAAATAATCACTAATCCGCGATCAAATGCTTTGAGAGCAGACCAAGTATTAATAATAGCCCTTAAATTTAAAGCTATACAATAAAAATCTCTCAGAATGCGAAAAAAAGAATTTAGCTGTGACGTAACCCTGGAACCCTACCTTGCTAGATAAAGTCAAAATTGACTCAAGTTGGAATTTACTGTCATACTTGATTCTGTAACTTGGAAGAACACTGCTTAAAGGTATGTCATCCTTATAACATACAACATAATGCTGGTACCATGGTTGAAATTAGTGTGATGGCTGGGAGGTGTCCCACTACGATAAAAGGATATAAGTTTATATATATAGGAGCTCCCGTGTAATACCAATTTTATGAGCTCCCGTGTAATAGCAATTTTTGACCTTTCGCTCGTCAGATGCCAAAATTATTCACGAGTTTCATAAATATTCGTATTACACGGAAGTGAGTTTAGTATTTTATCTATAACTTACCATTTATAACTTTTTAAAACTTCATTGTTGTGTCTGAATAGGCAGGAATCTACGCGATCCCCAGCAAAATCCAACTGAAAGAATAATACATGTACTTCAAACACGTCAAAAGATTGTCCTGATTATTCTAAACCAAATGAGCTTTCTTCGCATCTTTTATAGTAAATTCTGACACGAGATGAAGAGAAATGATCACATAATAATGAACAAAAACGTCCAATATTGAATATAATTTCGTTTGTTTTGAAATATCCTTTAGGGTATTTGATGACGTAAAAGTGATGCCAAACAGGTGCGTGTCTTGTAAAATTTAGATACATGGTAAACTAATTGTTTTTCTATTCAAGACACACTGGTGAAACATTGCCACTTGACGTCGGCCTAGGAACAAATTAAGGTTGCTGGGGCCATCGACTGTACATAAGCTCCCCTCAGTGATCTGTCATCTGTACACGCAATGTCATTAAAAAAAACCCAGGGATGTTGAGAGTTTTCGATAGTTTGTAAGTACGCGCTTTGGTAATACACGATTTGTTATACAGCTGTATGTTTATTAACCGGGTGATCTCTTCACGGGCGAGTAATACAAACTTGATCCCGGCGTGTCAAATGTTACATTAAGAGAAATGTACGATTGTTTTTCTTAAAGTGTACTGGACTTTGGAATTTAGTATAGGGTGGGGATCAGGGGAATCAGGGGAAGGTCACCAACTATATGACAGGGTAATAAAAAATAATGCATATACTTGGGGATGGTCATGAAAAAAATGTACACGTACAAGGATATGGGGATGGTCATCCAAAAATACGACAAGCCTTTCAGTCCCTAGGTGAATAAAATACCTCTGACATGTTTATATCATGATAAGATTTCTTATTTGGATGATACTGTTAATATTTTAAATAGCTATTGAAAGACAAAGGACGACCCAGATTCCCTGTAATGAAGCCAAGCGAGATCCATGCGGCTTGAATAAATAAGCTACACTCTTTTAATTTTATTCCTGCAAGATTTGTTAACATCGTGCAAGTACTCTGTCACAATACCGTCCGAGTCAGTTGACAGCTTAAGAAATAAGAGTGACCTCCCTTGAATCACACCTGAGTGACGTCACCAGGTAAGTGTCCCATTTTCGAAGAACGGGAGATACAAACAAACTATCAGGACAGTTTGATATGTAACCACCTCACCTGTCAAAGTCACCTACAAGGTAAAGACACGTCAACACCCGGTCTTAATTACAGGTGAGAACCTTTGATGTCGCCGACATCGTTGCAGGTAGAAATATTTGAAAGACAAAATACGAATCAAGGTGTGTCGCACACAACGATGAATGTGTCAATGTCAGTCTCAGAGAACATTGTTTACAGACCAGGGTCGGCGTGTCATGTTGCAGAGCCGTTTATTCGAATACCCTGTGTAAATATTAATGTTTACTGAATGTATGTGACTGTTGCACAACACATGTAAATACAAAGATTCTTTCGTCACAGCAATTCGCCACAACGCAATAACTAACTACGTGTTGGTCTACACACACCACTCTAATCTTTTAATAAGGGTCAAATAGAACTTTATAAATATACGTCACAATCTGAGTATAACAACATAAAACTATATATGTGAACGATTACATATATTTATAAAAAGTATCAAAGTGAAGATGCACAATAGGTTTAACTTTTCATTCCAGAAGACACGTAATCTCCGAACAGAGTGGAAATTGGACTACACACTACATTGATTATAGGGGGTATAAATGGGATTAAACAATACATTAAATGCCAATGTATGATTCCACACTGCTTAAGGGAATCTATAATATATTAAATTTAGTACCAATGTATGATTACACAACAATTAATGGAGTCTTTATTATATTATATTAAGGGCCAATGTATGATAACACAATAATTAAGGGAGTCTATAATATATTAAATTAAAGGCTAATGTTTGATTACACAATAATTAAGGGAGTCAAAATAATATTAAAAAAGGGCTTATGTTTGATTAGGCAATAATTAAGGGAGTCAAAATAATATTAAATTAAGGGCTAATGTTTGATTACACAATAATTAAGGGAGTCAAAATTATATTAAATAAAGGGCCAATGTCGAATTACACAATAATTAAGGGAATCAAAATTATATTAAATTAGGGGCTAATGTTTGATTGCACAATAATTAAGGGAGTCAAAATTAAATTAAATTGAGGGTCATTGTATGATTTGACAACATATAAGGGAGCCTGTATAATTTAAATTATTGGCGAATTTGTGATAATAAATAGGGGAGTCAGTTACGGAATATATTATATTGGGGAGATCATACAAGGCAAATCAATACATGATGTAGTCCATGTAAGACTATTCAATAAAACTTGATCTGAATTCACATTCACATGCTGGTCTGGTGTGATGCCAACGCTGAGACAAGATACATAAGTATAGCCTGACTTGAATATTACAATGAAGCCCCGTTAATCCAGACATCCCATCCACAGGACGATTTTTCTTGGAACTGTCCGTCCAGATAAACGTGGTATTCCTGCATACGTATATACTAACACTAACACGTGAATGTCAGGACGTGTGTCAAGCATAGGTTTGGAGACACTGCGGACCTATACAGAGAAACCTCGTTAGACAGGACCCTGTTACTCCTGAAGCCCTACATTTCAACGATCTTTTGGGGGACGTAATTCACATAGGCATAGAATAAATATAGAAAATAGGTGGATTCGAATCCCAATTAGGTTCCCAGGTTTGTCAACACCATACCCGTGTTCATAGGTTTCACTGAAGTTTCAAACATCTGAGACCTGCGCACATTCGGGCATTCCTCCCACAATAAGCTGACCATTCTTGATATACCTAAAATACTGTTCAAGGCAGTTTTAAACTATTCACTCACTCATTTAATTCATTAATACGGAAAGTTGTCAATCCGGAGTTTTTTTCTGGAACAATACAATCCGGATTAACGAGTTTTTGCTGTATTATCGTACCAATGTTCCGATCATCAGAACTGCAGTAGGGCGGCCGGGTAGCCTACTGGTTAAAGCGTTAGCTCGTCACGCCGAAGACCCGGGTTCGAATCCCGAATTGGGTACAATGTGTGTAATATGAGTGATATTGATGGAATATTGCTGATAGGGGCGTAAAACCATACTCACTCACTTACTCACTCACTGAACCGCAGTATCTACAATAAAAATGTATTAGGCTTGCTGCTTTAGAAAAAAAACACACACTCAAGATAAGTATTAACATGAACTCTGACAACATTGCGGACCCTTTAGAAGGACACAAGGACACCAGCTAAACCCACTTTACCCACTTTTGCATACACGTGTGGCCGTCATCTGTGTAATGAAGGCATGAAAAAAAGACACACACAGCCCGTAGATCAGTGGGACCGCCCCCATGGTCTAGTGGTAGAGCGTCAGCCCGGAAGAGCGGAAGGTCGGGAGTTCAATCCCCGGCCGCGTCATACCAATAGACGTTGAAAGATGGTACTTGTTGTTACCCCGTTTCCCACTCCGACAGTCTGGGTTATTGGTCATAATATCAATCACTGGATTGTCTGGCCCCGACTCGCATATTTACAGGCCGCCCCCATATGGTTGGAATGTTGGACTTAGCTGATTGTGTGTCGTTATGACGGTGTTCATGCTATCAACCACTGGCCCAGGCTTATTTACAGACTCATCTGCAGTATGGTTTTGAGCAGACATATCAACGCCCTCGGTGTTTAAAAATATCTGTCTAATTGTCTAGTTTTTGACATTATTTTGAAATGGAAAGTGAGATATTTTCCTTCTTCGATTAGTATATTCACGTCTTGAAAACAGAATTTAATTTTAACAAAATGATTCTAACAATACATGTCACTTAATGTCGCCCACTGACGTATATAAATGTACACGACCCAAGTTGTCTGGAGCTGAGGTGGTGAACCAATGCCCTGCCTTGTGCCAATTTCGTGACATTACAAACAGACTTGTCAGTTGTTGTATAGTGATAATATCCATCGACATAACAGGACAATAGTAGTGTATTTTCAGCCATGTGTAACTTACCTGTACACGCAATACCATACCTACACACAAAGCAATTTTGGACTTTATTTCTCTCTCTCTCTCTCTCAATGTTATTTTACCTGGCGTAAAAGAATGCTCAGAAAGCATTTCTTGAGCAACCATGAAAGAATATTAAGATTTACATATTATTAGTAAGAAATTGTCTGAGAAGCACCATTTCGCTGTGCAGTGTTCTGTCCTTTGGGCACGCCATAAACCTATGGTCGTGGGTTGGAATCCCAGTTCACCCCGATTATGTTTCTAGGTTTGTCAGCAACATACCCGTGCTGGTGAGTTTCACCAAAGTGGTAAACGTCTAAGACCTGCATCACTTCAGGCTTTCCTCCCACATTAAGCTGACACGCCGTGATATAACTGAAATAATGTTCAAAGTGGCGTTTAACCCAACTCACTCACTCACTCTTAAACGAAATCTTTGTTTACATGACCTCAGTGTTCCCTCTTGCTGGTGCGAGTATGGGAGACGTGAACGGTAACGACGCTCCCGCAACCATCAACCACACGGAGGTGCACGTGGACGTCCGCAGCCCCGGAGTCGCTTACACCGCCAATGGCGACGTGGTCACCCAGCAAGGGGGTGTGCCCATCATTGCCCAGAACCCTGACCCCAGCAGGAAACCTAAAGACTTCGTCATGACCAACTGTTTTGTGGTGTTCGCGTGTAACTTTATATTTGGTTTCATTGGATACCATTACGGGGGTGAGTATACATTTACTGTGATTGGCACCACCGTGAAAATCCGGGTTAGAAAAAGTCTTCAGCAACCTATGCTTGCTCTATATGGGCAACTTTGCTTGTCGTAAGAGGCGACTAACGGGATCAGGTGGTCGGGTTCGCTGACTTGGTTGATGCATGTCATCGTATCCAAATTGCGTGGATCGATGCTCATGGTGTCAATCACTAGATTGTCTGGTCCAGACTCGATTATATTCTGACCGTCGTCATATAGCTGGAATATTGCTGAGTGCGGCGTTAAACAACAAACAAAGAAACAAAGAAACAAACAAATGTTAATGGCACCATAGCAGTGTCGGGTGGGGCCGCTTCGGTGGTTTAGTGAATGGATCATCCGACTGACAAACAGTTTTCTTGGAAAACAAGGGCCCTTTGACAAATTGAATAAGTTTTTACACAAATTGAGTTTTTCCAAATCATGCTAGACACATAATTTCCTAGAAGATATATGTCATGAATATTTTACGTTTATATGTACCTACATTAATGTTTAGCTACAAAATATTATTTAAAAATAAAATGACACCTATATCGTGAAGATCGCAATGGTTTATAATATTAACACACTGGGTTCATTCAAAGATGAACTTAAGGTCAGTAAATGTTGAAATTTCTGCAACGCTACACTAAAATAGCCTAATAAGGATTTTAAAATACAGGTATCTCGTACAAACGATTATTTGTCTCAATGAAATAAGTATTTATCGTGTTTAAACGTCATAGTATTTGCCTTTTCGTAGAGGCACTATTGTATGCATTTTGACAAAAGTGCATGCGATGAGGCTAAATGCAAAACTGACAGACCAACTTGACAAACATGTGTCACACATGACGGCAACATATAGTGACAGTATTCAGAAAACAAACTGTAGATGTCCTTTCCCCTTCCCCATCGACCGGAATATTCCCCACAGAAATCGGTAAACCACGGCATAAATAACTCTTAGCCGAAAATAATATATGTCGGTTACACAGGTTTGAGGGGGCACGGGTGGCCCAGTCGTCTAAGGCGCCGCTATTCGCTGTGCAGAGTTGCGTCCCTTGGGCACACCAGAAACCTATGATTGTGGGTTCGAATCCCGGTTCGCCCCGATTATGTTTCTAGGTTTGTCAGCACCATACCCGTGCTCGTGGGTTTCACCGAAGTGGTAAACGTCTGAGACATGCCTCACTTCGGGCTTTCCTCCCACATTAAGCTGACACGCCGCGATATAACTGGAATACTGTTAAATGCGGTGTTAAACCCAACTCACTCACAGGTTTGTTTAAGATATTGAAGCGTTCATAATATGTTTACGTTTCCACCGTCTGCTCTGCGCGAGCTTTCAGCACGAGACCGACACGCCTGCACCTGCCAGCTGCACGTGGATCATGGGAACCACGAGACGGTGCTCGTCCCGCCATCAATCTGTGTGAATTATTCAGACACGAGTGGAAACTCGGTTAGGAAATGAGATTTAACTGGAATAGCCCAGGCGAGATCAAATCGTTCATTGGTGTGCACGAAGCAATTAAATATTTCATCATGCTCTTTATTTGAAGTCTATAAAGTGCTTTCCTGAACAGAACGTTATTCTTAAAGTGTTGTAATTAGCTGTCAACGAAGCACTGTTTAATGGAAAGTTAAGCATAGACAATAATCAGGGTTTGAATTTAAGAGTGGGGGTTCGTTGAGTTGACATCTTTATAAGTTAAAAATCAAGCACATTATTCCTCGAAGTTATAAAAAAAGAATATAAAACAACAGTAGATCAATTCTTAAAAGGCATGCATTTGGTGATTTGATAAGTCACGTTCAGTAATCGTGAACAATATTTTTGTTGAAAAAAAGGTCTTCAAATGAGTTTGTCAAAGAGCTTATAGGTTTTCTATTGGTGCACCGTATCACCTAAGGCTGGGACGAGTCCAAATTTACTACCCGGGTATCCGACCCCCTATTACCCGACCCTACCCGGGTACCCACTGCAGGTTTCAAGAGTTGGGAACAATATGTCTGATTGGGAATTGTTTTACCGCAGCCAAGGCCAAAACTATTTAGATACATTTATCAAACGATCAGATCATGGGTACACGGAAGTTGACTGAAGCGTTATCTTTACACAAACATATCGAGTCAAAAGTAATGTGTGCATCGTTAGAAAAGAGATGCGAACATTAGCCACATGTCGTCTAACCACTGAGCTTTGGTGAGTTTTGTCATTAAACAATATATCACATGACAAACCACGGGAACGGGTAGTCCTGTGGGTACCCAGGTCCTACTCAGGACCCACCCGACCCGAGTACCCGAGTTACTCGTCTAAGCCCTACTATCACCTATAACATTCTCGATGTATAAATGGTTAGCCTGCTTTAAAAGTGGAAGGGGTGCGTGTGCATACACTTACTTTCCTACATTTATCAAAGTGCGGTGATAGAGTAGGTACATGATGGTTGCGATGTTCATCATGCGCTGTTGCTATTGATGCCGCTGATCGTCAGCTTCCCCATTGCTATTATGTATGTATCCAGGCTATTTTAGACAATGTAAATTGTTAGTCGCCTCTTACGACAAGCATACTCGCCTTTTACGGCAAGCATTGGTTTCTGAAGACCTATTCTATCGGGGTGGTATGGTAGCCGAGTGGTTAAAGCGTTCGCTCTTCACGCCGAAGACCCGGGTTCGATTCCCGACATGGGTAGAATGTGTGAAGCCCATTTCTGGTGTCCCCCGCCGTGAAATTGCTGGAATATTGCTAAAAACGGCATAAAACCATACACACTCACTCACTCACACCTATTCTATCCCGGATCTTCGCGGTGCGATGTATATACCCTCTGGAATCGCGATCACAACGTGAGCAACCACTATTCTATTATTGTGTATCGTTGCTGGGTTTAGTCAAACATGAGTAGTTGTTGAGCGAGGGGCGGTGGGGGAGCCTGGTTGCTGAAACGTTGGCTCGTCACGCCAAAGACCGGATCGATTACCAACACAGGTACAATTTGTGAAGCCCATTTCTGGTGTCCCCGTCGAGACATGACTGGAATATTGGTAATACCCCACTCACACACTACTTGTTGAAAATATCAATATGTCAGCGAACCATACCCACAGAGCGCTTCATACCGAAACAAACTTCTGACAGGCTGCGCATTTGCGTAAAATACGCTCGATAAATCACCATAACCCAGTTAATTTTGAGTTGCTTGCGTACAAATGCGTATGAAAAATATTAAGAGTAGTATAACGACTATGTGTGAAATTACCCAAAGTAGCCTTTTAAGCTTGCATACCTGTATGTCTTTGCATATCGTTATTTACTGATTGCGTGTAGTCATTACGTACAGTGAAAACACTGCAACGTCACGCTTACTGCTAAATTTAGACACGTATCGCTGTAGTGAGTTTATGTAATATGTGACGCACATGAATCGTCACGACAGATGCAAATTAGAGGTGATCTGAAACAGCGCTTAAGCAGAATTGGGTTTAAAAAGGTTTCACACATCGGTTCTAAAATTACCCAAGAGAGTGGACCTTAGGGAGTATTATTATATTGAATATACCTAAGTGGAAACTGTCAATATCAAGACTGAATGACATGTGAGTAAGTATTCAGTGGCACAAAAAATCACATGGAGCCCTGCACTCAACCAACCCACATGCACCAGATGACCTTGTCGGGAGGAATCCCTGGGGTGGTTGAGTAGCCTAGTGGTTAAGGCTTTCGCTCGTCGCACCGAAGACCCGGGTTCGAATCCCAACATGGGTACAGTGTGTGAAGCCCATTTCTGGTGTCCTCCGCCGTAATATTGCTGGAACATTGCTAAAAGCAGCGTAAAACAATACGCACTCACTCAGGAGCAATTCCTGACATACATGATCCGACGGTCCGTAGGTTGTCTTGACCTTATTATTGAGTTCAAATTAGCCATATTCACGTACGCCGGTTCGCATTGTTCAACCTGTGATTGCCGCAGCATCATCACAGAGCAACTACGTGCATCCATGCACTGTAGATCAATGCATTATGAAACGGTCTGATCCAAGTCTGTTGTAGTGCACGGTGGGGTCAGATAAAGCCGCGTTTCCTGCATCAGTATAAAACCTCAATGTACGAACAAATGACACTGATTTGAGACTCGATTGGTTTATGTATGAGGGAGTACACAGGATGCAATGAAATGAATTTGGTCAAGTACTAAATTAGAATTAACTGCGGATAATTTGCGCGCACTTTGTGTGAACATTTCTACACAGTTTGGGTTCAACACACTGGGACGACATGACACGTGTTTTGATACGTTATCCACGAGGAATGAACAGTTACACATCGGCGTATATTTTTCTAGTGACTTGTTTTTCTTTGAAACTTTATTATCCCAAATAGCTTATTGTGCTCCGTTACTATATTCGGCGAACATTCGGCGTGTCCCCTCTGTTTATATACAACATGCAGTGGTTAAAGTGTTGGCTCGCCCGTTTGGGTTCCATTCCTCACATGGGTTTACTATTTGAAGTTCTTTTTCGGGTCTCCCGACATGATACGGCTGGGTTATTACTTGAGTAAAAATTCAGTAAAACAATAGTCACTCACTCATTCAACATATCAGTTATGGCCTGTCCTGCAGATGCTTATCACCCCAACCCACTACCCCATCCCAACTGTTAGTCGTATAACAGAGTCCAATTGAATTTAAACACTTGAATATTGCTTGGTATTAAACATGCTGAACTTAACTGTGATAACAGTTCATCAAGTTTGGCAGAGGATCACAGACCTGCCTTCTTGACGAATGAATTTTAATCCTAAAAGGGCAGACCCGTGAAGATGCGGGGTAGAATAGATCTTCAGCAACCCATGCTTGTCGTAAAATACGACTATGCTTGTCGTAAGAGGCGACTAACAGGATCGGTTGGTCAGGTTCGCTGACTTGGTTGATGCATGTCATCGATCCCAACTGCGTGGATCGATGCTCATGATATCAATCACTGGATCGTCTGGTCCAGGCTCGATTATGTACAGACCGCCGTCATATAGCTGGAATATTGCTGAGTGCGGCGTTAAACAACAAAACCAACCAACCAACCTAAAAGGGCACACGTGTGGGTAACCATGGCGCAGATGGAATTGAGACGATCGGGTTCCCAATAGACAATTGTACACACACATACAGGTTGTTAAAGAAAGTCCATAGTACAGAAAAATACGTGGAATACCCCCTCAATCGTGCTCACAGGAGCTCTCTAGCTAAATTCAGATGCGGAGTGGCGCCTTTAAAGATAGAGACTGGACGTTACACAAACATACAAGCAGAAAAGAGATGTTGCTTGAAGTGTACAGACCAGGCGGAAGACGAGATCCATGTCTTAATTATATGCCTTTTATACGACGACGTGAGGACTAATCTTCTTAATCGCTGTAGTCTTAAATTTACTAATTTTAATAATTACTCTTATAGTGAAAAGTTTACACAGAATTTATCTAAAGTTAATTTTATTTCTTGCGTGGCCAAAACCGGCCATAACATTTTAGCAAAGCGACGTTCCATTTTATATCATTGATATATATATGTATATATCTTATCGTTGTGTATCACTGTTTACATTTAATGACATATTGTCTCTATGACCGCCGTCATATAGCTGGAATATTGCATTGTGCAGCGTAAAGCAACAAACCAACCAACAACCACGTCAAGGACTGGTTAACATCGCCTGTTTGCGCCACCGCTTGATCTATTATTGGACGAGAAATAACACCCCAGTGTGACTGGAACGTATTCGGATACTGTTGTGTGACAAGTACATGCCGATTTACTACCTGTTATGTTCGAGATGCTCTTGTTGTTGACAACCATGTTCTGTTTCAACTGACTTGTATGAGCTTAAGTCTACTATTGTATTTTTTCCAACCCATGGGGATCCCGAGTAAGGATACAGGTCTCCGGGAACCTCTTGTCGTAAGAGGCGACTACGTGGATCGGGTGGTCAGGCGCGGTGACTTTGTTGATGCATGTCATTGTATCTCAGTTGTGTGCTCATGATTTCAATCCGTGGCTTTACAGACTACCGTCACATAGCTTGAATATTGTGAGTGCGGCGTTGAACAAAGAAATAAAAACCAAACTACTTTCCAACATTACGATGGTTCAAAATGCAGTCATGTCTCTAAATATCACCCGTTTCTCTGCATCATGAATACTTGAAGCAGACAGACACTTTTTCAGTGATGTCTCAATCAACCGCATAAAATAATAACAAACAAAAACAAAAAAAACATTAAAATCAAATCTTAGTGTTCGCTTTGTATAGAGATCTGTTTAATTTTAAAGTCGACCACCGACCTTCCTTTAAGATAAAACAATGCAGTCATGTCTCTAAATATCACGCCGTTTCTTTGAAGCCGACAGACACTTTTTCAGTGATGTCTCAATCAATCGCATTAAAATAATTTAAAAAACCAAAAAACCCCATTAAAATCAAATCTTAGTGTTCGCTTTGTATAGAGATCTATTTAATTTTAAAGTCGACCACCGACCTTCCGTTTAAGATAAAACAATGCAGCCATGTCTCTAAATATCACGCCGTTTCTTTGAAGCAGACAGACACTTTTTTCAGTGATGTCTCAATCAATCGCATTAAAATATAATACCCCCCCCCCAAAAAAAAAAAAAAAAAAATTTTTTTTTTAAAAATCACACCCTGGGTGAAAGAGGCTTTACCAGTAAAGACGGTGTGATTGCTGCCGTCGAGACCTTTTGGGGGACAAGATGAAGACTGGTATAGAGAGGGATAACAAAACATTGCTTCATGTGTATTCAAGTCAAAGGAGTTTATACTGAAAAATAATGTATGAACAATTTTGATTCTGAACAATTTTATGTGAGGCAAACTTTTCGATTTATCGCCGTACCTACACACAATGCAGCCAGACGAAACATGCAACTGAAATTAACGGATTAACCCTTGCTGACCTGACGACGCATTTCAATCGCCATTATCTGCAAAGCATTGAATCTTAAAATCGAATGTAATTAAACGTCTGGTATGCATGCCAGGTCGATTTTTTGTATGCACGGCTCTTTTAACCACAAACCTATTAAATGGACGATTAGTGTTTGCCGTTGGAATTACACAATTAACTGCGTGGTTTAAAGCACCAAAAATAACACAACTGTAATTTAAACATGCTTGGAAGGAATTTTAGAATTAAAATAATACTGTTATTATGCTTATTTTTAGATCTACCAAAAAAACACGTTGATGGGCGTAAACTGAAATCAAATTTAAAGAATCTGCAACGACAATTTGTTTTTAATAAGTTAAAGAACGTTGCACTTCATATATTTTATAAGTAAATTAGGATGTACGTGTTCTCATGACCCCGTGAATCATCATCAAGTTCCACAAAGTGATCTTAGCGCTAAGAATATCGTAGGTCTTAAGAATGAAGTCACGACAGTCGTAACCTTGAGAACGTGAACGGGTCCCCGGGCGTGTCAGAGTGACGTTGATTGACAGGTCATGTTATAGACGTGCGTGAGTGATGTCACTATCACCTCGTCTTGTGTCCGTGGTCGATATCGCCAGTCAGCCAAACATGTAATGCACTTTATCGATCTACAGAGAAGGTGTGGGTTAATCGATGATGTAGCAACCATGTTGCCAAATCCAGAGAAATTAGGAAAGTAATTGCTGGAATAATGTCCTCGCTATTTTTACCTGAACCTGTTCTGCAGGTGAGTTTGTGTGGCCGGCCGGCCGTATGGGCATTTATTCCCGATCCTATAGTTGTTTCTTGAAACGAACTGCGAAAATAAAATATATTTGCTTAACATTTCATTTACTTACTTGAACTTTAAAGTTCATCGTTTATAAAGGAAGCTACCGAAAACTCATTCCAAACGCTGATTAGTCCCGAAACGAGGCTATATTATGTTATTATAGCCGTAATTATATGACGCGTTTAAGATGATATATTGTGTTGAAATTGGAACAAATATGAAGACCAGAAAAAAAATAAATTCAATGAAAAACTAGGATAAGTCCATGTACCTCAGATACGACTACAATGGCCTGACCCGTGACGATTCCAGGGTAGAATAGGTCTTGTGCATCCCATGCTTGCCGTAAAAGGCCACTATGCTTGTCGTAAGAGGCGACTAACGGGATCGGGTGGTCAGGCTCGCTGACTTGGTTGAAGCATGTCATCGTATCCTAATTGCGTAGATCGATGCTCATGCTATCAATCACTGGATTGTTTAGTCCAGACTCGATTATTTACATCGTCATATAGCTGTAATATTGTTGAGTTCGGCTTTAAACAACAAACAAACAAACTAATCACACCACTCACCGTTTCAGTCGGGGGCAAGGGCGGCCCAGTCGTCTAAGGCGCCGCAATTCGCTGCTCTGTTCAAAGTAGCGTCAAATGAAACTTATTCCCTCTCTCACTGTTTCAGTCAAGTCCAACTGGGCCTGGAAGCTGGGCCAGGAACATGAGGCCAGGAAGAAGGCGAAGATCGCCCTCATCTTCGCCATTGTCGGCATCGTTGCAGGAATCATCACCTACTGCCTGGCGTTCGGCTTGTACTTCACAATAGGCAGACAACCCATCGACGTCACACATAAAGGGACACCGCCCTAACTAGGCCATAAGGTCCATGGTTTTATATTTGTGAAGACAGCGTTCTTTGTTTCGGACATTATCAACGATAAAGGCAGCTAAATGAACCGCGATTTTTGTTCAGTTTCAAATCTGTAGTTGTATTACTAAACTTATGTTAAACGTAGAATTAGCTGACCCACGTGCCCAAATAGGAAAACTCACGGCGGCCCAAATAGGAAAACTCGCGGCGCACCAAAGGTTCCCGGAACTTGTTATAAGGAAGCAATAGTTTGGTACTGGTGCAATGGTACAATGTTGAGACAAGCCCTGCTTTCAAGAACCATCCTCTCTCATTCAGGGTAATGTATATTCTGTGTACGTGTATAAACCTTGGGGGTGAGGGATTTGAATGACACAACAACCTTTTAAATACGCTATTACCTCATTTTAAAACGTTCCTGAAGCACCATTGATACCTTCCTATTCCAGTGTGCATGATGTAGAATTCAGGCATCACCAGCTGACGTTTCTAAGATTGTTCTCCAGGAGGTAGGATCTGGGTGGAACTTAATATACACATGGCAAGAGATAGGCCAATTCTATTTGGATTATATGATGCAACGTCATCGACACCTGGTCTCATATCGACATCCCGCATGTCTCGAACAACGGAATAATCGACATATGTTCGATGCAGCTCTATTTGCACTTTCTCTGTACATAATATGGCGAATATTACCCCATCCAGTATATAACCAAGGTCTCAGAATGTAGTTGGGTTACACTTATACTTACAGGTATCAATGACGCCAAAGGTGTTTAAGTTTTACTCGTGTGATGAAGAAGAGAATGTCCTGTATAATTATGGAGTTAAAACGTGGAATTGTGGGGACGAGAACGTGGTTTCTTGTTCTCAAACACTGCGTATGGATCTCAAAATGATGCCAAAATAACCACTGATTTATTTTACACGCTAATCCGACGTTTATCTTCATATTGATTGCGTTTGAATTCGTAACTGGTTTGTTATAACCTATATGAGTTTATGAAGACTTGGCAGGAACATAACCTGGACCCACTTGCACAAAGCAATCTTAGCGCTAAGACTATCTTAAGCGTATGTTAAAGAATGGGAGTTACGATCATCTTATCGCTAAGATCGCTTTGTGCAAGTGGGCCCTGGATATATTTTCTGTTGAGTTCACTGGATCTGTTCGTATGTTTATTTTGGGCGTTGAAACCAGTGGGTTGTTTGCATTTTAAAATGTTTTGATATGATTATGTATCATTGATATTTACTTTGGTTATGTGTATATAGCGGCTTTACTATTGTTTTCTTTGTTGCTTTATATTTCATATATATTGCATATTTCACACGCAATCCTAAATATATAACGTTCACCTTTAAAGCATTGATTTAAACATATTTATTCACAAGGAGTGAACGGGATTGGGGGACAAGTTCTTCCAACTTAGAATGCCCTCTCCCTGGTATTTACAAAATATTCACAAAAGCATTTATGCGTCCATAATCAAAATAAGAGTGCACTGAGTTTGTTGAGGGAAAACATCTATGCAGTCATGGTAGAGGTCTTCGGTCGATTTTTCCAATATTCTATACATCGAATTGTGAAATGTGCCTCTGCAGCTGATTAATTTGTTTGAAGACATGATTTATTGCTTGTATATAACACCCTGATCAAAATACCCCACATTCCACAGGGTGCAATAACCAAGCATCAGGGGCTTGCCTATTCGTGACCACTCGCCGAATTCTTGCAGGTTACGGAAAGGGGCGTGTGCATCCGGGTATATACGTGTGTCTGACCCAGAGCCGTTTTGGGTGTTCATTTCCAGAAACGTCAGTATGCCGTCATAAGTGCCATCCAAGCTGGAGTGTTAAAAACAGATTTAACAAAAACAGTTATAAAGAACAAGTTATAATGAACGGTTCTATTTTTTGCTTAATATTTTATTTTGACAATAAGAAAGCCCCAAGAATCCCTTTAGACTTGTGCTCAACTGGGTTGTCGGGTTCACGCGTTGTCTGAATATGTACTTACGGTGATTGTTGCTTGAAACGAAACTGAAAAGAATCGTAAGTTCCATGACATATATCGAAGACTACTCGAATGACAACACATAGCCAAGAAAAAAGTACCCAGATTTCTTGTCATTGAAGATATATTTGCGCTGAGAATATCTAATATACCTGTTACAGTAAACTACGTTTATAACGAACACGCTTATAACGAACTTACAGATATAACGAACTTATTTTTTAGTCTCGGCCATTTGTTGTATATATGCTGTATATATGCTTATACCGAACTACGGCTATTTACGAACGAAAATTAGTTGTCCCTTTGAGTTCGTTATAACCGTAGTTTACTGGTATATGATTGGACATCAACGAGTCAGAGATAATACACTGACGATCCTAGACTCTTCTCTCGATATTAAAATATGTAACACATCTAAATACGTAATTTTCTATATGCAGGCCATTGAATTTTCGATTTTCATCGTCGCTCGCCTCTTTATTGAAACCCCGACTAACATCATCTTACCGAGCACCTATAACGGATGACATCTCTCCCTGTGTTCCCTTATATCTGCAAGTGATGAAACACACGCGTACGTAGTCAAACCGAACACTCATGTCCCCTGTGACTCATGTCGCCATGGGGGGCACGGGTGGCCCAGTCGTCTAAGGCGCCGCAAATCGCTGTGCAGAGTTGCGTTCCTTGGACACGCCAGAAACCTATGATTGTGGGTTCGAATCCCGGATCGCGCCGATTATGTTTCTAGGTTTGTCAGCACCATACCCGAACTCGTGGGTTTCACCGAAGTGGTAAACGTCTAAGACCTGCATGACTTCAGGCTTTCCTCCCACATCAAACTGACACGCCGTGATATAACTGGAATACTGTTAAAAACGGCCTTAAACCCAGCTCACTCACTCATGTCGCCATGTCAAGTTCGCAGCTGCCTTGAAACGTTTAAATATTAATATATTCCCCCCGCCTCGCATTATTGAACATTTTGGGTGAATATCTATTACTTATTAATTGAAGACAAACATCCACCAAGTTGGCATGACCTCAGTATATATAGCGAACACGAAGGGGCATTATATACGGGGAAATACATGGTGCATGGCCAAATATGCATGATATTTCGCTGTATCCGACCAATTATGTTGTTGATTATATTAATTATGATATCCTGCTCTTTGTAACTGAATATACCCAGAAAGACTAAAGTGATAGCAATTTTCCGATATGAACTTTACAATGTTTAATAGTGTTTATATTTGTATGGTGAAATTAACCTGTGTTCTTTATTGCGTTTTTATATCAGTGGCTGATTTATATCGGCGTCCAACTATGCAGAATAATGCATATATTATCTATGTTGTTGTTACACTTCTGCACATTGTATATGTATATAGACAGAAGGTATAGCCCTATAGTACCTGGTGTGGGTGTCTGTGTACATACAGAGTGTACGAGGTTTGTATGCAATAATCAGTGCTGAAATACTCATTAAGCCACTCGTGTGCATCATATTGAAGATATATATTTTCAAAAATTAAATCATACAAACTATGTAATATCTCGTGTTGTCTGTTGAGAATTGATTACGTTCTGTCGACAGCGTGGATCGTTGATCATATCTATCACTGGATTGTCTGGTCCACAATAAGTTGCAGCAGGATCACGAGGGGTAGTGGTGTGAAACCTAACAAGGGACGCATCAAACCCCATGAACCCCGAGTGATACTGCTACAACGAATTTATGTTACTTAATATGACATTGTTAAAGAATTAAAGCAAATTGATAGAAAACAGCTGTTCAGTTGAGCTGAGGGTAACTTGTGCTGTGTCGCGTGACTTTCATTGACTCGGGGGAAAATCGTTAGGCTTTTTGCTTCGAAGCGGGGTATAAGAGATTTATTTCCCTCAAAGGCGTGATACATAGTATCTTATCAAGATCACGTGAACCAATCAGATTTCATCATTCTGACATAGAACTATGATAAACTCGATCGATTATTACCAGAACGCCGTCATGATCATGTACTTTTGTTTGTTGTTTAATGCCGCACTAAGCAATATTCCAGCTATATGACGGCGGTCTGTATATAATCGAGCCTGGACCAGACAATCCAGTGATTCACATCATGAGCATCAATCCACGCAATTAGGATACGATGACATGCATCATCACCCGTCAGCGAGTCTGACCACCCGATCCCGTTAGTCGCCTCTCACGACAAGCATATTCGCAAAGTACAAAGCTGTACTGAATGATAAGTCAATGTAATTCTATAAGAGGCAAGTCTAGATAAGCGAGCAGTACATTCAAAGGACTTCAGTCTTTAATAGATATCAGATTGCTTTGATGCACAAACGAACATACTGGTATGTTGTGTGAACCGACGCTCATGAACGCATCACATGTGACGTCACAGATCCATAACTCGCGATGCCCCATTTGTCTCGTGAACGATTGGCGTGTAAAGTTTGGAAATCACGTGCAGCAAATAGTGATAAGAATAAAGACATGTGGTAACACTTGACTGACCAATACCACGAGATCTAACTTGGTTGTGGTTCAGCAAATCGCTACATGAATCAAATTCATCAACCTCCCCCATTTTATATTCTGAGAGGACAAGGATATTCTTAAACATCATGGAGTGTCCCAAAATATGTTTAGCAGCTTCTATCAGAGTCCTGAAGCCATGATAGAAATAACAAGAGCGGAGACTTTGGTATTAAAAGCCGATTTATTTGTAACATGTCTAGCACACAAGGGAGTTGGACCTAGTGGCACATAATACCTTAGTACAGCCTCTATCACAAGGGACCGGTCATTTATTTTAGGAGGACAGGGATGTTCTTGAACAACACTGGTTGTCAAAACAAATGGTTGAAAAATGTCTTGAAGCAGTGTCAGGAACATTCTGTCTCTAACACAAAATATCAAATGGTTGGGTGCTGAGACAGTGATAACATACACCACTTGGGGCGATCTGTAATTATTGGAATGGTTCCCTTGTGGAGGAAGGCTTCCTCCTGTGTTTCCCTTATTGCTACCAAACACTTGCTGCTATTCACTACATCTAAAGGCCAGACCAATTTCATGTCCTGCCTTCCATCATGGTGAATACCTCACAGGTTCTGCACTATGTCCCTGTGATGTGTGAACCTATCATACATACTATCAAAAGAACACCAGATTCTTTCATATCACCTTGATTATCTGTCAAAGCATGACAGACTAACTATAGCAATATAAAATAATCGGGTGTTCTTTAACTTCTTTCGAGGACTATATAAACCTGTAAAATACCCCTCATGGTTTTACATATGGCAACGCCCTGATGCAGGACCTCAAAAATGAATTAAAACAAATTTTGTACCGATTCATTCAATATCATGTGGGTCAGTTCCGAGGAGTAAGGTTTTATGCTGCTTTTCAGAATAGTCCAGCAATATCAAGGCGAGGGACACTAGAAGTGGTTCACACAATGTAACCATGTTGGGAATTTAACCTGTCCCATTCCGAGTGGTTAGTGGAGTTTCGAAAAATGCCATAAATTATTTCGAAATCAGGTTAAAAACAACTACAAACCTAACAAACACTGGTTTGAAAATAAGCATACTTTCTACAGCCTTGTAAATGTTTTTTTTTATTTAGGTAGGATTTTTCTGTAAAACAGGGGACAAACAGGTCTGGCCTTATTAACAATTCATCAATCATCAGGACTACAGCTACTCATCGGAAAATACTATGTGTGGTTCCTAGAAAAATAGTGAAAATAGAACAAACGATATCCAAAATGTTATGAAACAATTGTTCACTCTTCTCACTCATAATCACAATAGCCAACATTTTCAATACATTAATACAGTTCTAAAGATGGTCTGTCTCCAGTAGTGTCACATGTCGCCCGAGAGTCTTGATTAATTATTCAAGGGTTTACATTGTAAACATAGTTTAAGGAATCATAGCCATTTTTTGAACATGAAAAAAAAACAATTTCAGTTTCATCTTGGACAAACCAGAAACAATCTCCTCTCACATGAACCCTCCCTGGAGACAGGTCAATCTTCATCTGAGCAGCAATAAATAGGATGCTGCAAGAGGTACTGACTGAATAAAACTACTGGTTTAATATGAGTGCAAAAATCAACATTGCAAGAAGCACTTGTAAAATCTAAAACATAAGTGTGTAGCATCATGGAATTGTAATAAACATATGAAATAAAGTTTGTACAATGTACAGATTTCATTGTAACAAGGGCAAGCAAAACAAATGGTTTACTGTTGTTTCAATCTCATGCCAACAAGCACTGGCAAAAATGTTTTTCACAAAACTGAATTAAAAACGGCAAGATCTTGGTAGTCACAATGGTTTTTTTTGCATTAAAAAGTCAATGTTGGTTTGTTGTTTCAGCCGCACTCTGCAATATTCCAGCCATATGACATTGGCTGTAAATAATCAAGTCTGGACCAGACAATCCAATGGCTGACATCATGAGCATCAAACCATGCAGTTGGGATACGATGACACGCATCAACCAAGTCAATGAGCCTGACCACCTGATCCCGTTAGTTTCCTCTTATGACAAGCATGGTCGCCATCTTTGGCAAGCATGGGTTGCTGAGTAAGGTTTTACACAGCTTTAAGAAATATTCCAGCAACATCACAGCTTCACACATAATACCCATGGGAGGAACTGAACAGTACAATTTTTTTCTCAACCATCTGTTAATTTCTACAGCATCACAAACACTCTCATTTACCAATTATTGCAACTATTTCTACTTATTGCATTCAAATTAAACAAAATGAATAAAGTGTGTGTGTGGAGTCAAAATGAACATTAATATATATCTTGTGCAACATCCATGTTCAGGGTGTGACATGGTCCTGTACGGTAAGCTCATATATCATGGCAACGTGTCTCCACAACAATCAGGGCTCTGGATGGAGGGGATGGTGTCATACAATGACAATGTGTATGAGTGCAGCCATGATTATCCAGGGTACTTATCATCTTCCTGAAGCAAGGGAGTGAACTGAAAGTCCAGTTTCCACCCTTGCCGATAAAGGCTGGATTTTCTGGGGTCAATCGAAGCACCACCGGTGGCTATGACGATGTGATGTCCCTTCTACGTTCCTCCTATTGACCATGTGTTCAGAAGAGGCATTTTAATTGGTTTTTGATTTCAACCTCATGAGCTGGATAAATTCTGCTGAGTTGGTTATAGGGAGATGGCGCTGGAGATTTGACATCCAAAATGAAGCCATGGCAGTGAATGGGTTTGGGGTATACAGTAAACTATGTTCATAATGAATATACTTATAACAACCTGACCGTTATAACAAACTGTTGTTATTGTCCTGGCCATTTGCTGTATAGTTTATCATATTAAATTGATGGATATTACGAACATGCTTCTTACGAAATAACGAATATAATGAACACGCTCATGACGAAATAATGGATATAGCGAACTCATTTTCGTGGTTCTCTTTGTACTCAACGACAATATTTATGTTTATAAAGAACTGTTAATCTCTGAGTTACTCACGCATCCCCAATCTGCCTATCAAAATATCTCTAGCCATGCGCGGCTGTTCCAAGCGTCAATGAACAATTGAAGGCAAGTGATTGGCTATATTCAGTCGTAGTGCCTAGTCCTCAAATTACACCATCAATTAACAATGTCTATAAGATGTGACGACTGCAGTGCACACATTCGTTATCTATCGAGTAATGTTATCTGGTCACGTGCCTTGATCCAAGATGTCTGACAGCCGAAATGCTGTATAGCGAACTATGGTTATAACAACAAACTAAAATTAGTGGTCCCTTTGAGATTGTTATAACCAAAGTTTACTGTATATTCTAATACAATGGAGACAATACCCTGGATCATCAAGGATGGTACAAGGGAAAATCAAAACAAAGCATGTATACTAACAATTGACTTCATAATAGACAGAACTCCTAGGAATAACACATAAAATACACTTCAATATTTGTAACAGTCAAAAGCTATTATACATACCTCACCTGTAGGCTTTGCATATGTTGAAATACCGTAGCATTTCTAATTAACAGGACTGGAAGAGGGATGAACATATTGGTAGAGATTTCTAGTGTTAAGAAGATTATTTCATGATCCTAGGACTTTTTCGCTTGTTTCACAGAATATACAAAATTATTTCAGATGTTGAGATAAAATAAATAAAATATTAACATCTTCAATACAAGCTCTTTTTTAAAAAGGATTTGTTGAATGCATTGTCAGTTGGGTGAAATCATGAAAAACTAAATGAAGTGGTGATGTTTAATCTCTATCCCTTGTCACATCTCTATCCATTTTCTCCTTACTGAAATAAGCCAACTGACTGAGAGTAATGTACAAATTGATGGTTTCAAATTTTATTTTGAAATAAATGAAACAATTAGAAAGAGATGCCTTACACACAAAGAAATACACTTTGCTCCTGGTCATGATATGATCCATCCTCGGCAGTCTAGGGTGTTATATCTATAACAGTCTATTGTCCAATCGCTTGAACCGTATTAAAAAACCACACTGTTCAAATAGCTGTGCAATCATGTTACACAAAGAGCGAATCCTGTGCTCAGTTACTGAAAGTGAGTGTGTGAGTATGGTTTTACGCCGCTTTTAGCAATATTCCAGCAATATCACGGCGAGGGACACCAGAAATGGGCTTCACACATTGTACCCATGTCGGGAATCGAACCCGGGTCTTCGGCGTGACGAGCGAACGCTTTAACGACTGGGCTACCCGACCGCCCCTGTTACTGATAAGAAACAATAGAAGCGGTGACATCACTTCTAGAATTGAGCTGTGATGAATGGATCCAGGGTATTTATCATAATAGAATGGAGATTTAATACCCTAGATAATCAAGGATGGATTCGATAACCAGAGGCAGTGTTCACATATCATATGGGATGTCACTGTAAGTAGAAATATCGACATAATTTCTTGACTACCAAAATGAGAAGATCAACAGGAAAGAAAATCTCTAAATAACATAATGACAAAAAAGTGAAAAAAAACCCCACATTTTACATCGTACCGATGATAGGACATCCGTTGGCACCAGAGTCCATGCCGATTGCTTTGATGACACAATTACAGATTGCGAGAAAGTCTGCGATTAATACAAGCCTTTCATCAACGTTTATCACACACTGGTCCACAAACCCAGTTATTACAGCAATACACACATATTATGACTGGAGATACCAGTATCAGGCGTGGAGGGCAGTATGGGACAACCTTACTTCTTGTATCATGTCCTTGTTAGAGGGGAGACATACCGGTACAAACAGACCCGGGTGAATTGTATCAATAGTACCAATACATAATATCGGTACACCATGTGTCATGAGCCATGAACATATAGGTACATATTCTCTAATTACTAAGTGTGGCTAATTAAACAAAAGAAGTAGAAAACAAAATTGGACGGGTTAATTTGGGGTTAATTTAACAAAAATTCCTTACTGGAAAATACTTCATAAATAAAAACATTTAACATTGCATTTTATAAAATTACAAGAGTTCATTTTAATTTTCTTTATTAATTTTCAGAGGCTTGTCCACAGAATAAGAAAATCAATTGGTACAGCTTAATTTTGAGGGAGGGACCCCATAGAAGATACTTTATAAGTATACTATTCAGCATTTGCTAAGGACCACACCTTTGAAATGATGACTATTTTGGTCCTTAGCAAATGTTGAGTGGTATAGCACAAGGCATTACATATACCCTCACAAAGTCAAATTCTCTGAACTTAGGCCTCCTCAACATCATGAGTAGAGGTGGTTTGACTGTATCTTTTGTGATACATGCTAAAACAAGAGCACAAACATTGTTCTTTTAAGTACTTGGGCAGTGATGTAGTGTCACACCTCTGTCGGCGCTGCCCCCTTGTGATGATTGAGCTAGGAATCCCATCCAGGGGAATCTGTATGTACAGCCGTATACCGGTTGGGTAATGGATTTCTCACAAATCTATCGTGGTCTGCAATTGTTTTAATAATAACGAAGACCTCTGCCTCTTATGCCTTGTTCTTGACTAAATCTATTTCAGCAGTTAGACGTATTTCATCGAACGAATAATCCCTCAAAAGTCTTCCATTTTCAAACACTGTCACGAGCAGGTCCTGAAATAACAAGTGAATCAGTCAGTCAATATGTGAGTGTGTGAATGTGTGAGTGTGTGACCTAGGTGTCGAACAATATTCACAGAAACACACTGTATCAGACTTGTAGAACCCAGAAATGCTGACTGGTTGTTTTGACGCTGTGTGCGTGCGTGTGTGCGTGCGTGCGTGCGTGCGTGCGTGTGAGAGGTGCGTGAGGTGAGGAAGAATTGTGTGTGTGAAAGGGGGAGAGAATTGTGTCAGTGTATAACGGGTGTGTGTGTGTCTGTGTGAGGTGTGTCTGTGCGGTGGAAGGGGGTATAGAGTGTGTGTGTTGGGGGTCGGGAGGTTGGTGGAGGGGATGCAATGAATGGGGTGGCCCAGTCCATGACACGCTGACGAACCCTGTGTGTGAGTCTCACCTTGCTAGGATCTCCCTTCCCTTCTGTCACTGTGACATACTGCCCATCTTGCATCTCCAGTGTCAGCCGGCCTTTCTTGCTCTTCTTGCCCGGGTCTGTGATTGGATCCTTGAACACATTCACCTGAGACAAACACCCAAAACAGCATAAGTATCCTCCACACTTCTGTCACGTTATTAGCAGCTGCTGATCTGGTTCAGTTTTTAGTCAAGGTAAAATAACGTTTCACTCGGAACAAATTGCAACAGAATTTATTTCAGCATAATGCATTTCTACAAGGTCCCAAGAACAACATACTAAAAGTCCCAAGCAATCTCAGCAAAAGACCTGGGTTACAGGGTCATACTAAAAAATTCTGGTTAATGCTCTGTAAAAGGAAGCAGATACCCCAAAATGCTACACTAAAGGGCACAATCTGAGCAACTATGTAGCTACACTAGGCATCCCGGTTCTCATTCCCAGTGATAAATGAAAAAGGAAAGTGAAAAGACATACTTTGGTCATACATTAATAACTTATTAGCTAGGTTAAAAGCACACTTCTGTGTTTCCTATTGATAACTACAGAGCTATGCAGAAAGGCACTTCTAGGTAACCCAGTAATAACTTCTTTCCCACTGATAAGTGAACAACTGTACCATTTGAATGGCAAAACGTAACATTGGATCTGCATATTGACAATTAAGAGATAGTTCAATCTCATTAAAATCAGATCTTAGTTCTCGCTTTCGCTAAACAATGATCTGAGAACATCCCATTACAGGTTACGTCAGAACGACCCTTCATCCGACCAATCAAAGTGTCGCTTACCAGATCATTGAAGTGACAGTCGGAATACGTTTTCTAATCATGCAACCTCGAAAATTCCGTACGACAGTTACGGCCCCTACGACTGATTCCGTCAAATGTCTCTCGCTTCTGTGGGATAAATGATTGGAACGGAGGAGGCGTTGCACAGTACGTGAGAAGCACTGCCATACAATCGCAACCTTATATTAGACATTCCGGATTGTTCGTTTGTTCAGTTTTCAAAATTTTAATCGAGAACTGTGTCAACATATTCTTCTGGGAAGTCTAAAAACGAGTGCCGTAAAGCATGAGAAAGCTGCTTTTTCATTGGCTGATGTCGAATTCTTGTTATTCGTTTGGGTGGTCTGTCAAAGTTCGTAAAAAGTCGTTCTGACGTGACCCACAATGGGATGTCCTCAGATCTTTGTTTAGCGGCAGCGAGAACTCAGATCTGATTTTAATGTGATTGGAGATAGTTCTGTGCAAATACTAGATATCAACATAGCTACATTTAAAGGTACACTTCTGTGTATTTTAGTTCTCACCTCTTTTCCGTTGATAACCGAATAGCTACACTTAAAGGCACACTTCTGTGTATCTCTGTCCAATCTTTGTAACAGCGCCCCTCCACTGCCGAATGTGAGATTGTCCGAACTCCACTTGTGTTTGCGCATGTTGATCAAGATGACATCAAGCTTCTCGTAGCTGATGCCATCTCCCTGTATTACCCGGAGGTACGGAGGAAGCATCTTGTAGCCTTTACTGTTCTCAGTGGTACCAAACTTCTTTCCTAGGCTCTCCAACACCTGAATGAACACAACGTCGACCAGTGTGTCAAAGAGGAGGTGACTTGGGAAAATGTGTTTCCTAGCAAGTCTGAGTCTTTGTAACTATAAATCGCACAATTCTTGAAGAAGTATATGGCCAAAGCAAAATGATTATTTTACATAATAAGTATGTTTTAAATCAAACTGTTACATTAATTTCACCCAAACAAATAAACAGTAGCATCACAAGTAATGTTCTTCCAACAACTGAATCTCACCTTGACTACAATTTCTGGGGGATCGCCCGAGTCTGGCCTGACGACCAGCACACCGCCATTCTTCCCCCGCTCGATGATCACATCCTTGAGGTCCTCGCCCCACACTTTTTCACAGGCATTAAAAATGTCGTAACTGTCACTCACACAGGCCATTGCGCCTTTAGGGAACTTAGTCAACATGTTCTTGAAAGCTTCGAACTCGCCGTCTCTGCCCCATGTGGTGATTGTGCTGAGAAGGAAAAGTCACAGTGAGTGGGTGGGTTCTTTTGTTTGTGTGAGCACATTGGGTCGTCACTATGTGTGGCCTGGCTGATTGTGTGTCACTGTGCCCTGACAGCAATGACTCATACCATCAACCACCAGTTTGCCTGGCCCACACTTGAATATTTAACACATTGGGATGTATCATGGATATTTCCCTGAAGCGGTACTAGGGCTGGGACGGGTAACTTGGGTAACTCGGTAACTCGGGAACTTGAGTACTCGGGTACTCGGGTCGGTTGGGTACTGAGAAGGACCCGGGTACCCACAGGACTACCCGGACCTGTGCTTAGTCACATGATTCATTGTTTAATGACAAAAATGATCTAGAACTATATGGTTACACTACAAGTCACTAATGTTCGCATTGCTGTCTTACTATGCACCTATTCCTTCTGACTATTATATGTTTTATTAAAGATGAAACTTCTGTCAACTTCAGTGTATGCATGACCAGATTGTTTTATATGTGTATCTTAATACATTTTGTCCAGGGTGCCGTTGTACACAGCGAGCTTAGCGCTAGGGTGATCGTAACTCCCATACTTTAACATAGACTTACGACAGTCGTAGTGCTACGGTTGTTTTGTACAACAGCACCCTGGGCTACGGTCATTCCAGTCCCTATCGGACATTTTGTACCTATCTCTTGAGACCTACAGTGGGTACCCGGGTAGGGTCGGGTAATAGCGGGGTGGGTACACGGGTAGTAAATTTGGACTTGTCCCAGCCCTACACTGTACCTATTTACAGCCAGTGTCACTACAGGTTTTCCTCCCACAGTAATAACCGACACACCATCATATAACAAACGTATCCGATTCAGTGTTATCGTACTTCAACACAGTAGATCATTGCTCATAATATCAACCACTGGGTCATCTAGTCCAGGCTCCATTATTTACAGGCCACCATTACATAGCTGGAATATTGCTGAGTATGGCAGTACAACAACCATGAACAATCACAAAGGCTTCTACTTGGCTAATCAGAGTCACAATAACCTCTGGCATGTCCAAACTCACCTGTGCTCTGCTGCGGGGATGGAGAAGCCAGCGACGTTGCAGCCATAGTACTTTCTTGCAGTCATTATACCAGCGATGGTGTCTGTTCCTTGAAAGTTGACCAAGTGGGCACACCCACCTATACCAGCTGACTGAAGAACATCCACACACAATCATATTACAAAGCTCAAACTGCTTAACAAACATTTCACATTCTTAATAATTTGATCTATTTCAAAACGTGGAATGGCACTGAATATGCCCTATTTTTTTATGAAACTTATTTTCGTCTACTTGGTCTTATCAAAGAGACTCCAAATCTTAAAAAAAATAATTTTTTCACAAGTCATTTTTAAGCAAGGCATAAGTATTGAAACAAAATATGGAAAATACTTCTTATGATCAAATTGTATATGGTATATATAATTTTTTCTGGCTCGATATTTTTGTGTCTTTGCATCAAGTAACAGCTGTTGCATCACACAAGAATGACATTACAAACACAAGTGTCTTATAGGTGCTCAAAATGTTCCTTTAAATAGGGACTAAGCTAATCATACTGGCAGTCCTAGCACACTTCATTCAAGTTGTTCAAACACCATATTGCCTGATAACTTTCATTAAACGTTTGTTGTTTAACACAACACTCACCTATATTCCCGCTCATGACAGCTTGTATATAACTGAGTCTGGACCAGAGTGAGTGAGTGAGTGAGTGAGTGAGTGAGTGAGTGAGTGAGTGAGTGAGTGAGTTTGGTTTTACGCCGCTTTTAGCAATATTCCAGCAATATCACGGCGGGGGACACCAGAAATGGGCTTCACACATTGTACCCATGTCGGGATTCGAACCCGGGTCTTCGGCGTGATGAGCGAACGCTTTAACCACTAGGCTACCCGACCGCCCCGAGTCTGGACCAGACAAACCAGTGATTAATATTATGAGCATTGATCCATGCAGTCGGGGTATAAGGACATGAAATGAACTATGTCACCGAGCCCAACAAACCAATCCATAAAGGCTTTGCTCACAACCAGCAGATGTTGCTGGAGGCCCATTATCCACACATACACAGGTACATTTTATGATATATATTGATCTTACAGTTGATGATTACAGAAATCACACTGAGACATTAGAGACATTAATTATCACACAGGCAAGGTACCGTATTTTCCCCATTAAAAGCCTGTACGTATATTTTTTTCACTCTTTACCCCGTGGTATCATCAAGGCCTGGTGTACATATAATTTCAATTTGTGACTTATTATTCTCTCCAAATCATCTTCGGTACCATAGCTTAAAAGTTTCACAAAACGCTTCTGCTTAGCGGGAACAATGTGTTGTACACCCTCAGTAGATCGATCATTGTGCAAAAATAATAACAGGACTTACTTTTTAAGATAAAGTTGACAAGACATTATTTTTGTGTTTAAACTAAAATAATTTTGATATCCTGATTAAAATGTACATCTTCAAATCTCACAGTCTCACATGAAAGTACCGCTTGGTCTCGCCTGGCAGTGATCACTCTTCAATTAGGCCCCAGGCCCGTCCCTTAGTATACAGTCTCTCCCCTACCCAAGTGTATGAGTGAGGCCCGGAGTCCTCAAGGACTGTACATGCTAGGGCTACCTGGGTACCTTGGTACCCGACCCCCTACTACCCGACCCGACCCGACCCCCTATTACCCGACCCTACCCGGGTACCCACTGCAAGTCTCAAGAGTAGGGAACAAAATGTCTGATTGGTAATTGTTTTACCGAATCCGTGTCTAAAACTATTGAGATACATGTATCAAACAATCAGATCATGCGTTCACTGAAGTCGACTGAAGTTTTATCTTTACTCAAACATTTACAAGTCAAATAGAATGTGTGCATCTTCAGAAAGAAATACGAACATTAGCAACACTGAGCTATAGTAAGTTTTTGTCATTAAACAATATATCACGTGACTAACCACGGGTCCGGGTAGTCCTGTGGGTACCCGGGTCCTACTCAGGACCCACAAGACCCGAGTACCCGAGTTACCGTCCCAGCCCTAGTACATGCTGCTACGTCTAGGCCTAGATTGACGATAGGTGACAGTAAAGAACAGTCCTTCTATAAACATACCTCTACTGAAGTGGAACCTCTAAATCCAAAGTCGTGAAGTTTGAATGGTAGTCCATCCAGATCATCTGCAGTTTCATCCAGATACCGGGCGATGATTTCCTTCTGGTACCTGGAGTTGGTGGCGACTGTCATGGGGTACCACACCTGTACCAGCAGGGTCTGAACAAAGGCACCAGTAACCATAGAAACATCTCATGTTTTCATATTTCTCACAGATTGTATATTAAATGATGTAGTATAAAAATGTTATTTCAGAATTCAACTAATTTTGTTTCAATATGATCCTCTTTACAGCTGGCAATCATAACTTTAAGATTACTTTCATTAAACTAATTCAGCAAAACATAAATAAAGGTTGCCTAAAATTACATTCACCTCTAAAAAGAATACATATACTACTCAAAAGAAGTTAAAGAACACCCAATGGTTTCACAAAGCTACAGTTACTCTGTCATGACAGATTAACTACATGTATAGCCATATGAAAATAAATGAGTGTTTTGATTTCTTTTGAGTAGCATACCAACATGAGTGGTCAGATATCCTCACCTCAAAGTAGTTTGTCAACCAAAAGCATTTTGGATCTGTATTTTCGACAACAAATAAAACGTTCTTGTATGGCACAACTGTGCCTTCTGGGACGGCTCTGATTCGCAAAGGGAGATAACCCCCATGTTTCTGAAAAAAAAACATCACTATGTCAAACATATTAATTTAGAAATCCAGGCCATCTAAATAAGGATAAAGATCATAAAAGATCACTAGATACTGTGAGAAATAAAGAGGACAAAATTTGATTTCATGAAAAATTCTGTAAATAAACTGTAAATACTCTGCACGCTACTTTGTCATACACTCACAGATTAACACATTCAGAACATCATGAAAAGCATATACCTCGTTAAACAGTGCTCATTTCAGGAACAGGAAAAGTGGGACCCAATGAACCCTACCTTTCTAAGAATTGGGGACATTTGATGAAAACAGGGGACATACAAACATTTTGAAATAAAGACAAAATACAAAGAGAATGTTACCATTTGTACTGTCCATCAGGAATGAAACTTGTCAGTGTCACTTTATATCACTGTTATATATTCACATCATGTGACATGTTCACTTTTCACATTGTATTTATTCACTTTTTAAAGACAGTTTATTCTTCCAGTCAGAGTTAAAGAATTACTCATTCTTCAGTTCTTTCAATGGTCATGTTCAAGAAAACAATTGTAAACACAACACAGTATATCAGTTGCACTTTCTCAGAAACATTTAACTTCAAAACCAATGAACATCAATCATAAATTAATTCATAATTTGTCATTATAAGCACAACAGATGAATAGATTAACTCTTGATAATGTTATAAATATCTTACAAGACAGTTCATGATGCATCTGAGTATAAGCAGAAAGTGTACCGGTAATCAGGGTTCAACAAATATATATATACATTTTTTTAAGTAGTCATTGGAACAGCACCGACAGAAAATCTTCTGGATGCCAGTAAATGCCTGTTGTTTCATTCTGTTAAAGCCAAAAGGTATTCCGCTAACCTGTTAGGCATCTTTGGTTCTAAAATGAGTCGTCTCAGTAAATGTTTACTGGCATTTGTCCAGTAGACCAGCTGATATTGAACAATCTTGCAACAGCCGGTGACATGGGTGATGTGAAACAGGGTAGAATATCACGTTCAAAATTTGTGCACTTATATAGTGACGAGCGTGCATGTGTGTGTGTGTGTGGCTGCTTGTCGTAGTCCAGACTAATGCTGGTTTTATAGTGCCAGCCCACTGAGATAGTATGCTGCAGTTTAACATGGATACTTCACTCAGACACCGTCTCTGTCAGTGTTCGAAATAAGCACCTGCTCTTAGGCCCATGGCATGTGGCATGTCGGACCCCTAGCTTCAACCTTGTATGGGTCCAGCAGCTTCTAAAGTCGGTGGGTCCTGATGGCAGCCTGGCATCTTTTTTTTATTTCAAACACTGGTCTCTATGACAACCAGTCCTTGTTCTATACCCTTAATACCGAGTGACAGGCAGGGTAACAACAAGTGTATCTCTCAACATCTTTTGGTATAACAGGGCCAGGGGTTCGAACCACTGATATGACCTTCCGGGCAGACACCCTATCTACTGGACCACAGAGGCAGTTCATGAACAGTCAAGGACATACCTCCAGAATGTAATTCCATCCATCTTCATTGAAGTTGTCTCTACCAAAGTGAAGATTATACAGCTCTTTCGCCTCTTGAATTTTTTCTCTAGTGATCACTGGTCCTATAAGCCACCTCTTGATGATGTATTGCAGACCGAAGAAGACTGTGGTAGGAAACTTGCCCCCTCTGCTCTCGAAGTAGGAACACACTGTAGTTGTCTTGGGGGGATATTGCATATGGTGGGTCACCTGCAGTAAGGACAATAAGTGAGGGAATATATACTGACCAGTATGTCACGTATATCATGGCAGGTCAGCTTAAAGTGGGAGGGGGGTTACAGGTGACCCAGTCGTCTAAGGTGCCGTGATTCGCTGTGCAGAGTTGCGTCCCTTGGGCACACCAGAAACCTATGATTGTGGGTTCGAATCAAAGTTCGCCCCATTTATGTTTCTAGGTTTGTCAGCATCATACCCGAGCTCGTGGGTTTCACCGAAGTGGTAAACGTCTGAGACATGTATCACTTTCGGCTTTCCTCCCACTTTAAGCTGACACGCCGTGATATAACTGGAATAATGTTAAAAACGGTGTTAAACCCAACTCACTCATTCACTCACTAATGTGGGAGGAAAGCAAATGATATGAATTGTTTACCACTTTGGTGTAGTAATTGAAAAAGGAGTCCAACGTAAGTCTAGAATGATTTGGCAAGTCTAGATTGACTCAGCTGAAATAAGGATTGTTCCGGATTCTTTATTTTGTATTTTGTATAAGGTATATATACTTAAAGATAAAACAACTTTATTTTGGGGACTAAATGTCAGTCCACACTTGGGTGTGGCATCCCAGGGATCATAATCAGAGCGAATCGGGGATTCAAATCTGCGACTAGCATTTCTGGGTACAACTAAGGTATGCAACTCTGCATAGTAACAATGACAATCTAATGACATTGAAACTGTAGTGACAATTGATTATACCATTTGTGGACAGAATACTAACATAATACTGTCCCATAACTTAAATCAAGAATTTGAAGCATTTTACATTTTTGTCAAATATCTATATAAATGTTGATAGACACAGTTCTCTATGTTTTCTTAATGGCATGGGTTCTGAATACTTTATGTGCTAATGACAGAAATCAATCTAAACCCCTGATCATGGTCGTACCTTGACATAAAAATAGGGGACCCCAGATAATTAATTTTAAGGGTTCTTACAGGAAATATGAGGGTCCTGTAAAGCAATGAAATCTTGAAGTGTACTGTAAGATTGGATAATTATTCTAATTGCAAGATCTTTATAATTCTTGTTAAGAATTTGGTACAAAGAATATTATTGTGCAATATTTGGTCTACGTCCATTCTATCCATGTGTGTGTACTGGACAAACATTTCTGTGTCATACAAAACACGGACTTATTACATAAAAAAATATCAGAACCAATCTTGACATACTTCACTGAACCCAAGAGGTCAAAAATGCAAACTTATATATATGTCCAGATGCACCAAGTGCAAGTCCAGAAAATTCAAATTTATGTCTGACTTAGCCTTAGGACCTACTTGTCGACCCATCATCAATCTTTGAACACACTCTACATCTCTAGGATTTATTTACCATACCATATCACTCACCCCTGTGTTATGTGTAATTCATATCACATGACAGTCATCAGAGATCTGAGATAGGCAGTTTGTGTTTCAACCTTGATAAATTTATGGGACCAGGGTGCAGCCCAAACTGGTTTACACTTTGCACCTTGGGCAGGTTAAACATGTTAAATTAAGTTCCTTCGCTCCCAGGACCATGTTACTAATAATAATAACAAAAACTTCTGCGAGTTTGTTTATTATTATTAGTAGTAGTCATGGGCTTCTATTCAGCCCTGACACATATCTACGAGACTAACATCTAGTCTCTGAAATGAACATATCTTATTAAAAAACAGTTGTTAAATTATATTAATAAAATATAATGAAAAGGAGCCCAGAGACACTCTACTGCAGTAATCTAGACTTGCCAAGCATGATTGACTTGCATGGGCTGTATTGGATATATTTGTATCAGGGTCTGTAAGACAGACTACATATCTACTTCAAGGCTCCATAACACCCACATTAAGTTACAACAAGCAATGTCAACATCCATAATGTGTACATGTATAGACATCAAATGGAAGGTACATTTCAGATCAGTGCAGTGCTTTGAATTTGTAGGCCTATTAATAGGCTAATTGATTATAGGCCTATTTACACACATCTTCGAGTGTCTAAAAATACCAAAACTCTTGTCAGTTTTCTGTGTATGGCCCACCCAACTGCTTACGACGTGCACTCAAATCATAAGATAACATTTATTCAAAAACAATTGAACGCATTAACAGTGCAACTATAGAACACATAGACAGAATGACTGACAACCCCCGTCCTACATTCACTTTAGCACGAACGCTTAGCAGGTGCGCGAATGCACCAAAACGAAAGTTAAAAATGCATTCTCCCAAAGTAACGAATGTCTGTTATCAAGTGTGCATATACTAAAGTTATTGTGTTTATATTATCACATCCTGGAAGTTTGACAAGTTTCAAATAACGGTTTACCTTGTAAGAATCGGTGACAAGGAGAATGTTTTCCGTTCCGGCCGCTTGATATGTCGCCATCTTGAACGCTTTGGCAGGTGACGTCATAGCAACCTGGAAAGTGGGCGGGGCGTCGTGTCAATTTGTAGACTGGATTTCTCCTATGCGGAACGCTACACTAACATGGTGTTTAGAGACAGAAACTAGTCCTTTATCAACGCTGAACCAGCCATCACTGTCTCTGTCGCTTGCTGTGAGCGGCTACGGCGCCGTGTGGCCGGTTATATAGTTATCAGTAGTCAGCAACTTATTTTATCTTGTACAGTCACACACACACACACAGCCAATCGCTGATACTGGAAAGAAAATTGCGAAATATACCATTTCAACATGTCCAAACAACCACAAAATCGACAACCAGAATTAGCGCACAGTGATATCTATATTTATCTTTTCAAATGAGTTAGTGAGTGGGTGATTATTGCTAAACGCTGCAACTGCACTTTTCAAATGAACAATTTAGAATAAACATTATATATATATATATATATATATATATATATATATATATATATATATATATATATATATATATGTATGTATGTAACAGAAATATGAATACAGGGCGTGAATCTGTGTGACGCAACATGATATATTATCAGCTTATAATTCGATCCTATACGATGCATACACAAAGCCCCGTTTAGCGACCTACTAAACTGGAGTTTAACGCCTCGATCTCGCTTTAGTATTTCACTGTGTAGTGCTAGCCACTGAGATACCATGCCGCAGACACAGTATATATACGGACTCCGAGCCGACCAGTCCTTGTTTTATTCCCGTATGCCGAGCGCCAGGCAGGGGTAACACATACCATCTTTTAACGTGTTTTGGTATGAAGCGAACGGCAATCGAACCACCCAACCTGACGCACTCCACAGTAACTCGTAACTCAAAAGATATCAGCAAGATACATCACTCCCGGATCATAGTACTATATAATAGGATACTATTATGACCCAAATAGTGACTCTACTGACCATGTGTACATCTTGCTGCCAATGTTGGCGTTATATGTGTCGGCGTTACATGTGCACTCTCCGGGAAGACGCTCTTTCCCCTGGGCCCATTTGCACAAAGCGATCATAGCTCTACAGCTATTGTAAGCCCATGTTAAAGTATGGGAGTTACGATCATCTTAGTGCGACCGACTAGAAACAGGAAACTGAACATTCTACGACAGAAGCATGCATTTATCGCATGAAAGAATGGAATCAAATGTAAAAATACATATTATCCCACAGATGAAGTACCCAATTATACTTGGTAACTGATTGACTGACCATAGACCATGCAATTAACCGGCAAGTTCGTCTAGGGAATAATCGATCGATCAATCAGTTAGCTCGTTAAGGACTATACACAACACGAAGAGAATCAATTTGTGCAGGACTAGACATAATCTGAGTAACCGGTTCATTTGTGTATGGTGTGTGTGGAAATATATTAGAAATATATTACACATTATATATATATATTCTTCAAAAAAGAAACGCACAGGTAGATTTTTGCGCCGAACCCAGCAATCACGGCTCTGCATCTCCTCGGCACTGACTGGATAAGTGTAGGAATTCTGTCCTGCGGAATTCTGCGCCATTCTGCTTGTTCATCCCAGAGGTGTTTGATTGGGTGGAGATGTTGGTATTATGAAAGGTAATCTACCGTGACACGAACTGTGTGCGGTGGAACGTTGTCCTGTTGAAACAGATTCCTCTGGCGGTCAATGATTGGAAGAAAGTGAGGTTGAAGAATTTGATGTAGAAATTTCATGTCAAATTTCCCTCCATCTCGTGGTGTAGGATATCCCCATCCCCGCTCTCACACCATGACACTACCGCCACCGAAATTGTCGAATTCACGGCCACAATGTTGGGCCAAACGCTCATTTCGACGACGATAAACACGTTGTCTTCCAGCTCGCTGGTGAAGAAGAAATCGTTATTCATCGCTAAGTCACACTCGTCTCCAGTTTCTCAAATTCCAAGGCTTGTAAGGTATGACACCAACGCAAGCGTCGCTGTCGATGCAAGACAGATCTGTTGCAAGACAGATCCACCCTCCTCTTTAGATACGTCCTATGGCGATGTTCCGATCGGCAGCGCCGAGTCTCGGCATTTTCGAACTTGAAAAATGTTGACAATTGAATGACAAATTATTGGTTTATGCTTGCCTTTTTATAGCCACTACCACGAGTTACGAATGCCATAACGTGCACGTGCACTTTGCTTTACTGTTTTCCCCCATGACATTTTTAACAAGTGTGAATACAACACCGTTTAAAACATTGCAAATCGTCAATGGCTGCGTTTTGACGCACCGTTTGTCGAATATCAGGCCACCAACATTTTCCAATTTACATACCGGATTTTTTGTGTCGCCAGGTTCAATGAACTACATACTACCTGTGCGTTTCTTTTTTGAATAGTGTATATATATAGGGTGTGTGTGGCAGGGATGGTCAGGGGTGGGGGTGGATGTATGACAGTTTGTATTTGAAACGTACTAGTTGAAAGGTTGACAAGTGTTCAGCTTCCCTAATTATTTGAAGAAACTGCATGGTTTTGGTGAATTTATTGGAAATATTATGGCCATACATAAAATGTTGGAAAATTTGTTATATCTTTTTTTTTAAATGTCACGTGCATGTGCGTCACTCCTTTAAAGTCGCGTCCTTCCCTGCCCTGCCCTGCCCTGCAATACTCTACCACAGCTAGAAGGCAGTATTAAAAGTGAAAACTTGGGCTGTGAGAAGTTACACAAACCGGTACGAAAAAGACAGAAGGGTGTTATCTTTTAAAAGAAGAAATTGATTAGAAGTCGATACATCGATATGGATTCAAATATGCTCACATCAAATTTCAATTTTATCATGCACTGTTTACAGGTTGAAACATAATTTGGTGAATTTTTGGACTCGCTTATAGATGGTAGCATTGAAAATATCCTGGATATTTCGTGCAAGGTTACTTTTGTTGGTGGAATAAATGAAAAAAAATGTTAACAGAATTACTGACCATACCAGTAGTTTATTGGAGCCTGTTATTATAAAGGAAGATATGAACGTCCTCGATAGTGGTGTGATTGATTTTGATGGTAGAATTAGCGATCATAGGGGAACTTACATTTATGTACGAACAAAATAAGTATATAAAAGAGAAATGTCACCCTTTAACAACGGAGACTGTGATAAACTAAATTCGCTCATTGAAAACACCAGCTATTAATTTTATAATCAAAATTCCTCCTGAGAATTTTGATTTCTCTAACCCAGTGAGTGAGTGAGTGAGTTAGGTTTAACGCCGCTTTTAACAGTATTCCAGTTATATCGCGGCGTGTCAGCTTAATGTTGGAGGAAAGTCCGAAGTGATGCAGGTCTCAGACGGGTATAGTGCTGACAAACCTAGAAACATAATCGGGGCGAACCGGGATTCGAACCCACAATCAAGGGACGCAACTCTGCACAGCGAATCGCGGCGCCTGGGACGACTGGGCCACCCGTGCCCCCTCTCTAACGCAGAGGGATGGACAAGATGGATCCTTTGATTCGAGCGGTATCGCATATAAAACACCAAGAAACCCATGTAAATCAGCCCATATACCTTATGGGAGCAGAAGCAAGCTGATGACATTTTGCCGACTTTCATGCTCTACGAAGAGGAACAGAAGAGCTATACTATTGTCAAAGCTAAGTTTGATCAGTACTTTTCCGTTCGTCGAAATGTCATATTTGAGCGAGCTAAATTTAACGGTGAACCAGTTGACAGCTTCATCACGGATCTCTATTCTCTTGCAGAAAACTGCAGCTATGATGCACTTCATGATGAGATGATTCAAGACAGAATTGTTGGAATCTGTGACCTCAATTATCAGAAAAACTTCAGCATGACTCTGAACATTACAGAAAGCTGTCACAAGTGCCAGACAATCCGAAATTATCCACAAGCAGCAACCTGTGATTCGAGGCAGTGTGTCTTTCGAGTACAGCAAGACCGCCTCCGTGGTCTAGTGGTAGAGCGTCCGCCCGGAGAGCGGAAGGTCCGGGGTTCGATCCCCGACCGCGTCATACCAAAAGACGTTAAAAGATGGTACATGTTGTTACCCTGTCTGTCGCTCGGCATTAAAGGGCTAAAACAAGGACTGGTCGGCTCGGAGTCAGTATACTGTGTCTGAGTGGGGTATCCATGTTAAACTGCGGCATGGTATCTCAGTGTGCTAGCACTATAAATCGGCATCAGTCCGGACTAGTACAAGCAGCCACACACACACATACACGTGCATGCACGTCGCTATATAAGCGCAATAATCTTGGACGCGACGTTAAACCCAATTTCACCTCACCTCGAGTACAGCAAGTGGAAATTCGAGAGTTGAAGAACTTGTGTCACCTAAAGGTAAAGGCAACAAACCTCGTGGCAAGAGTAAGCCCAAGACTTCACCTCGTCAATTTGTTAACAATGCAAAGCCTAAACCCACATGTTCATACTGTGGTAGAGATTCAGAATGTCCTGCAACCAGATCAACCTCTCGTAAAGTTGAACCCTGGGTGCAGTGTGCAGGAGTTAAACATAACAGTGGGGTCTATCTGAGATTCATCTTGAACGAGGGCCTAACAGTGAGTGTACCAACGAATATGCGCTCCTTGGATCCGTTAGTGCTGATAGCGCATGCTCCCATCAATCACAGCTTTGGCTTGTAAATCTTGAGGTCGACTCATGACTAGTTCGTGACTTTAAAGGGGCACTGATCTAACACAATTCCCCGGGACTGGTTGTTGCCTTTGTTATTGACACTGGTGCTGACGTCACCGTCATTCCCTATGACCTTTATGTGTCGATGCCTTTTCCAAAACTACAGCAAAGTGGTAGGAGACTAGGGTCCAGCTAACTCAAGTTTGTATGTTGTTGGAAAATTCAGAGCAAAACTTAAAACTGTGTACGGTGATGTTGTGACAGAGCAGGACATAAACGTCGCACGAGGTCTTACTCGTTCTCTGCTGGGTAGACCTGCAATTCAAGCTCTCAACCTTGTCAGCCGCATTGATAGTGTTGTGGGGAACAAGTGGAAAGACGTGTTTCCTGAACTGTTCACTGGGCTAGGAAAGATGGAAGGTGAATATTCTATCAAGCTCAAAAAGGATGCTTAGCCTTTCTCTATCTCAACACCCAGATGTTTGCCTCTACCTCTCATGAAGAAAGTGAAATAGGAGCTCCAATCAATGGAAAGCAGTGGTGTCATATATAAGGTGGACTGTCCTAGCGACTGGTGTGTTGGTATGGTGGTCGTCCCGAAATCTTCAGAGAAAATCAGAATGTGTGTTGATCTGACTAAATTGAACGAGTCTGTAAGGAGAGAATGTCACCCTCTTCCTGCTGTGGATCACACACTAGGTCAGTTGTGTGGAGCTAAAGTGTTCACAAAACTAGACGCAAACTCTGGATTCCACCAGATTCCATTATCCACAGATTCCTCACTACTTACCTGTTTCGCCACACCCTTTTGGCCGGTATTGTTTTAACCGCCTACCTTTGGGCATCTTGTCAGCACCAGAACATTTTCATAAGAGAATACAACAGGTTCTGGAAGGTCTGGATGGGGTTGTGTGCCAGATGGACGATATCCTGATTCATGGTCATGATGAAAGCGAACATGATCGGCATGTAGCGGCAGCCTTGTGCAGATTGCGTGATGCAGGTATAACACTTAATCTGGAAAAGTGTCAGTTTTGATAGAATACAGTGAAATTCCTTGGACACATAATTGGCAGCAATGGTATTTATGCAGACTCAGACAAAATTCATGCAATTACCTGAATGAGCGAGCCACAGAGAGTCTCTGATATCTCGACATTTCTCAGATATGGTTAATCAGCTAGCAAAGTTTGTACCCAATCTTGCGTCTAAAACACAACCTCTTCGTGAACTCCTTGTCAAGGACAGAGCTTGGGCCTGGGAAGAACCACAGCGTTCTGTGTTTCAGTCTATCAAGGACCAACTGACATCTGCTCCAGTACTCGGACATTATGATCCAAATGCAGATACTTGTGTTGTCAGCTGATGCTTCCACATTCGGATCGGGGGCACTAATCTGTCAGAAAGACTGCAGTGGAGTATATAAAGCAGTAGCATACAGCTCTAGATCAGTGACGAACACAGAAAGGCGCTGGAAAAGGAGGCGTTGTCAATTAACTGGGCTGGTGAACGTTTTCGTGACTACCTGCTAAGTAAACAGTTTCACATAAACACTGACCACAAACCGCTTCTTTCTCTGTTGGGAAACAAGAGCTTGGACCAATTGCCACCTCGCATACACCGATTCAAGATGCACCTGCACTCTCTAGAGCTCCGACGGATATTCCACTCTCAAGCAAAGAGTCTTGTCTTTTGAGTCACACAAATATCTATGTTGATTCTGTTCTTGCTACATTACCTGCAACAGATCAACGACTGGATGAGATATGTCTCAAACTATGTCAAAACACGGTGTGTGAACTCATAATAAAATACTGTACTGATGGATGGCCAAAATACACATCTCTGCCGGACTGCACAAAACTACTGGCCATATCAAGGGGATCTCACTGTAGTAAATGAGCTACTCATGATGGGAGTAAGAATGGTAATTCAAGCTAGCATGAGAATTGAAATTCTTGACATATTGCATTCTTCTCACCAAGGCATTACTAAGTGCAGGGCTCAAGCAAACGAGTAAGTTTGGTGGCTAGGCACCAGCTCACAGATAGAACATGCAGTCAAGACTTGTCATACATGTGGGCGATTCCGACCTTACCCAATTGGACCTCTGAGATCTGCAGAAATTCCATCCCGCCCATGGAGAAAAGTGGGGAGAGACCTATTTGAACTGGATTCCATACCATACTTACTTGTAGTCGACAACTACTCGAGGTATATTGAGATAGCAAAACTTGTCAGTACTACCTCTGCAAGTGTGATAAACCATCTGAAAATCTATTTTCACAAGACATGGCATTCAGTACACTGTGATTTTCAACAACGGTCCACAGTACTTGTCCTATGTTTTTCAGAAATTTTCCGAGATCTATTGCTTCACTCATATCACAAGTAGCCCGAGGTACCCCCAAAGTAATGGTGAGGCAGAGAGAGCAGTTCAAACTGTGAAGCAACTTTTGAAGAAATCATCTGATCCTTACATGGCACTCCTCACATATAGGAGTACACCGTTACAGAATGGATTCAGCCCTTCTCAGCTCTTGATGGGACGCAACTTGCAGACAACTCTCCCGGTTCATACATCTCAACTTCAGGCTAATCAACCATCTTCATGGGAAGTGAAGGCATCGTTTACCAAAATCCAACAGCGTAAAAAATATGACTCGTCACAGATCAGGCATTCTTCCCCAGGTGAAGGAGGGAGATACGGTGCTTGTTAATGACGGTGGATTCATCAGAGAAGGTCAAATCCACAGGGAGGCTGAAACTCCAAGATCATTCTATATCATGGCAGGTGATAGCATTCTGCGCAGGAATCGTAGACACCTCACTCCTGTGTCAGAAAAGCAGCCAACAAACACAGACGCCAGGTCACAGCCCTTGAATGCCTCGTCTGGTGTGCCATCAAGTGTGCAGCTTGACATTCCACCTGATGTGACTCTAACCAGATCCGGAAGGGTTTCAGTTAAACGTGACAGACTTGATTTGTAGAAAAATGAACAGTAGTCAGTTAAGAAACATTATTGTTCCATGTTAGTAGTTTAAGTTAACAGTTCAGTAGATTTAAATCTACATTGTGTTTGTTTTCAGTAAAATACACTGAGGATCAAATGTAGGCTTACTCCAAAAAGGGAAAGTACATTATTATTTGTGATGTATAGTTTGACATCAACAGTTATTCTTTTATTACTAGCTTTTAATGTTGGGGAACTCAATTTGCTATTGTGCTTAACAAAGCGATATGTGGTATTAGCTTAACCCTAAATGGTCCCCATCCTAAAATGGGCCTCAGCCAAAGACAGGAGGGGCGATAACTCTCACGAGCATGCTGCTGGCTGCAAGCACATGGCATTAGGTACACTGTTGTACACTGCTACACTTACAGTGATTCAACACAGTTATAAACAAAGATATCTTTGTCATATCGTCACATTTTGCACCATGATATTGCTGGGATATGGCTAAAATGGGTTTCAACTCAAAACTCGCTCCCTCACTTCACTTTTGGTGAGGTGGTTGTTGTTGCTGATGGCGTTGGTGTGTAGATCGATGTAACCTACTAGTTGTGGGGTGATTGCTGCTGCTATGATGTTGGCGTTATGTACAGCAATGCCTGCTGCTGGCGGACAGACGGTGGCTGCTCTGTCCTGGCAGTATTTGGTGAGCGATGTCAGCTGCTGGTCGAATTTTGGATGCTGTTTCTGTGGTATGTACAGCAATGCTTGCTGATGGTTGGTTAAACTGTCATGATGTGTACAGCAATATCTGCTCATTGCATTATGGTGATTGCAGCTGCTGGCGATATTGAGAGGGTATCTGCTACTTGTGTTGTTTTGGTTGTTGCTGCTGTGGCGGCGATATTGAGAGGATATCTGCTACTTGTGTTGTTTTGGTTGTTGCTGCTGTGGTGGCGATATTGAGAGAGTAGCTGCTATTTGTGTTTATGTTGTTGCTGCTGTGGTGGCGATATTTAGAGGGTATCTGCTACTTGTGTTGTTTTGGTTGTTGCTGCTGTGGCGGCGATATTGAGAGAGTAGCTGCTATTTGTGTTTTGGTTGTTGCTGCTGTGGTGGCGATATTTAGAGGGTATCTGCTACTTGTGTTGTTTTGGTTGTTGCTGCTGTGGCGGCGATATTGTCACCTCAACATAGCTAAAACATTAACTACTGCAGCGTAAATCAACAGAAGACATGGATACATCTGAGCTCTGAAGGGGAGTGTGGACTGATTGTCCTACAATCTGTAAAAAAACCTGGATAACAATGGGATACCCAATATCACGACCTCAGAATTACAAAAGGAGCATATGCAACTCTGAACATCCACAGTGCATTCATTACAGTATTACCGATACCATTCTAAGTAAAACAGAGAAGTCCTGGGATTTTTGTTCTGAGAAGCAATGTTTTTTTTCGGTCATTGCTTAAAACATACAAGTTTGGTCTCTGAATGGAAGAGCCGAACATCTTGTTTTTTGACAGATCACCCAGTAGGTTCAATGAACAATCACATTTTGTGTGTTAATCCACCTGCCAAACCATATATGTCCAGTATTTTCTGGAACCCTCCCACCTAAAGTAAACTTTAAACAAACAAACAAAAAACAAAAAAACGTTCCCAAACAATATTTGTCCTGTATTTTCTTGAACACTTTCCCCCCCAAAACACTCCCAGTCCTCTCCCCTTCTACATCATCTTCCAATATCTATGAACATAATATTCTGTTTTAAAGATGGAATGAGCCGATGTTTTTGTAATGGAAAACGTATTAAACATAACAAACACCTTCATAAAGCATTCAATATAAATTTACTTCATTTTATAAATCACATAAACAGCACAAACTCTGGATATGAAAACCTGATCTTCAAAAATAAAATATATCTTAAAACATATAAGCAGCAGGTAACGACACACACTTCAATAAAACAAATAATCATATCACAGATCGATATCAATGCTGAGAGTTGTGTACACAAGAAAAAACAAAACATCCGATGGGGCATCTCAAAATGCCTTGTGTTGTTTCCTCTGTTCCAGACATCACAGGTGTTTGATCAAATATCTCTGCTAAATAATATGTATTCTTGTAAAATATGTGAACTGAAAACATCATGTAAATGTTTTCCAAAATCAACATTTAATCACAAGCCTACAGAAATGAACATGGTGTTTCTTACGATGCCCATACCTTTCTTTGACTAATTTCATAATACTTCAGCACTGGCATTTGTCTAGTTAAAGCTTAAAAAGAAACTAAGAGTTTATAGAAAATAAGATCAATGTACTTCACAACTAATGTAAAAAAATAATAAAGGATTATCTAAAATCAGATTAGCCAAAGTGAGACTCATATTATACTGGTAATTTATGCGAAAAAATACATTTGGTTTAAATTGGCTATAACTTAACATTGGATTGGATTCATAATTGAAATCTGCTTTTAGTTAGGTTGGTAATACAAAAATTAGTATGATAAGTCTGTAAATACAGAGAAAATAAGAGATCTTTTAGTGACTTGTAGCAATAAACCCCTGACATCTGTTGATGTTGATAAATACATCTTCTGCATAGAGTAATAGGTTTTGAGACCTACTGATACCCTGAACCTAAGTATTAATACTGGTGAAGTTAGTAAGTACTGAACAAACAATCACAGATACTGGGTGTGAAGAGACAATGGTCGGATAAATAACTAACAAAAACAATTAGCAAACAATATTCAACTCAAGAGTTAATGCTATAAATAATACAATAATTGTCTGGCCTGTATTGTACTATTTGCATTACCAGTAACCACGGTTACAGTGTGAAAATATTTTAATTGTTATTAGGTTCTCTCCTAGTAGAGAATGTCTCGCACATCATGGACAGCTGTCGCCAAATACAAATTTCAAATGTCTGTGAATATTCATATAGCAAACATAGATTCATTATTAATGCAGCTATTAAAAACTTATATTGACGTGTTTACAAAATTTAAATAGTGAATTGTTTATGGTATTAATTCATACATTTGAGTCATCAGTTATTGTGTCGGCATCTTCCCGCGGCAAAGGTGTTAACTGACTTTATAAGAAAGTCCAGTTTCCACACTGGACTGTCTTATAAAGTGAGTTAACACCTTTGCCGCGGGAAGATGTTGTTGTGGGGGCCATGACACCCATATCAATCATCTACTTTATCTGTAAATCTGTCACATCAGCATATAATTTGCCACAGAAATCATGAAAGAATATAATCATAAATATTTCTTTATATTGTTTGTAATCAGCATTGCATGGAGTATCATGTGATGTAATTAGTGAGTATTTGAACTGTTGTATAGTAACCATGGTAAAAGCGAGGGACTGGTTAATTACAATCTGTGCCTAAAACATCCGATCTACAAGCCTAAATTTTGGGATTATTTTCAGATTTTCATCTTAGCATATTAGATAGCCTAAGCTGGTCTTAGTAGACCAGAAAAAATATAATTAGACTCAGGCTTCGGGGCAGTGGTTGATGTTCCAGACTGGAATGAACAAACCTCCGAAAACAAATTGATCGCTACATAGCATAAACATTTAGGCGTCTTTGAGTATCACCTAAACTTGCAATACGAATCAGTATTATCATTAATTCTTTTGTATGGCTCAAAAGAGATTTGGTAACGAAACTGACAAATTAAATGTTCCTTGACATTTTGGCATGATAAATATCTCTGTATTTGAAAACCCGTTGTTTGAATAACAAGTTTTGTAAACAAGTTGGCAAGTGAAAAAACTAGAAGTTCTTACCCGGTTATTACATTGACTTACTGACTTTATGTAGTTAACGACAAAGGGCATTGTATGCATGGTAAAGTGGAATCAATCGTCAATACATCATGGGTACACACTACATCACCTGTGAATACATTGGGCTGATATGCAGTTTAGTGTTGACATGTGTATTTTCAGTCAGCCAATGAATGAGGCTGTGTATAACTGACAAGTCAAATGAGTCCTACTCCTTGCATGAACTTGTGCTAACCTGCCATTGCCTGATATGGAAGCAGTGTGCACAAATGATACCTCAAGGTTGTGACACGATATCATTGCCATTTGTGTGATGTAATATGGGCACGTATTGGTCTGAATACTCGCTGCTTTACGTCCTGCGGGAAGCAGGCCGTGTTTTGATTGGTTGATTTAGAAACAGCGACTACACTGCAGAGCAGCATATGTATCCACTAGTGATGGAGCAACGGAGTGTATGAATCAACTGCAGCACATTTCAAATACAAATGGCTACTTTGCATAGAAATTTCAATAATCAAATAAGATCTTGACATTGACTATATTCCATGTGAACCGTGTTATCAGCTGACCTGGTGAACTAAATATTCAATACTGATGACTCAGCAGTTATTTGCTGCACGATGCTGACACAAAATTTAACATTTAAAATGTTAGACATTTATCGGAATAATCTACTTCATGTTAAGATTTCCTGCAGGTGATATGGCAATAAAGATTTCTTATATCATCATTTAGACACACGCAGGGACCATTACTCACCTGTTGGTGTCAGTGCATCATTTCACAGTTAGTCTCAGACCCTGAATATACTTGGCACAGTCGTGTTTTCAACTTATGAAATTGTTTTAAAAAGCATGCTAAGTAACAGTCTGTCAACATTATAAACATCATTATAATAACACTCGCAACAGTCATTCTTAATTATAAAAATCTGAACTGTCACAATACACAGAATGCTTTGGCAGTTTCCAAAAGATATCTAAGTATGTATGCATGAAATTCATCACGTGAATGTCCACCTTTCAAGCCAATTCCAACACACACCTGACAACTATATGTACCAGTTGAATGATACATTGACAACAGGAGATTCTATTCACGTAAACATACCGAAACTGTCATCTATCATACCGTATAATGACATACCATTCCTGAAGTAAAGTAAAAAATTGTAGTAAAAGCAAAATTCTACATAAATATATTATTTGTGTGTAAATCAGTATATTTGGCACTTGTCACCCTTCACCACTAAACCTAGCATAGCAGGTTTTTTCAGGATTCTCAACTGACCTCGGATACCAGATGTTGATTTTGGCCTTGTTACACAAAACGATCTTAGTGCCAAGACTAGCATTACACTTATTCCTCAATATATACTTCTGAGTCTTAGAGTTTGACTGCTTTGTGCAACAAGGCCCAGACATGGCTAGCTTATAGAAGTTATCATAAGACCTCAATAATATACTGTTCACTGAAATTATGTACAAGCATTTGACAAGTGTGTTTTCCCTCAAATTGTTCTCAACGCTACAACTGCCATAACTCACATTCTTTAACAACAGCCTACGATAGTTGTAGCGCTCAATTGATTTGAAGAACTAGGTCAGGACACATGCCAAATATGGTATGCAGGCAGAACCTGTGATGAGCCTTCTATACCCAATCATCAATTCCGATTCAGCATAAGTCGTAAACCACATTAGCACTACGACTTACATAAGCCTATGTTAAGATATGGGAGTTACGATCATCTTAATGCTAAGATCACTTTGTGGAACAGGGTCGAGGGTTTCAAATACATCTTAATCCTATGATTTTCTCATTCTTTCAACAAAGACTAATCATAGCACTGTAATCATTTTCTGAAACGGTTAGTTTGATATAACGCTATCCGAAACCAAATTTACAGTGACGTGGGGAGCTGTCTACAGTTGGAAACAAATACCAACATGTGTAAAGTAATAAAATCAACTCTCATAGTGAGTGAGTGAGTGAGTATGGCTTTCCACCACTTTTAGCAATATTCCAGCAATATCATGGCGGGGGACACCAGAAATGGGCTTCACACATTGTACCCATGTCGGGAATCAAACCCGGGTCTTCGGCGTGACGAGCGAACGCTTTAACCACTAGGCTACCCGACAGCCCCAAACTCTCATATATTAACAACTTACCACTGTATAACTGACTGGCTTATTTGATCTCTGTTTGGTGGCAGGACTTGTTAAAGGTTATAAATTAAATTTGAAACCATATTATTAAAATAAGAATAGAATTTGAAAAGATGTTATATGTACTGTACAGAAGTATAAAAGGTAAACCAGAAAAGTATTAACAGAAAAATAGAACATGAAAATCAGAAATGTGTCTGTCCCAACAAGCAGAAACAAATCTGCCCTGAAAAAATATTTTCAGAGTTTCGTTAACAAAATGATATGGAGTGGAATGATACTGTAACGACAACAATGATAATGCTGCTATCATGAGGTTCATGTATAAACAGTTTGACAAATATTTGTCTATACACTGGAATGTATTGAAGAAACATATGACTATTAGTACCTCCATTGAACAAAAGATTACAGTTCTAAAAAAATAGGAACACCATTTTTTATTTCTAAGTCTTGATTCATACACTGAATTCACAGAATTCACACCTCCGTGGCATAACTTCCTGAAGGTGAATTACTGAGATTTGGCGATGTTATTTTATGGATAAAGAAAAAAATTAAAATAATTCCACAATAACATAAAATTGGAATGTAACTGTAAAATGCTGCTGGTCAGGTTATAACATAATTGTGTGCAGGGTATTGCATGTCTGACATGTCTACTGCTTTATAGATAAATCATTGCAACAAAGGTTTGTCAAACTGCATATGTTAATAACACATAAATGACACACCAGTGATTTTCACAGCTGATCCATGAAGATGAAAAAGCAATCAATGTACAACGATGTATGTATGAACCGAGAAATCAACACCCGTTACGATGATACATCACACAATAACATGTCTCTCTATTGATGTGACTACCATAACAACAATAACAACAATATGTCACTCAAACAAACCCATATAAATAACACTGAGATCTCCACCTGTCCCTTGTGTATATATATACATACTACATGATTGAGCATACATCAGGTGGACGCTGACAGTGAACTCAGGCTTCAAGAACATTTCAAACTGAGGACATGTTAAATTCTTTTAAAGAAATAAATAATATTTTGTTAATTACAAAAAATACATTTCATTCATAATTCAAAAAAATTACTTATCTAGTGATGAAAAAAAGCACTGGCTAAGGAAGTTATCATCAACTATGGTACCTGAAGAGACCATGTCCTTCTAGTGACTGGCCAAGAAAAATGAGTTTTGTGAGTAGAAATCATTCTTGGCTGCTTAAAGAGTGAAGGAATCGCTTAGCTCTTCATCTGTGACGGACAAATGGAGAATGACAAGTTTCCATATCAAGGCTGGTTTGTGAGATCAGAGCAACACCTTCATCACCGACAGTAGCTCTGGGATACAATAGATAGAGGGTTCTCTATCTGTGAAGTGTCTATATAAACAGTGCTCTGGAGCATGTTTGTGTCATGACTAGGCACCATTCGGCGCCCAATGTATCTGCGTACCAGCTTCGGAAGTGGATTAGCCTGCATTGCTAGAGGTATTGGACGTTTGATTCCACCATCAGTGTATTTCAACAAAACCTTCTCCATTTTCATGTTCTTGAAGCCTGTATTGCTACTGCCCTTGCCCTTAGTTTGAGGGATGAAGGATGCACTTGGGGGACGGGGATGATTGTACCCGCTGCTGGGGTGGAAGGGGGGCGCAGCAAACCGTGCACTCCGAGCTCGTCCGTACGCCATGGTAACGATAACGCTGTCTTGTCGACATCGGCAGTTAGGGTTGACGTTATCGAGATGTAAGTTCATTCCACCCCCACACTCACTACAAGTTCGGCCCCATGTGCCGTCGATTAATGCATCTACACAACCTGTTAATAGAGGAAAACAGTTAGAAGTTAGTCAGGAACAAGCCAAGTATGATTAAAGTAGCAATAATTATCAAGCTGGATTATTACAGCACACGTCACTCCAAACTTTTACATACATCATCAATATACTGGCAATATTCAATCACAATTAATATGATTAAGAGCACACATGTAAATCTAATATTATTCTCATTTCTAGGGAACAGTGATACATCTGAAGTTAATCAAGACTGCTACGGTTGCCATTTTTATGACACAAGGAAAAGAAAACGAAAATGAGGAACTCTATTAGAATAAACATGATAATCATTTTAAGTATAAATATTTGATAATATATATGAATAACTATGAAATATAGAAAATATTCATCATTACACTTTGGTAAATAATTAAAACATTATACATATATTAATAAATATAGGAAGAAGCAAAAAAAGAGCTGAACAAAAAAGTTCAACTGAAAGGCCTACAATATGCAGCTATTATAAACAAATAATTCATTAAGAAAATGCACTGTCGACATATAACATGTATAAATAGAATACTCTCAATACACACTATACATTTAGTTGTCATCTGTCAGCCATTAAAACCTATGTATACTGGAGATTGGGTTATATCATGCAGTTATTTACAATACATTGTATTTGTTAATGTCACTGCAAAGCCACGATTATTAAATGATTTGACATCAATAGGCTGAAATGAACCTGTTTTATGAAATATACTGGACATGATAAACCATGCATAAGAGAACTGTACACATGCTGGCTCAGGGTTGTGTATGCTGTGGGCAGGATAAGAAGACAGTTCCTAACATTCCTCATACTCTGGACAAGAATTGCATTAATATCTAGTAATTGAGCAAACCTCTGTGAGATCGTAACTGGCACATGCTAAACTTAATCCTTGTCAATTTACCCAGTGAATTCCATTCCCAATATGTCTAGTGAGTGAGTATGGTTTTACGCCGCTTTTAGCAATATTTGAGCAATATCACCGCAGGGAACACCAGAAATGGGCTTTACACATTGTTCCCATGTGGGGAATCGAACCAGGTTTACAGCGTGATGAGTGAACGCTTTAACCACTAGTCTACCCCACCTCACCCCCAATATGTCTAAATAAATACGAATGATCCGTGAAGATCCGGGGTAGAAAAGTTCTTCAGCAACCCATGCTTGCCGTAAAAGGCGACTATGCTTGTCGTAAGAGGCGACTAACGGGATCGGGTGGTCAGGCTCGCTGACTTGGTTGATGTATGTCATCTATCCCAATTGCATGGATCCATGCTCATGATATTAATCACTGGATTGTCTGGTCCAGACTTGATTATTTACAGACCGCCATCATATAGCAGAAATATTGCTGAGTGCGGTGTTAAACAACAAACAAATGATCACGACTACACATTCCTCTCTAACCCTCCATCATTACTTCCATGTCTCACACCTGCACTCTGTACAGAGATACGTAAATACAAACAACCTTCACCAGTCAGATGCAGACTGACCTACACCTAGTTCACCCGTGTCATCCTACTGTAACCATGGTAACCTATGCTATCCCATGTTCACGTCTTCAAGAAGGAAAGCACATGGATGTGGACCCTCTTTGGCCCACTAGGAAAGTCAAATTATTAATTCTAGAAATGGGTGGGAAAATAGGGAATTACCTAGGACGTAACATTACAACTTTGAAAGATTCTTATATTCTTACATTCAGAGATATTCTATGGATTTGATGCACTAATCAGTAACGTGAAACCATGTCACACAGGAAAGATGCAAAAAAATTAAATTTTACAAAATTTACTATTTTTATTTGAATTTGGGAAGTTTTACCAACATTAGTTGCAGACTTGTGGCCAAATATCGGAATCCCTAGACAAAACATGCAGACATGTTCACAAAACTGATACCTAGCCTCTGTTTTCTTTCTGTCACAGGTTTAAGACTTGAAGACATGGTGGAGTACAGATGACTGGCTAAGATGAGTAAAAAAGCCAATTTCTAGAACTTCAAGAGAAAATCATAAGCAAGTGGTTGACCCCACATGAATTTGTCTCTGTAAGTTTGAACTGTCCTTACCTACATCATGTACATTTCCTTAGACAATCAGCTTGGGTCAAAGGACTTGCTCCCTAGAAACATGCTACCTAGCCGCACCCCTTCATGTGGTGGTTATTACAGCCCTACCATACAAATGTTGAAAGAATAAAGTTATTTCTATTTCTTATCTACCAGTGATCAACACATCTGATAAGTTTCACTGCAAATTCTAAAGGTTTTCCTCACTTCTTAAATTAGGCCGATCTGGGGGGCCAAATAGGGTCCCTCCTAACTAATAACCTCTTTCTTTTCAGAATCTTACAATTACCTTTACATCACCTATAGGTAGAAAACTGTTTTTGATTTGTGCATTCATTCTTTCAGATTGAAGACTTAATTATTAATGGAAATTACAGCTGTTGACTCACCAAGGGCGTGTTTCAGTGTACAATACAATCTCATTAAAATCAGATCTTAATTTTTGCTACCGCTAAACAAAGATTTGAGGACATCCCATTACGGGTCACGTCAGAACGACCTTTCGCAAATTTTGACCAACCAATGAAATGACTGACAAGAAATCGACATTGGCCAATCAGAAGGCAGCTTTCTCGAGCTTTACGACACTAGTTTCAAACTGGCGACCACGCTTCGAAACATATTTTGACGTATTCTCGGTTAAAATTTTTAAAACTGATGAGAAGAACATTCTGGAATAGCTTATAGATGGCCTAGATTGTATGGATATAATCATAAAACCTGTAACTGTCGTTCGGAATACCGCTTGTTAAATATATCGTGGATACATGATTAGAAAACACATTCCGACTGTCACTTTCATGATCTGGTAAGCGACGCTTTGATTGGTTGGATGAAAGGTCGTTTTGACGTGACCCCTAATGGGATGTCCTCAGATCTTTGTTTAGCGATAGCGAGCTAAGATCTGATTTTAATGAGATTGTGTACAATATCTATTCTAAGCCTTTGAAACTAGCAAAAGGTTCATTAGAATAAAAATAACAAATACACCTGTACTCTACGAGGAGCACTAACAAGATGAAATTCAACATGATGCATAAACTAGGTCATGGCACAGGATTTGAGGTCACATGTTAATGATGATGTGAATGAATGAAGTGCAGAAATATGACGCATACAAAAAACACTGAAACAGACTTCTCTTGACACCTAAAAATTAATAAAAAATGAGATTAAAATCCATGTAACATCATGACTTCATGTGCATCTGTAAAATCCCATTCACATTTCTTTTTTCATTTCTGTTAAAAAAAAGTGCAGCTGAGTCTATCACGCTCTATCTCCTGCTGAGGCAAAACTGAGAAAAATCACCTTGAAAGTATAATAGTATCATTGAAGTCTGTGGTGGCTATGCTTAATGGCTGCAGGTGTATCAACTTCAGCATGCATTCTAACGCAGTGAATGTCAGCAATGTGGCATGCAGAGGTGCATTAGATATTTACTGCAAGCTGTTACGATATTTGTGTAATCACCTTCTACTGCGAATGTTTTTTCTTTCGTTTCTAATATAAAAAAGACAAGAATAACATAAATTCTTATTTACTTGATACAACATTTAAATAAGTCTATACTACTTAAAAAATGTTAAGGACCACACAATACTTTCATATTACCATACCCAATCTGTCATGTCATGACTGATTAACTATATTGTCATCGATCCCAATTGCGTGGATTGATGCTCAAGATATTAATCACTGGATGTCTGACGGACGATTAACTATACTTACTATAGTACTATGAAATAACTGGGTGGACCTTAACTTTTTGAGTAGTACATTTGTATTCATCTAATGTTTTTATTATTTTTCTCCAAATTTTATTTACTACTAGTCGATGGAACAACAGAGAAAAAGGAGTTAGAGTGAGTGAGAGAATTAGGTATAACACTGCTTTACACAGTATTTCATCCATCTTGTTGTGTCAGCTTACTGTGGGAAGTATGCCCAAATTGACACAATTCATTGATATTTATTTACTACTGTGATACATCAGTAGCACATGAATGGTGCTGACAGACCTAGGACAATCATCTGGGATTTGAACCCATGACCATGTGAGATCCTGTTATGGCAAAGGGAAGCAACTCTGCAAAGTGAATACCATCAACAAAGAACACTGGGCAAACAGTGATCCCTGGTTCTTGAGAAGTACATTCTGTAATATTGTTTGAGAACTTCATATTTCTAACAATTGTGATAAACAGTCGTATATATACAGATACACAATAGCATGCTGCTGTTAGTATACTGAGGACAAAAAGATGGCAAGAGTTGACAAAGGATAGTGGGAATACATGTGTGACAATGGCTTCACTGAGAATCATCAGGTCTCCTATCTACTGGAACATCGAGAGTGGAATTACAAACAACCCAACACTATGGAGTTGATAATTGAAAATAATTCTGCAAATATTCTGCAAATAAATAAGGTTTGAATGGTGTTTCTACACATGCTTGACTAACTAATTCAGAACCACAGTTTAATTAAATACGCATTAACGAACACTGGTAATAACTCTTTTAAACCAAAAGATTAAATTTTGACATACCATCTACATCTTTTATTGTTGCTTTTGCGGAAACGTTGACTTGACTCAGAATATAATAGTTATAACTCATTATAAAGTTCAGAATTGGTAATTGAAGAGCTTGAAAAGCCGTACATCATTTCCAGGTGTGTAAGGTTCTGATGCTGGTAGGAAAGCATGTGTTACACTCTGACAGGTCAAGTGTCCATTGGCTGGCTGATGGCAGAACTTCTGCCTGACATGCTCTTGGCCAGTGAACAGTCGACATGTTAACATGCAGTAGGGAGATAGTATCTCTACATGATGCCAAGGAGAGAGAGGATGCAGCAGGGTGGGGCAGGGTGGAGCGGGTGGGGCAGGTAGGGTAGGTGATGAAACA